AAAGCCATCCGAGTTGGCGGCACCACTGCATCTGGTGAGAATGGCCCCCCATCGTTGTGACTATGTGCTGCATGAAGGAGTGCTTTCTTTGGTCTGTGTTGAATATCCCGACATCCAGCTTCATCGAATGCCTACGGGTTCTAGCGTTGTGAGAGGGGCGGAAAGGAAACTTTTCTATAGCCACTTTCTCCACGTTGCGCATGTTATGTATACCTCTATCATTCCCTCTCTTGCTTGTCTTTTCTCTAAAGTTCCCAATTGTTCAGTTGGTTAGAGCGTGGTGCTGATAATGCTAAGGTTGCAGGCTGACTCCCCATATGTGGCAGCTGCATATTCCTGCATTGCAGGGGGTTGGACTAGACAATCCTCAGGGCCCCTTTGAACACTACGGTTTTATGAAATGTTGTAAGCTCTCCTCAAAGGGGAGCTGCTCCGGCTGCTTGGTCATTTTGGTTGCCTTTTCCCAAAACTTTTCCAGCTCTGCAACACCCTTTCTGCTCACTCCCATTCCTTTCCCAACCCCTTTCGGTCCCTCTCGCCAATCGTCTGCTTCAACCCACACAGGGAAGGAGAGCGACACCTCCTCATCTCTGTCCCTTCCGCAGGAGTGACACGTGTCCCTTCCCTCCGAGCTCAGTAACTTGATTGACGAGAGCAGCACAAGAGCAGGTGAGAGCACAACAATTAAGCCATCAATCAGCCTGTGACAAGCAGGGAAGGCAACGGCTGCAAACAGTCTGAACACCAGTGTTTTTATTCTATGTCGCCTGGGGCACGTACGCACCGTCGATAGATAGATCATCATTTGTAAGGACAACATCTGGGGTGCCTCCCAGACTGCCAGTGTTTTGCAGGAGGGATTCAAACGCACGTTGCAACTTAATGGTTTGAGTATTTCCAAGTGGATTAAAGCACTCTGTCGCCTTCGTGCGGCAAATTCGCTTTTAAAAACCTGCTTTTTGAAAACTGGACTTTTTGCAGTTTGGAAAGTGGTGGAGAAGTGCATTGATGGGCAGATGTGTGACCACTCTTCAAGTCAGACAGGATGGGTGTTCATTATTATGTAGCCTCTCTATAAACAAATCAGAATAAACGGTCGGTGAAGCCATAGTCTCACGGTAAAGGTAAAGGGTAAAGGGACCCCTGACCATTAGGTCCAGTCGTGGCCGACTCTGGGGTTGTGGTGCTCATCTTGCTTTACTGGACGAGGGAGCCGGCGTACAGCTTCCGGGTCATGTGGCCAGCATGACTAAGCCGCTTCTGGCGAACCAGAGCAGCGCACAGAAACACCGTTTACCTTCCCGCCGGAGCGGTACCTATTTATCTACTTGCACTTTGATGTGCTTTCGAACTGTTAGGTTGGCAGGAGCAGGGACCGAGCAGCGGGAGCTCACCCCGCCACGGGGATTCGAACCGCTGACCTTCTGATCAGCAAGTCCTAGGCTCTGTGGTTTAACCCACAGCGCCACCCGCGTCCCAAGTAGTCTCACGGTACCACTGCGAAAGCTTAGTGCAAGCAAATCAAGAGGGATGCTGAACAATCTGGTCCCCCGCAAGAATCCTTGGCCTTTGTACCATTAAAAGGGAGACATTAATGTTTGTCAGTTGCTTAAGCATTATGCAGATTAGTTAACACGCCCTGGCATGCCGGCTTGGCCCACTCTTGCGAAAACACAGTTATATCCTCCTTCGCATAACTGTGTGATAAATTAGGCAACTTCCGAAGAGCTTTGTTCCTTTTTCCAATGTAGTCCAGCAGAGCAAAAGCTTGCCTAATCGGGTGCTACACTCCTTCACCATCTGTTTGGGAGCTAATTACGGATGCAAAAAAGAAACGTGCTTTACAATTGCACCCGTAAAAAAGCTGTAAATGATTTAGGCGCATGCATATGCTCCCTGCAGAATTCAGCATGCATCTGCGGCTCCTTCTCCTCACGTTACAGACACAAATCAAGGGGAAAGTACCCAATGCTGACTAGCAGAATGTCCCTTGGATAGCGATTCCCCCCCCCAAAAAAAATCCGCTCCGACTTTCGTCTTCTTGGGAATGGTAAACAGGGCTGCCTTGAAACGATCCATTTGACTGCATTTTCTTCGCTTTGCTTTTCAAAACCGTTCACCAGCATCATGTAAACATTGCCCAAATCATTCCATGGAGCATACAAAAGGAAACCAGAACCTAGAAGGCTGAAGGTGACTCTGCAGCTGGGCCAGCGAGATTTCAAAGCAGTTCCCTTCACACATCCTTATTCCCAAGGCTGGAGAAGATAAGCAACAACATACCAAGTGCCTGATGCCCAGGGACACCCCTCCCACCTGCTTCTTAATGCTCATGGAAGCAGTTGCAGTATCTGTTTTCTGCTAAAACAGGTGGGAATAACTCACCCTACAGCTACCAGAGTTAATAGCTATAAGGCTTATTGTTTAGGTTGGTCCTGCAAAGCTTCTGAATGCCCAGCTGAAGGGAACCCATCAGAAACAGACAATGACCACTAAGGGCTCAAAATCTTTGGTTCTCCCTGGTTGTCTGGGGTTGCTAAGAAAGGACACACCACCAACCACTGTCCCTACCATACTACAGGACAGGACGGTTTAGACTTGGCTTGGTGGATCTCAAGATGCATGTTTGTGGATCACGTAGACACAATGTGATTCCCAACTCCTGGCTAAAGTGTGAGCAACTTTAGCCACAGAAGGACCCTTCCAAGAATCACGTTCATTGCATCTCCTGCAAATGAGTGGATTTGAGGATGCTCCTGGATGATGTTGCGGGACTCCAACTCCCAACAGACCCAGCCAGCATGGCTAATCATCAGAGACAATGGGAACTGTAGTCCAGCCTTGCCCAAGATGGGAGGGGCTTCCCCTTCCCGTTTATTGTCAGGCATGTTCATTAAGCCAGCACAACAGCAACATCATGCCAATCCCAGGCCACAAAAGTTTAGAAACCGGAAGGCAGGTGGAGAAAGAAAGATAGGGTTAAGCATGATATTCTAGACAAATGTTAAGCACTTCTAAATTCCATTGGTTTCAGTGGGGCTGTTAAACACATGCTTAAAACTCCTTCCACGGAAATTGGTGGGAACTGAAAAGTGATGGACTTTCATAGATGGATCATATTTGGGATAGCTCAGTCGGTAGAGCTCAAGACTCTCAATATCAGGGTCGTAGGAGGAAAAGTTGGGCAAAAGATTCCTGCATTGCAGGGGGCTGGGCTCGATGACCCTTGTGGTCCCTTCTAACTTTATGATTCTATGACATTATAAGATATCCAAAGTGCTTTGAAATGTTGTGATTTTGAGGTCAGGGTCACCAGCTATTATCTATTGGTTTGAAAGTGACCACCAATAGTCTTCCTTCCACCTTGAAACTGCAGATAGACCTTGGAAGGGGATACAAGCCTGTCGGTCTCACTAAAAACCAGCTTGTTGTGAGCGATATCAATAGTAGGTAAAGTTTAGTTCAAAGTCACTATTCTTAAAGAGAATAATGTGAGTTAGATATTGCATCATTAAGCAGCATGAAAAGGAGGGAAGAGGGAGCACTGACAAGGAAATTTATGCTGCCGTTTCAGGATTCTAGCATCACGGATGTGGTCTGAAAGACTGATGCAAAAATAAAATCAGAATATTTAATTTTCTCTCACATCTCAGTGCAGGAAGGAATGAGACTTGAATGTTTTTTTTAAAAAGGTTAGCAGGCTTGAAGCCATCTTGAACTTTTTACCTTGCTCTTCTGAAGGCTAGAAATAAGTACATATTTCAAGCAAATCAAATATTTGTGTACATTGCCACTCAGTAATTCATTTCCTCTAACAGCCTGTGGAGTCTCAGAGGCAAGTGTTAACTTCTCCACCCAGCCACCCCGTCTCAGACATTTAGCCTTAAGACCTTTTCACTCTTAAGCAACACTTTTTCTAAGATGTTCAGTTGGGAAAGGATGGCAGAACTCCGATACCTTCGACAGAGAGGCAGAAGAGTTTTGGCAGCTGCTGTTTTGACCTGAAGAGACGGGAAAAGCTGTGCCAAGATGACTTCCTCATCTCTGCAAAAGATGCAGGAGCCTTGCCTGTCTTTGCACCAGGTTGTCTTAACTTGCTTTGTTTCTCTTTCCATTATCTGCCACTTGCATTTTGTATGCAGAAGAATATTTCTGTGGACACTGCCATCAACTTCCAATTTTCTAATTATCTGATCTTATTTACAATATAAGATTCTACCCCAAAAAGGCCACTAAACACTCAAGTCTACCTCTCAATTTCATATTAAGAGCAGTTCTCTATGAGTGAGATTAGACCAGCTGCTAAGGTTAGTTTGGGAAGCGAATTCAATGCCTTGCTACAAGCACTTTCTACGAAAGTACCTTATTACTGTAAGACCTTCATCTAAGGGGAGATGAACTATCCAACCTTTTGGGGATCCAGGCTTGCTGTAAAAGACCTCTTTCTTTCACGTATAGTTGTAAAAACTGAATTTGTGACCCGGAAACAGTGACAGGCTAGAAGTGCTCAAAAGTAATCCAGAAGGTTGCTGCTGTGTTGGGAACCCCAACATCTAGAAAGCCACGGGTTCATCGCCCCTGGGCAAAGCCTCTTGACAGAATTAGGCCAATGGACCTTCTTTAGAAGGAGTTCCATGGTTAAGTCTCTACTACAGAAAAGGTCCTGTTCTTAGTAGAGACTGCAGGCAGTGGGGTACAGAAATGGCTCTTGTGGTGGGGTGGAGTTGCCCTCCCAACACTGGTATTGGCACAGATTACCTTGCTGGTGTGGCAGAAGATTGGAGGCAAGGGTGGGGCTTCCTAGGTACATCAGTGGGAGTGCGAGATGAGGGTTGCACAGCAAACCAATCTCACTGCTGCCCTGGCCCTGGTACGTTGCAGGGAGGATGGCTCGACCTCACCACTTGGGCTGTCATTGGGGATTCCCCTCGGGCGATGCCACCTGCAGCATTCTCACCATCTAAGTTTAATGCAGACCAGACAGCAAAATACACCAGCACTTAAAAAAATAATAATTCTCTTTTATTAGTATTACTAAAATGACAAGGTTGTGTTTTGAAAAAATGCTGTTCATTTAGGTTTGATTAGTTCACAAAGAGTGGCTTGCAGTAGAACCCAAAAGACATGATTTACAATCATATAGTGTTAAGGAAAACCTGGGTGTTTCAAGGCAGGAAGTGCAAGAGGAAGAGCTAGTGGATTTGGCCTGTGTTGGGATGGGAGTGCCCATCACCTGCCAGGGATTGGGGGCAGGAGCTAAAAACGCACCAAACACTTTCAAACACACAGAGACATGTATTGGGCTATCTGTTCCAATTAAACATTGCGAAATGTTTCCAGGGTTGAGAGAAGGCTCTGTGGTATGCAGGTGCCAATGCTGTCAGCGTTGGACATAGCTGCCTTCTGTGGCAAACTCACAGGACCAGTTTGTTAAATCCAGGAGAGAAAATGATATACACTCACAGAACACGGTCAACACATTTCCAGGGTAAGCCAACAGCTTAAATGATGGTTACTTTGCACGCAGTCAAAGAGAACTGTAAGTCAACCAACCATTTATCTAGTCTTCACTATCTGGAAAGGAAATATTTCTAGTGTTTTAATTTCCTGAAAGTAGTGCAGTCAAGAAGGAGAGTCAAAGCAGCTCTATTTTCAAGGAGACCGGGCAACCACAAATGCTTGTTGCTGGCACTGTCCTCATACACAGGTCTCAATGCAACAGGTTGTAGAGGAAAGTGGTTTTGGCCACTGCTTGAGGGCTCAATAAGAACACTGAACAGGTTTGCAGACAGTCACATACTTGACAGCCAGTGATAAACAAAACTGTCTCCAAACAGTTAAGGTTGGTGGCTTTTTTGCCTCTTTCAGACCACAAATAACTAGCAGAGTTACACATGGACTGGTGGACTACTAAGAAGAATAAAAGGCTTATGGGCTTGTGACTTGTGAACATCTGTAAATATTTGCTAGGCTGATGTTAAGAGTAACATCCTTACTGACGGTTGATGTTAAGTGTAAGTACTAGAGAGAGTATCTGCTACCTTATGCCACTGCTGCAGGGATCGGGTGATTCACTGAGCATTCATCCCCATCTGTTTGCAGGGAGATCAGACTGACACAGGCTATGTAATGTGCATTCGCCCTAGTTTGTTTGCAGGGAGGTTACACAGCATCATGTCATATCCCAAACTTTCCATTGCTTTTTCCTGTCACTTTCCCTACTGCAAAGGGAAGTGGGTCTGTAGGCAAGACCTCCCAAACAACAACAAATATTGCAACCTCGGCTTGCTGGTATGTTACCGAACCCCACCTGAAAGCAGTGACAGTGTGGAAGTGCTCATAAGTTCTTTAGCACTGGCTGAATCTGCCAAGGTGCCACCTTCAATGGTCCAATTAGATCTGAGCTATGCTCTCCAGGAATGAATGGATGATCTAGCATTCTACTGTACCCACACCAGAAATTTGGGGGAGCTGGGAAGGGCAGAGAGAAACTAATGGAGAAAACACAGCTTTGGTCTTGTTTATATATTTCTCCACACACACAAACACACAGCTCATTCCAAAATGGATGAATGTAGGGATGCCTCTGAACCTTTTATCTGTGCTATTTTCCAAGTGGAAAAGCGAACAGGAAGTGTGAGACTAATCAAAGCCAGTCAGCCTGTGTCATAAATCCATGCAGCAAAGACCCAAGGATTTCCTAATGGAACAAGTATTCACTTACGATTTCCAGAGTTTACACAATGGCATATCACAAACCATAAAAGCTGCAGCCCCTCCATCACATGCCTAGTAAATTTTCTGCTCACATCTGGTTTCATATTTATTTCTAAATCACCTATAAAGCTATACTCTGTGTGCATTACTAGTGATCCCAAGCTAAAGACCGAATGCACACTTAGGGTGCTCCATCCTCAGTTACTGCTGTCAATCATGTCAGTTTACTATCTACTAGCTCTGTTCTTTCTTAGATCCAGTAATAAAAACCAGCAGGAGGGTGTGTGTTTTTGGATTTTTTGTTTTAAAGCACAGCTATCAGATCTCTTAAAACAACAACAAGAACAACTTTCCTGCTCGTAACAGATGCCATCAAGCCCACATTCCCACACATGATGCGTGATATGGTCTTTGGTGACGAGGTCAGATTATTTTCCAATTAGCATTCTGTCAAGTGTTAAATAACAGAGCCACAGAGAGCTGCGCTTTTAAGTCCTTCTCTAATTCATCCCCCAGACAGACCTAGCATTTGACAAATCTGCCACATCTTAAGCTGTGCCAGTGGTTCAGTCGTACACACCTTGGAATCACAGCCCCTGGGAATCTTTCCGGCGTGACTGACACCCTGTTGTTCTTGTGCAAGCAGAAAGTAATTCTATGGACCTTGCACAGGGGAGGGTCTTGGGGGTGGGGGTGGGACTCACAGTGCTTTAACTACACATAGAAAGAGGATGCCGACTTCATTAACAATGTCCTAACATTTAAAAGTTATGCCTGGCACCCTCCTCAGTCTTCTATTTGCTTCCCTGCAGGCATCACAACATCTTTCGAGCAGACAAATATCTGCCCCACCCCCACTGCACGTGCAATGAAACAGATGTGTTTGGATTCCTTACGAGGACCAGTACACACACACACACACACACACACACACACACACACACACACACAGGGTTTGGGAGGCATGTAAATGTCATGCATGCAAGACATTCTAAGATGTGAAGAGGTGCAAGACAGTGAAACCCAAAGCAAGTATTTTCCCTGCTTAACGAGTTACATCTTTGCCTGAAAAAATACATCGGGTACTTATGAGTTACATCTTTGCCTGAAAAAATAACCCTCTACAACGGCACATTGCCCGAGTTCAAATGAGTACATACTTCATGATGTTGAGATATTAGACACAATTTTGAAGCCTACTGAATTGTGCAAAATCTCCTTCTAGTCTTCCTTTTTGGCTTATACATAGATTGGTAACTGCAGTTTTGCTTTCTCCCTCTCACAGCTCAATCCTATAAATGTCTACTCAAAAGTAAATCCAGATATTTTCAGCAGAGCTTACTCCCAGCAGGCCTGTACATTCTAGAGGACCACAGCCTGAAGCTAAACCAACCAATGATGACTGTGATTAAGATAAACTTCAAGACATTGAGCCATGTCTGTTCTATTCTATAATGCCTTTTTTTTTGCCCAAACATTTCCACATATTTCAGAAGCCTTACTCTTCAAAAGCATCCAGTCCCTTTAGCTAAAGAAACAACGTTCATCAGCATGGGAACATTATTGTGTTATTTAACCACTGGCACCCTGTTGTGCGCTTTGAAGAAAACTTAATAACCATTTGCATTACTACTTTATACAAGTAGAAGTTAGCACTGAATTCAGTTCCAAAAGGTGTAACTCAGGCTTCCTCAAACTCGGCCCTCCAGATGTTTTTGGCCTACAACTCCCATGATCCCTAGCTAGCAGGACCAGTGGTCAGGGATTATGGGAATTGTAGTCTCAAAAACATCTGGTTTGATGAAACCTGGTGTAGATCAAAGATGGGAAAACCTCCTGATGTTGGACTACAACTCCCATCATCCCTCACCACTGGACATGCTAGCTGTGGCTGGTGGTATTTGGAGTCCAATGACATCTGGATGGCTACAGGTTCCTTCCCCATCCCTGGTTTACATGGAGCAGGATTAACCTAGCAGTCACTGAGAGATCCTACAGAATTACTCAGAGTTCAATGGGACTTACTCCCAGGTAAGAGGGTACAGGATTGCTGTCTCAAGACAAAGTAAAGGGATGCTGTCAGATAATAAATGACACAGCCAAGACCTTACTTCTTCACCAGTTGAAATAAAAGCATGGGCTGTAGCGGCACGTCACTTTTGTCAGCTGCCATGCCATCCCTCTGTCAAATTTTGTTTGCAGCAATAAACCTGGCAAGCTGCATCTCAAAGGAAAAGGTGCAATGAAAGTGCTAGGATGCCTTTTCTTGTTGAAAGCATTTACTTGGAAACCCTAGTTAGGCTTTTCTGGCGTTTCCTCCTTCTTAACCATATGCCATGAACACCTTTCTGCGAGCCAGCGTTTGCCAAGATAATGTAAAGGAAGGATTGGAGAGTGGGAAAGAGGCTGCAACAATCTCCTGCTTGCTAAATACTTCCTCTACAAATGCCTACAGAGGCCATTCGCCTGTTGCCTTTCGAGCTGTCTTCCAGTTTCAAAACCTTTCACGTGGGGAAAATGGGTTAAACATGGCAGTGGGTTTTGATAGGTGGGGACATTAGGAATTGTCATCCTAAACACCTGTAGGTCACCAGGATTTTTAATTTTGTTTTTTTACAAAAGCCAACCAGTCTGGGTAACAAAGGGTTATTATTATTATTTTCCATAAGCCAACCAGTCTGGACGGGTAGAACTGTGAAACACCTCTCCCCTACCAGTTTCCTTCCCTTGCATTTACTTTGCAAAATAAGCCTCTTCCATTTCTATTAAAACGGCTGCTTCTGCCCTCAACAAACAAAGCTCGATGATGCAATGTCATCCCCCAACCTCCTCATGACGCAAGGAACAATGGCGTCCTGGACTAATTCTGCATACATTTACTTCAAATCTTTTGCCTGTGCTTAAAATGTAAGAAGAGCCTGCTGGATCAGGCCAATAGCCCATCTAGTCTAGTACCCTGTTCTCACTGTGGACAAACAGAAAAACAGATGGCACGCCCACAGACAGGAGCCAAGCACAAGAGCAGCACTCTCCCTTCTTGCAGCTTCCAACAACTGTTGTTCAGAAGCCTACTGCCTTCAGCAATGCAGCTAGAACATAACCATCGTGGCTATTAGCTGCTGATGGCCTTAACCCATGAATTTTAAGCTTGATTTCCCTGCTTTAAATGGGGATTTCAATAGCAGCCATGATTTAGGTGCATTTTGAGAAGCTGGGATTGAGAGTGCATAATGGCTCTAAGGCCCCAGGCAATTAATAACCACACCATGAGCAATTCTTACCCTGCTCCTCATTTCGGCTCTCTTGTGCTTTTTAAAGTTCTGGTCCCAGGATGAGGAGTCTTTGCACTCTCAGTTTCTGGATAATCAAGGTTCCTTGGCATTTGCCCTTCACTCTAGGGACTTGGCTAGAAGCACATGTTGAATGTTGCTTAATGACACCCTCTTTTCACCTGGCATCATTCCATGATTTCCCCTTATTAAAAACAGCTGCTGAGAATTCTTTCCACCTGGTATGTATATTTGCTACCTGTTCCTGTAGCATGAATACAACAGAATCTACTCAAAAGGCATATCCCCCCCCCCAAGGGTTTGCATAAGATGCCTCTCAAGAAACATGCAGCAAGTTAACTGCTCCTTCGCAGAGTTTTTCCATAACAATTGCTATTATTATTATTTTTAACAATTTGTAGATTTCCTGCAATAAAAAAAGTCAAGAGTTCAGCATTTAATTTCCCAGTATCCTTGGCAAAATGTAAGTGGTTCCTTTTCCCATTGATCCTGTAAGGCAAAATATGTACAAGTACCAAAAACATTACAAACAAACACACTGTTAAACATGACACAGGAAATGGGGAAAGTCTCAGCGACGCATCGCAAGCGTGTGAATTTGGCCCCTGTATTTTGTGATATGCTTCTAAGCATCTTCCCCACTGCTACAGTCAAGAGACTTCGGATCAACTCCTGAAAAACAAGGAAATGGTTGCTTTCTGAACATGATTGAAAAATAAAAATAAATAAAATCCTAGTACAGTTGTACCTTGGAAGTTGAACAGAATCTGTTCCGGAAGCCCGTTCGACTTCCAAAATGTTCAAAAACCAAAGAGTGGCTTCTGATTGGCTGCAGGAAGCTTCTGCAGCCAATTGGAAGCCGCGAAAGCCCCATTAGACATTCAGCTTCCAAAAATCATTTGAAAACCGGAACACTCACTTCCGGGTTTGCGGCGTTTGGGAGCCAAAACGTTTGAGAACTAAGCTGTTTGAAAACCAAGATACAACTGTACCCCAAAGCTCAGGGGATGGACTTGAATCTTCCCTTTGCTTGCTTCTACATGAGGTGGACAGCAAGAACCGAGAAGACGGATCCCAAAGCCAGCCCCAACTGCAAGAACATCATCATCAATACTCCAGCTGCCTCTGACAGCTCTTTTGGCGTGACTTTGGGGCCATACATCATGGCTAAAGTATTCAGGTAGCCGTTGCTGAATCCGAGCAACACCGTGAAGACCACCGGATAGGCATCCTGGGTGAAGAAGACCTTCGCGATGTGTTTCCGAGGTTGGAAGTTGCACAACATGAAGACTGGCACAAAGAAAGTTCTCAGCAGAACCAGAGCTGGCAGCAACTTGCTCTTTGGTCCAGGGGCCTGGATCCAGACGGTGATCTGCCGTCCGCACCAGTCGGCAAAATTGTACAGAAGGAAACTAGTGAGGGGCGTGAAGTACTTGTCCGTCCACAAGCTCCCTGGGACCTTGTTGACTGACTCTATGCTGGATGAGATTGCAGGGAAGATGATGATAGAGATGAAGTAGACGTAGAAGACGCAGAAGCCCAGCACGCCCATCTCCTTTAGGATGGATCCCAAGGGAGGGATCCTTCCTCTTTGGTTTCTGTCTGGGGGAAGCAGGCTGGTGTTGCCTGTGGCTGTATCACCATCCTCCAAATAGTCACTAGGCAAGACACATGGTGGCTGCGTGCCGCCCTGTCGCCTTTCCATATAGTACCTGAAATAAGAGAGGCACAGAAAAAAGGCTAGTGTCAGGAAGCCCAACAAAGATGGCAAAACTAGGGACTGAAACAGAAAGGAGATACTCATCAAAGATGACAACAGTGCCAGAAGCCACGGTTTGTATATGGTTTGATTCTTTGGCAGCAGCTGAAGGATCTCAGGCGGCACAACAAATCTCTGGGTTGCCACTGCTAGTCAGAGAAGACTAATACTTTGTTTGTGTTGTGAGTCATTTATTCAAGGTCCTGTAGCTTGGGGAGTGTATGAATGAGTCAGGAGTGTCTGAGCAGAGGCGACAAAAGAGGAGGCTGGTGGACCCTATTCCAATGATCCCTGTTATGGGGCAGCATGGAGACGGGAGGGCTGGATGTATGGGAGATCTAGACAGCCACAGACCATCTCTTCTACATCAGCCCCCTGCCAGCATGGTCAACGGTAAGGGATGATGGGACCCATAGCAGAGCAACATCTGGAGAGCACTACTTTGGCTGCCCCTGCTTTAAAGGCACATCAGCATTCCAATCCCTACCTTGCAGATCTGCAGTGAGGACTCAAGAGATAGTGGCCTGCCAAGCAAGACCAGAGATCTGACAACTTGTCCTCTTAGCCACTACAACACCAGCTGACAGTGAGTCTCTGGGTGGCAACAGAACTACCTCCCTAGCTGTCAGGCGGCTGCCAGCAACTCCCAAGTGGCTGGTTGCCCAGGAATACACAAAGACAAGGAAATGATTCTTACCATCCGCTTTTTATTCAGTATTCACAGAGAGTGCCCTCTACCTTTGAGCTCTTTGCTCTCCTACATTCAAGGCTCGCCGGGTTCTGGGAGAGGGGGGTCTGGAATGCTTTCTAAAGACACTGTGTCTGCCATCTCGTCCCCCTGGTGTTTCCCCTATCTCTTTCCCCTCTCCCATTATTTCCCAACTTTCCCCCTCATCTGCCTGAGCTGTGACCTCCCTTAAACCCCTCTTCCTCTTCTCTGGAAGATTCAGGCTGGGGAGGCGGTCTCCACCATTCCTCCTCTGCCCAGTCCCTGATAATAGCAGAGGCAGGGAGGCGATATAGACAGGAGCAATTCTGCAGAGGTCAGATAAGAATCCACATAAAGCTCCTCACCAAGTATCCTGCATCATAGGAGACTACCTCTAAGGCAACAGCGGCCTTAATTGGTACCAGGAAATTAGCAGGCAATGGCTCACAAGCTTGTTATTTTCAACCTACAGCTAGAAAACACACTGGGACTGGCCTGCGTCACTTAAGCGAGAGCTACAAACCATAGTGATTTCAAGAAGTCTCGTAGCAACAGTGTGAATGCTAGATTCAGAAGCAGCTATGCCACAAGGCTGATACAGCTTGCTGGCCCCACGGTTTTAGGGTTAGAAGCCACAGTCACCAGCACTATCTAAGTGGTTCATAGCTTCTCAAGTAACCATGTTTGTGTGTGTGTGTGTCTGTGTGCACAGTGGTAAATCCCACAGTTCCTGTCTGGTTTTCTTTTTAATGAAATCAGGAAGTTCAGCTGGAGAGAGCAAACAGGGGGAAAGAGTCAGCACATTTTCCACTTAGGGCAGAAGGGGACCTCCACCAAAAGGCAGGAAGCATCGAGAGGAAGCTGTTTTGGAACTCAGCCATTAAGGTACACGCTGCGTGGCAGCCTGATGGTCCAAGGGGATTTACCTGGAATACTCCAGCTTGGGAAGGATCAAGTACATCCCAATACAAAGAATAACGAAGAGGTCTGCTGTCAGGAAGTAGGCCAAAGCACTGTCTGTAACATCAGGTGCCGCTGCCAGATCCACCACCAATGCCACGGCGCTCACTGTTCCTCCCATGGCCTGACCTACATGGCGAGGAAAGAGGGCGAGGAAGGAGAACAAAAGTCAACGAACTGTGAAATAAGCCCTGGCCTATACTGCGTCTGCCAGAGCCAGACACTTGCAGGAGGGAGTGGCTCTGAATCAGACTAGCTGGAACTGGGGAAAGCAACAAAAGCAGTAATTAGGGAAGTTCGCAGTTCAGCTGCATTTGCTCTGCACTGTTATCTAGCCAGAGATCCTGTGATTTTGGTTTGTTCTGCTCACAACGGATTTACCTTTGGCCACTTGTGTCCTTGCTCTTGTTAACTTGTGGGGTTTTTTTCTTCATCCCAAGACCCTCTTCTCACATGCATGTCTTGGATTAACAATGGTAACATCCCATTGTGAGTTTTGGGGAGGGTTAGCTTTTGTTTCGCAGCAAAACCACACAGAGACACACACAAGTGTTGAAGGATTTCTGCATTTGAGCAAGGACACTCTTGCAAGAATCGTCAGATTCCCTTCCCCTCACCAAAAAACCCCCACACATTTATGTAAAGATGGCTTCATGTAATTGTTTTTTTTCACACAGAAAAAAGCAAGTAAACCAAGAGGGAAATGTCACCAAGAGACTCTCATCTGCCATGCTTAAAAACCACCCGAATTTCTAGAAGGGCTAAGCTTAAATTGTTTTGACTGAGACTGGATGAAAAATGTACGGGCACAATTCCACCCCGCCTTGCAATTCTGCGAAATAGCGTTTCTGTGGTCTGGTGGGTAAAGCCTTTTGGCCTCCTGGTTTTGTTGCCAAATTGTTTCTTTTATGCAGGCATAGTGTGGCTTTCTTGATCTGCACTAAAAATAAAGATATGCTCCAGTACTCTGCAAATACTGGGAGGTTTCCAACAGGAGGTCTGGTGAAAGTCTGCACAGTGGGTCAACCCCCCTAATAACATTCTTTGCTACGGCCTTGGAGGAAAAAAAGAAAACCTGAAACCTCTGTATTGATTTTAGCATCTCTCTTCCCACCTCGCCTCTCTCAAAGCACATTTCCAGTGTTATCAATGTCTGCTAAACCTCGAGGGGCCTCATCATTCATAGCTGCAAACTTGGAACTCATCAGTTATGGAAATGAATGTTAATGCTGAATTTGAAATGAGACAATGCAAAGTTTCATATTTTTTCCCTGAGATATAAACAAACACAGAGATGAATGCAGATGTTTTCTTTTTGTACAAAAAGTTAACTCCGTTTTCCCAAACGAAAACGGGTGGAGGGGGGAAATCCACACAAACCGGAGAGTCGGCTTGCTTAATCTGCTGAGCTTCCTTCAAAACTTCCGTCCGACAACACTGTGCGGTTCTTTATTTTCCAAAAGTCATCTTCTGTTAACTTCGTTCAGAGTGAATGCATCGTCATGGGACTAGGCGCTGCCAAAACCTCAAGCCTAAAAGGCAGCACATGCATCCTGCCCACGAAGAAGATTAAAAGCAATTGGAGAAGCCCTGTCTCATGAACTACGGTTTCCAGCCGGGGGCATCACAGGGAGGAGACTTAACCTGAAATCAGCGCTTGGGAATTCCGCATGGGAAAGCTTCCCGTCAGGCCGAAGACGCTGCTGCTGAAGATGGTGGCAGCGCTGCTGGAGACAACCACACAGACGATGGTGATGACGAAGAAACCCGAAGTCCAGGCGGAGGTGTCCACTTTCACCAGCACCGTGATCACCACCAAGGCAGCCAGCATGGTGACCAAGGAGGAGAGAATGCGCACGCTGACGGAGACCCTGGAGGAGAAAGGCAAGCGGGGTTATAGCATGTGGCTTCTGTGCAAGAAGAGCCCCCTGCTCTTTTCCTTCTCTCCTCCTGACTGGGTGTTGCACAGCAGCACCAAACAGAAGGACACACGAGGTACAGGAGACGTCCCAAGCAATGAGGAGGTGGGGAAAGGCAGAGGGAAGGGGAGGCACGTTGCACAAATCAAGAGAGAATACCAGTGGCAGAGGCAGGAACCGAGGAGCCCTGTTGTGGCTTCTCACAGCTGGGTGTGCAATGCGCCGTCTCCCCTAAGAGCCAAGTGCTCAGCCTAACTCATCAATTTGTGCAGAAACCTACATTAAGTGGCAAATATGCCAGTTAGCATTGAGATGTTACAATGAAAGGGCACGCTGAGCAGGTTCACCAAGGGAAAACGGGGCTTTTGAGATCTTTCCTACGTCCAAAATCAAAACAAGGCCAAGTGCATACCAGAATAAGACTGCTAATCTGTCCACCCCACCTGCTACCTGCTATAAACAAATGGGCCCTGCGTTTAACACTAAGCCTTCCAGCTCTTTTCCGGCTGAAAGTGCCACAAGAGGTGACTCGCCTTTACACCCAAGCCAAGAGAAGCAGCAGGCATGACGCTACCCTTCTCACATCAGTGTTGCTGCTGCTGGTGGAATGGGGGCAGTCACAGCAGAAGACAGGACTGGCTCCTCTGTGCACCCACACAGCCCCAACCTCACCCCGCCCCATTGCCACACCATCCAGGTACGCAGCAAGAACTCTGGTGCTGGGGCCCTCACCTTGAAAGGGCCATTTTATAGATCACACAGAGAAAAGTCCAGGTTTGCTAGTAAATGCACACTCATTAGCGGGCTTCAGCCAACCACACTTCCATGAGGAGCATACCTAGACAATGCAAATATTCGTCACATTTGCATTTCAAAGAGTACTCTTGAGCGTCACCCTTAAAAAGACAATGTGTGATATGCTTCACTCCACCTGTTGCCTATCACAGTTGCCATTTCCCCCATGTGAATCTGAAGAGGATTCTTCGTAGAATTGCGATTCTTCATAGAATTCTTTATAGAACTGTAGAGTTGGAAAGGACCCCATGGGTCTAGTTTAACCCCCTGCAATGCAGGAGCTTGCAGCTGTCCCATACAGGGATTGAACCTGCAACCCTGGCGTTATCAGCACCACACTCTAACCAACTGAGCTATCCAGGTGTAAAGTATTTTTTTAAAAAAATAGGCAGGGCCTCTCAAGCAGGGCTGCAGGGTGAAATGGACCAGTAGCTTTGTTTCTGGGATGGACATTGGCTTTTATGCATTTACCTTAATTATGGAGCATCTTATTATTACAGCGCCTGAATGCAGTCTTTTTGTGCAGGAAATTCAACATTCTGTCTCATGACAAATGGAAACTTCCTTATTTTCCACGCTGCTTTGTCGAGTTGAAAAGAGTTGCCTGTACTTCTCTCTGGCTGACTCCAAATCTGATACTCGCTTTAATCGGCGTTTAGTTGCAAAAAGGGGAAAACATGGCATTTCCTCCATGCCTCCCACAATGCCTTGCTACAAGCACTGTCCACGAGCCGCCTAGTTATGCCTCCTGTTCGTAAGGAAGGCTGCTGATACGAGAGCCCTGGGGAGTTCTCCAATGACTTAAAGGAAGCCAGGTAACTAGAGAGATGAACCAGAGTATGCGCTGCTGCTCTTAACTAATGTTGCAGAGATGGCTGAACCACTTACAAAGAACTTAAGGCAAAAATGGGTGGGTGAGGAGGGGCTTGGAACAATAAGCACCCCACCATTTATATCAAATGTACAGATTCTACTTTTCTCGCATCAGTCTTTTCTTGATCTGTTGTCTTTATAAACCCTGCCAAGTTGGAAATGCCCATTTGCAACAGAAATCACAACAGCAACAGGCAGCAATAACAGGAATGAAGCCTGCCTGGGGAATACTGCAGCCTGGGGAATAGCAATCGCATGCTTATCACTACAAGATAATTAGCTGCCTGAACAGGGAGGTTACTTATTATAGACACTGAAGACTTGACTGGCTCCCTTTCAGCAGAGAGGGCAGGGAAGGAGGGGGGGAAAAAGGCAGAAAATGACCAAGATTCTAGCAGCGGATGGGCACTCTATTTCTCTTTTAGGGATAAGAGACTGCAGTTCAAATATCCTCCTTTTAAGAGGCTCCAGATGGGATACGCTTCATGCCACGTCACTGCACAAGTTAGAAATGTTGTCTGCCTGGCTCAGGGACTCCCTGAGAAATGCAACCTGTTTGCATGCAACAGTTCCAGAAAGACACAATAAGGAAGCAAAATGGATTGGGCAAACAGAAGCACCACGTCTTGCACACTGAACATGCTAGTTTCTTCTTTGCTCTCTTCTCCCCTCAAAAATGTCACCTTCACCCACACAGTCAGGAAATCCATTTCAAAAGCATCATCATATTTTAGCCACGAGAGCAGATGCCCATAACAAGGGTGGAGCACAGAGTAGTCATAAGTTACTCTCTGGAGGCAACTGAACTACAGGGAACCGATTTGCTCAGGAGTTTCCATAAATGCAAGCCAGCCTCATGTGTATTTATGACGCCGAAAACTTAGCATAATAAAACACTTATTGATTATGGATGTGCCACTCAGCAGAATCAACAATGTGCCAAAGATAAATGAATGCTACATTTAAAATGTAATGCATTAAGCACATAATGGCTTTTGCAAAATGGTTTTCCAACCTGGAGAATATTTAAGAAGAGGAGGAGGAGCAGGCATTCCTATCTCTGGGTGCCCTTCCTTTTTTGCCTTCTGCTTCTTTCCACTTGCAAGGCATAATTTGGAAAACAACCACCGTCGCCACCCGTGTTTTCTGTATTCTGCAATAAAACAGCAGTAGGAATGCAGAACATTTGGGCATTAGCATTCAGAGAGCTCCATTTAAGCAAACGAGGGCTTTCTCCACTGGAAGATTCTGGAGAACAAGTCTCAGACATACAGCAGGTGCATTGCGCGGCCACCCCTGGGATTTTCAGGTGGCTTTCCACAGTTTCATTGCTGAAGTGCGCAAAGAATAAGGAAGATGAAAAAGCATCGGCATCCCTAGAACATCACAGGCACGAAAACTACAGCTCCTGCTCAGCAGGGAGCTGAGGAGCTCCAGCACTGGAGTCCTAGTGCAAAGATTTTGACCCAGGAGGTGGGAAGAACTACATAGTGTTGTTTCTCCAGTTCTCTTGGCAGGGGGTGGTGGATATGAAAGAGGAATATCCCTCTGTGCCAGACCAAACCCTGGCCTCTGTTTACTAGACACAAGAAAGTCCGCATGCAAGAGAGATAGGCCTGATGTAGAAAAAAGGAATCACAGGAAGTGGTCCCTCGAGGGAATGCAATGAGTGAGATGCAAGCTTCTAGGCTATGTGAGAATTTGAGGTTTTAAGTTTGAACAGAAGGGCAAAAGCCTTGAAACTTTATGTGCAAACCTCTGTCTGTCTGTCGCTCTAGCTCTCTTCCACACCCATACCTGTGAACAGATATTGAATAGACTGTACCGCAGTGGTGTCCAAACATTTTTCAAAGAGGGCCAGATGTGATGAAGCGAAGGGCCGTGAGGGCCGACCAAGGGGCCAACCAAGGTCGTTAACCTTTTCTTAGGATTGCAGTTGTTAAGCTTTTTTTAGGGTTGAAGTTGTTGATGTTTTTTTAGGATTTTACCCCAGGAGAAAAGCTGCCACAGGGGCTGGGTTATGTCCCCAAAATGGACGTTGGACATGCCTGCTGTACTGCAATTGCCTCATCCTGGGATAGCTTGGCTGTCTGCAATATCCTGATTTAGTGGGGGGAGCTTTAAATTGCCTATCAGTGTGTAGTTAAAGTGTAATACGTGGCAATGGTCAGCTGTACGAGCTCATTGCTTGGATGCTGATCTGCCCATTGAAAACAATCTCAAGCTGCTAAACGTTTATCTTCCCTTCCCCTTGAATGCTGCTACCTTGGCTCTCATTCTCTTCCTACATTAGGCTACAGGCACATCTGTTCAGGATGAAGTGGCAGACTTGGAAGTCTGCTAGCCTCCGGCAACTGGAATCGCCTGAACAATTTTGGATACTGCCTGCCATCGTCTTGGGACTAAATTACAAGATGTGACCGCTCTGAGAAGCTTCTCTGCTTCTCAGGGTTTTCTGCCTAAACCGATTTGCCCATCAAGCATTTTTTAGCCCACTGCTGTGCTAATGCTACAGCCTCGGGGGTGGGGGGTGGGGGGAGAGGTGGCGTGGCCAGGATTGCACAGAGGGGAGAAAATGGTCATGACTAATGCAGTTGCACTTACTTGTTGACTAGCAGGAAGTTCCCAATCAAGCACAGCACAGAAGGCACAGTGGAAGCCATGGAAATGTAGCTTTCAAAGAAGTCCTAAGGAAGGGAGGAAAAGTGTGTCAAAGAGGGTTGCAAAAACTATGCCTCAGAAAGAACAAAAAGACGTGACATGGCTTGTCCCCGAGTCTCCCTGTCACAAGTCGCAGGCACAGCAGCCCAAGGTCACGGCTTCGCAGCGTCCTGAAGCTTGCAGGGCTGCAGACTTTGCAAAGTGATTAACCCCACACCACTCAATTTGTTTAGCCGAGGAGCATGTCTGCTATTGTGAACCTCAAAGACACCTCTTGCTGCATTACTGGCCACTCCACAGTGTGAATCTCATTGTGACCTTTTTCTTAGTTCTCATTAAGGAAGGTTAAAACACATGAGGGGGGGAGGGCTCTTCCTCCTTTTTCTTCTATGAATCGTGCCAGCAGTCAAGATACACAATGTGAACCCTTTAATCTCCACATGGGGCAAAATTCTCCACCACAGAAGGCCTGTAATTTAAGATGAAGCCTTTTGCCTGCGATAAGAAATGGCTGTCCCAGGTGAGGGCAAATGTGGCATTTTTTATGCAAGAGATTTCATGGGAGAACAAGAAATGAAATGAGGCAGTGGGGACAGGAGTCAACGTTACTTGGAATCTCTGTGTTCATTCAGAAGACGCAAAGTTTTAGCACTTAGGAAGGTAGGTTTTAAACCATGTGGGCAAATGCCTACAGAAATCCCATAGTATCTTGCCTGCCTGCCCTGCATCCACACTTGTGCCTCTTTTAGTAATTTGTGGCATGCTAAATTGCTGTTTAGGGGATGCGGGTGGCGCTGTGGGTTAAACCACAGAGCCTAGGGCTTGCCGATCAGAAGGTCGGCGGTTCGAATCCCTGCGACGGGGTGAGCTCCCATTGTTTGGTCCCAGCTCCTGCCAACCTAGCAGTTCAAAAGCACGTCAAAGTGCAAGTAGATAAATAGGTACCACTCCGGTGGGAAGGTAAACGGCGTTTCTGTGCGCTGCTCTGGTTCGCCAGATGCGGCTTAGTCATGCTGGCCACATGACCCGGCCATCATGTGGCTGTACGCCGGCTCCCTTGGCCAATAAAGCGAGATGAGCGCCACAACCCCAGAGTCAGTCACGACTGGACCTAACGGTCAGGGATCTCTTTACCTTTGAATTGCTGTTTACAAAGACTACCCTGTCTACTCATTTGGAAGTGACCAGGCAAGGAAGCTTTTACAGCCTGGGAAAAAGTTACCTCTCCTCACTTTTTCAGTCTTCCAGTGTCCCACAAATTACTAATGCGGGCATGTGTGGATACAGGCAGGCTGGCAAACACTTTTATAGGCTAGTAACTTGTGTGGACTTATTTATAGGAAGTGATTCAGCCGCCCTGCAAATCAAGACGGTCTTCTATTTTACTGCTGCTTAATTCTCCCAAACTTCTCTTCTCTCCCCGCATACGAGAGAACAGAGAATCCCGACGAGAGCTCATCACCTCAATGTGAGCTTGTGTGCACAGAATAGGCTCTGGAAAATTCCAGACAAGCTGGGTGCATTGATCTCAATCGCATTTTCAAGATGTATTTTCTTTGATCTCCTGTATCAGCCCAATAAGCCTTCTAAATCAATGAAACTGAGGTTCATAATGAGATGGTGGGTGGAGAGAGAATGGCCCAGTATTAGCCACAGCTTCTCCAGCACAATGCAATAATTTCAGGCAAAAATACTGGATACTTAAATATATACGTATTTGTCTTTTTTCTAAAGGGGGGAAAATTGCCCAGTGGTGTTAGCAAAAAGTCTGCCCGGTGCTGCCAAGATGCTTTTGCAAAGTGGCTTTTTATTCAGCTTAAACTCGGCAGCAGAAGCAGCTGGGTTCCTGCTGGGCTAAAAAAGCAGTTCAAGCCCTGGGTGACGGAGCAAGGCACTAGAGCGTTACCTGGATCACAGGGCATGAAATTAGCAGCAGCCAGCAGGTTGGAGCCAAGAATAGCTTGCAGTTGTGAGCTCATCTTCAGATAGCCGAGACCTGCTTCTAACGAGTCTGTGCGGGGCCAACGAACTCTCCCCCCCCCTTTGCTGCTCACTCATCACACCCCAACACCGAACGCTCAGAAGCTGACTCCCAAAGCAAGCTGCTCTGCTGGAAATTTCAATAGCTGTGAAAGGGCAACCGCACCCATCAGTTGCCCAGATTCACAGTTCTGTCGGCCGGATTTTGAATGATGGAACATCCCTATTTTGTTTCGTTAGCGCTTTTTAGGAGGTGATTATAGTCAAAGAGGCAGAGCTATGCATGCCAAGGTTTGTTATTGGCTACAGATTGTGGTTAGCAAGGAAAGAGCTAAACCATGAGTCTGGGTTCAGGCAGCACGTTAAGTCAAACCTTGGCTTAGCTCAACCTGGCATGGGAGTAGAAAAGGCCAGGGAGGAGCAAAATGTCTGCAAGCTTCTCTCTTGGAGACCACCCACTCATGTGGTCCTGGTTTAAGTCACAGTTTGGCTTACTGTGTCTTGAGACCCTGCTCTCTGGCTGCCAGTTTGTTTCCAGGCAGAATTCAAACAGCAGGTCTGGGTCTCTAGAGCACTGAATGACCTGGGATCAGAGTAATCAAAGGTCTGTCTGCTTCCATACTATAAACCTCCCTAACTGATGAGATGTCCGTTCTTCTGTGTGGACCTTGTGGTGGAAAGGTGGGGTATAAAATATTTTTGTGTATATATTAAAAAGTGGGAATCTTATTCTCCAAGGCTTCCAATATTTTATATGGGCACCACCCACATATTTCCTAGCTTATCTTTGCATCCTTGAAAACAAAAGAGCTTAAGATATAGCCAAAACTCCCAGACAGGCGATTTCAGCACACCATGTTCTATATATTTCTGTTCTGGCATGGAATCAGGAAAGACACACAGCCCTGATCACAAGGCAGGCTTAGATAAAGCAGGCCCTTGTGCAGGAGAAGGTTCATGGCTCAGTGAAAAGGACACATGCACTGAATTCAGATGGCCCCAGGTTCAAAACACAGCAACTCCAGGGCTGGAAACATCCCCTATCGGAAAACCTAAAAAGCCACTAGCAGACACTGCAGGCAATACTGATGGGCCACTGGCCTGATTTAGGAAAACAGCATCTTCCTATGAGACCCTGCTCCTATCAAATGCACCATGCTATACAGATACCCACAGTGTTACGATATAGAAGCAATGCAGCTGCAAACTGCTAGCTTGAAAAGTAAACATGATGGGAATGTTGTGACTGTCTGTGCGAAACAGAGGGACAGTCAGCTCAAAAGGCAAGCACCGGAATTAGCTCAGAGTGTAATATGAGCTCTTCCTCTTGCTCTTGTACAGGAAGTACAGGAGGTGTTTGTCACTCGACTGCTGGAGCTTGAAGAGAGCAGTCATGTCTTCTGTTATGCTTCAAAGACAGAAATAAAAGCATGTAAAAACGTTTCTGTCTATCTCCTTTTCCCTGCCGGGAGAGCAGGAGGGAGGGGTGTGTTCTTCTCACGCTGAGAAGAATCGCCTATCGCGACCTAGCCTGGATCTTGCTGGGAATGCAGCCAGGGAGGTCAACAGGAGACCAAGCCGGGTGCCTGGGAGTGTTGCAAGTTTCTCCTGATAAAGGCTTGATTTCCGACACACAGAACATCCAGCCTGCTATGTGCACCTGCCAGCATCACCTTTGCATTTCCTGATTCCAAGGTATATCCAGCATTAGCCTAAGATGCACCTGTTAAGCACCTGAAGTGTGCAACCATTGGCAGTGAAAAGAAGGGAGGGTAAAAAGAACAGACTCCATCACCCATGGTGACCAATTTAGCTTACTGTACAGGCTGAAGGAAGTTAAGGAAACACTATGCAAGGATGCCATATAGCACTCCAACACCCAAGTCATGACACTCTCCGCAAAAGGCCAATGGTGATGTGGTCTAAAGTTCAGGGGTTGTCTGACACCAGGTTAGGTTGGATGCCCCACCTTGTTTCCTGATCAAACCTTTAATCTCCCTGTGCCTTGATTTCTTCCTCTTTGTAGAACTGCGGCATTCGCACCAGTTCCCCACAGTCATTTGTTATTAGGAGAAATTACTGACTGTGCTGCACCCTGAGAAACCACCAGATGGAAGGAACTATAATTAAACAGCAGACTGCAGGAGATTGCTCTGCTTTGCAGGGCCTGGTTCCAACTGGTGCTTAATTTTTAGAAGAGGAGCCAGAGATGCCAGGGCTCCAGCCTCTCCAGAAGCATCAGGGCATTTCGATCTGGAAGCCCTCCTTCCTAGCAATGCGCAGCCTGAGGGGGCTCTCTGCACTTTCTGTAGTGCTGAGGTTACTCCATGCCTGCTCAGAGATCTTTTCAATTATTCTTTTGCCACACGTTTCAGGGCCGAGCGGTTCAGAGGATGGTTAGAGACATGGAAAAGCAAGTCCTCTGAGGAAAAGGTGAAGGAACTGAGGTCGCTTCCACATCATACACCTGGGAAGTGTAGTTTGTTATGGGAGCTGACCTCACAGAGCTACAATTCCCAGGACTAGTAACAAACTACAGACCCCAGGATTCTCCATGAATGTGGTAGAAGAATGCTTCAAATATATGGCATAGATGTGACCCAGGTATATTTAGCTGGGACAAGAGAAGACTAAGGGGGAGGGGGATGTGATAGCCCTCTTAAAATCCCCGAAGGACTGCCAAACAGAGGGGAAAGCCTTGTCCACTAGGTACCTCATTGGATAGAACTAGATTTAACCTGCTCAAGTAGGGTAGATTTGGGTTGAACATTAGGAAAAACCTCTTGAGAGTAAGAGGAGTTGGGCAAGGGAACCAATTACCTAGAGAGGTGCTGGGCTCTTCCTCACTGCAGGCCTTCTGGAAGAGGCCCGGCAGTCATCTCCTGGGCATGTTCTAGCTCTGTATTTCCTGCACCCAGCAGAGGATTGAACTAGATACCTACAAGGCCCTCTCCAACTCTATGATCCCATATGTAAGAGTGGAATGGCTGGTGAGCCATTAAGATCAGGCTCTAGTCTTGGACTCCTGAAAACGGGTTATCCGTGGCACCAAATCTGGGCTGCTATGTCAATACATTAAAAGGCAACAACAAAATCTTCTGTGACTTTACTAGGCCATTAGTGCAAGCCAGTGCTTTCTCAAATAATAGGTCAGGCCTCCCCAGCAGGCTGCCAAGGCTTCTTGCTGTGCAATCAACTTGGCATGTTGGACATATATGCACATTAGGCCCCTTTTGCTGGCGTTTCATTTTGCTTGCGCATATCTGGCAATAACACCGGTGTTATTAAAATTCCTGTGCAATGGCAATTCAGCTACAACCATTCTTCAAAGTGTAAGTGCCGAGAAATATTTAAAGCCTCCATTTTCCATTGTTCTTTAGGAAGAGCAGACTCCTTTGGCTTGATCATTCATCCACTTTGAGGCAAATCATGCAAAGCTGAGCAGAGAACAAAGCTCTGGGCTCTGGGTACAGGGAGTTACTGAAAGGGCAGGCTTCCAGACCAGAAAAAAATGCTTGACGTTAAATGTTCTTAGTGCATTCCACTCAAGAAAACATAAGGAAATGCAAAGACTCAAATGACGTGCAGGTGAGAAAGGAACCCATCCCTAGTACAAAATAGAAGTTCATGGAATGACCCAAATTCTGCATAAAGAAAAGCCACATTGTGCACTATTGCATTTATTTTATTGCTTGTTGCATGCAGTGCATTCTGCTTCTCCTTAGACCAGGGATGCTGTCCAAATGTCTGCCGGCTCCAAACAGCATGGACCCCAATGATGAGACTTGGAAGGTGCCATGTCAGCCATATTTGTAGGGCACTGAATCCCTCATCCCCAGTGTAGCAGAAAACCTATTCAGGAATAAATTCAGCTTCTGTGATTTACTAGACACCACACCCTTCATTTTCAAGTCTATCTTTATACCTATAAGGTTTAGAAACTTGTTTTTGTCACATACACACCCCTCACAACCCTCACAGGTTTTGGAGATGCTTAACTCTACCTCCAATGACACAACCTGCACTCAAAAGAGTGTTACCAGCAGCGGCATACATATACATGCGACACCTCCAACAAGTCCCACCAAAGTGCACAGTAGACTTTTCTAGGGGGAAACGAGGCAACATGCCTCTTCCTGACTCTGCAAAGCGATCATGTCTCTTGCATCAGCTACAAACCTGTTCCTCCCAAATGTCAAAGGGCAGGAGAGGAGAATAAGGGGTTGTGTCACTGCTGACTTAGCTGTTTATGTCGCATGGATAAAGCATTCCGTTTTTCAGGGTTAGCAAGCCAGCACTTTCCATAAGCAATAAAATTCACTTAGTGGTTTCCTTAGCTCATACTTCTCCCAGTCCAGCCCCCTCAATGCCCTTGTTTAAAGTAGGCCATGTTGCAAGATTGGCTGTATTATGTAAACCTGAGGCCGGGGTTCCATATGTAACTCTCAGTAACAGCATTTCAGATACATGACCACATTTACTTCTTCCTGCGTATAGCCATAAAAGCTCCCACACAAAAATAAGTCAATTTTACAAAGATGCCACTCGGGAACATTAAAAACAACCAACCAAGCCCACTTGTGCTACTTTAGCTCATTCTCCAAGGCAAGCGTTATATATTCAAGATTGCACTAAAACCTAAAGACCTTTTCTGCACTGGTAAGAGTTGCCCTAAATGCAATAATAAACTAACAAACCTGACGCCAGCCGTGCTGATTCACGCTAGCCTGCTGATTTCAATGGGACTTTCTAAGCGAGAATAGTTAACATTGCAACCTGGGTTGCCTTTAAAAACAAAACAACTTTCCAAACTTAACACCTCAAATTCTAGGGGAATCATTAACAGCCTGACTCACTCATTATTTGCATATCTTAGCATTCTGAGACGGAAAGCATTTAGACACATCTCTGCTTGCAAGACAGTCACGGGTATATGTCACGCAACTCCCAGGCGAAACATATTCCCATCTCTCTCTTCTCAGGCACAAATACAAGATGGGTGACACCTGGCTTGAGAGCAGTAGATGTGAAAAGGATCTAGGAGTCTTGGTTGACCACAAACTTGACATGAGCCAACAGTGTGACGCGGCAGCTAAAAAAGCAATGCAGTTCTGGGCTGCATCAATAGGAGTATAGCATCTAGATCAAGGGAAGTAATAGTGCCACTGTATTCTGCTCTGGTCAGATCTCACCTGGAGTACTGTGTCCAGTTCTGGGCACCACAGTTCAAGAAGGACACTGACAAACTGGAACGTGTCCAGAGGAGGGCAACCAAAATGGTCAAAGGCCTGGAAACGATGCCTTATGAGGAACGGCTAAGGGAGCTGGGCATGTTTAGCCTGGAGAAGAGGAGGTTAAGGGGTGATATGATAGCCATGTTCAAATATATAAAAGGATGTCACATAGAGGAGGGAGAAAGGTTGTTTTCTGCTGCTCCAGAGAAGCGGACACGGAGCAATGGATCCAAACTACAAGAAAGAAGATTCCACCTAAACATTAGGAAGAACTTCCTGACAGTAAGAGCTGTTCAACAGTGGAATTTGCTGCCAAGGAGTGTGGTGGAGTCTCCTTCTTTGGAGGTCTTTAAGCAGAGGCTTGACAACCATATGTCAGGAGTGCTCTGATGGTGTTTCCTGCTTGGCAGGGAGTTGGACTCGATGGCCCTTGTGGTCTCTTCCAACTCTATGATTCTATGATTCTAGGCAGCATGCTAAATCCTCCTCACGGTGCCACTTCAGACACTGCGCTCTCCTGACCTGAGAACAATGAAGTGGGCTTCTTAGAAAATACTGAACTGGAAAACAAGAGGACCATTCTGCTATGCGAGGAATCTGCACAGAGTAATTGTCAGTTTGTGCTGGGAAATTTTTTCTGACGTCCCAGCAAGTGATCTAAATCAACAAGCTTATTTTGCTTGCATTTAATAAACAAAGATACAGTGGTACCTCTGGTTACGTACTTAATTCATTCCGGAGGTCCGTTCTTAACCTGAAACTGTTCTTAACCTGAAGCAACACTTTAGCTAATGGGGCCTCCTGCTGCTGCCACACCACCACCACGCAATTTCTGTTCTCATCCTGAAGCAAAGTTCTTAACTCGAGGTAATATTTCTGGGTTAGCGGAGTCTAACCTGAAGCGTATGTAACCTGAAGTGTATGTAACCCGAAGTACCACTGTACAAACTTTGAAACTGTCTGATCTTGCTCAATAGCTATTTGCAGCCGGCATCCATTCATTTTTACTAATGAACTTGTGAAAGACACCCCAACCCCCCATGGAAAAAAATAAAGCACTGGAATGTTTTTCAGAAACTGTTCAGTCGCATGTCACTGCATGAGAAAGTACTGTGGAAAAATGATACCACTTAACTTTCTAATTCTCCCCCTCCCCAAGCCCCGCCCCCGTTTGCTGTTTTGTAGAAATGAAGGAGCCTTATCTACTATGAGCCAATCAGCATTTTCTCAATCTTGCTCCATGCAGCAAACATGGATTAGACTGAATTAGAAACCTCTCATCTTGTATATAATTTAGTTGGGGACTCAGATATGTGGTCCTCACATACAAACAACATTACGTAAGAAGAACTCTGCTAGATCAGGCCAAAAGCCCACGAGTCCAGCATTCTGTTCTCAGTGGCTACCTTATCTTTCTCCTAAACAGCTCAATCATTCCTTAGCTTCCTTAATGGCCCATTTGAAGTACTAGCCAAGAGATCCTTTTAGGACACCCAAATCAGAATCTAATCTTGTTTGTGGGGAGTTCTGCTGGAAATTAGGTATGGGGCAATGAGCTAAATGTTACATATTAATTGAGCCGAGCTCCAGATAAAGATAAGTTTATCATCCATCTGAACCTGGTAATCAGGTCAGCATGCCCCAGGAAACCACGAGTGGTGAAGTCACCTGTCTTTTGGAAGACATATAAACATGAAAAATGCTGGGTTTATTTTGATGGGGTGGGAACCTTCTTCTCCTCTCTTTGCTGATGAAAGACTGTCTTCTTGCTGTGAGGTCACAGAATGGGAGAGTCAGAAGAGACCCTGAGGTCTAGTCCAACCCCCTAAAATTCAGGATTCTCAACTAGATAATACATGACAGGTGGCCATCCAACCTCTCCTTAAAAACCTCAAATGGTGGCAAGTCCACCACCTTCTGACGGTCCATTTCACTGTCAGACAGCTCTTACAGTCTGAAAGTTCCTCCTGTTTAGTTGGAATCTCCTTTCCTGAAACCTGAAGCCATTGGTTTGGGTTCTGCACTCTGGAGCAGGAGAAAAGAAGCTTGCTCCAACTTCCATGTGATAGGTCTTTAGATATTTGAAGATGGTTATCATGTCTCCTCTCAGCCTCTCCTCTTTTCTAGGCTAAGCATACCCAATTCCCCCAACCATTCCTCATAAGGCTTAGCTTCCAGACCTGTTATCATCTGTGTTGCCCTCCTCTGCACAAGGTTCAGCTTGTCGATATCCTTCTTAAATTGTGGTGCCCAGAACTGGACACAGTACTCAGGTAAGGTCTGACCAAGGCAGAATAGAGCTTGATCAGAACACCACACTTCTGCTGATGCAACCTAGAATAGCATTAGCCTTCTTTTTTTTGGCTGCTGTTCCAGACTGTTGACTCATGTGAAGCTTGTGGTGTACTAAGACCAGGGGTCAGCAAACTTTTTCAGCAGGGGCCAGTCCACTGTCCCTCAAACCTTGTGGGGGGCCGGACTATATTTTTTTTTGGGGGGGAGGAATGAACTATGCCCCACAAATAACCCAGAGATGCATTTTAAAGAAAAGGACACATTCTACTCATGCTGATTCCTGGACCGTCCATGGGCTGGATTTAGAAGGTGATTGGGCCAGATCCGGCCCCCAGGCCTTAGTTTGCCTACCCATAACTAAGACCACCAGAGGAGGTCAGGCAGCTGGTGGGGTGGGTCTCTGAAAGACAGCATTGCTAGAGGAGCATTTTACCTCAGAGAAGGGGTGTCCAGGGTTTCCAGACATGAAACGGCTGTGGAAAATAAATGTTCAATCTCACTATTAAAATAAGTCAAGAGAAACAGGTTCAGAAAAGTGAAACCAGGTCAAAATTCACAGCGCCAAACCCTTCAGTGTCAGATCTTTCCTTGAGGGCACCAGGAGACAGCCTGCTAGTGATCAAATACTTCTCACCTAAAGTGTTACGCGATATCACAGGAGTGGCTATATTTGATGGCTCAGTACATTAATCCCTGCATATACCCCCACATCAGCTTGTTAAATCTGCACGGTGCTTTGTGACCCTTCACGACGAAGAACAAATATCCCCAAGTTGCTGTTATGCCATGGAGAGATTGATGCAGTGTCTAGAGTGGGTAAACAGCAGCGTTTCTAGGCTGCATGAGCTGACGTTAGACCACCATTGCTGCACTTTGTTGGACTAATGACAATATAGCATCACTGCAGGGTTTCCCTGCCCCCTTTTCTGAGCAAAAGGTGTTTCCCAATTAGGGAAACACTTCCCAATATTGGGATGCATTTATAACTGTGGCCAAGTATATGTCAGGGTTCTATCCCAAACAACATTACAATGAATACTTTCCCCTCACGCCTACTGGTACAGAGCTTCCAGAAGAGTCACTCTCTGTATCACTTCCACTCATAGCTGTCAACTTTTCCCTTTCCTTGTGAGGAATCCTATTCGGAATAAGGGAATTTCCCTTTTAAAGAAGGGAAATGTTGACAGCTATGCTTCCACTATTATTGGTAAAGAAGTCAGAGTGTTGACATCTTCCTACATGTCCAAGTCAATGGGGTGGCAATAGTGAGAGGTGGGTTAATAGGTGGGCAGCTCAATGGGGCAAGTTGTCTTCTGACATCCATGTCACTACTAGCACCAGAATGACGTGTCAGCGTTGTTGCTTTGAAGTCAGCTAAGGTTGCAAGCATTTCAGCTGGGGCAATTAGAATAAGATCCACTATTTGACTATTGATTCAAAACCCTAAAATGTATTTTATATAATTGACTTTTTAATTTTTATTCTTTGTATATTGTATTGTTGTTTTCCTGCTATGGCCGATGGCTGACACAAATAAAGATCCATTCATTCATTCCCTCACTTCGGTTTTTGCCTCATATGCTACACCAGCTTTCGTAAATAAGCTCACTAAAGTTACTAGCCTGCAACTGTTTTAACTAGCTTGCTGCTGGTTGGGCAGAAGAAAGGTGGAGAATTCTGTCCCTTCTCTGGCAACCTGTTTGGGTTTCCATGCTGGGCCCACCGCTACCAGCAGCCCTCTCACTCACGTACATGGTACTCCATGCACTTGCCTGAACTCAGGTCCTGGTCACCTGTAGCTAAGAGGCTAGTTCTTAAAATCATGGCTGGGCTCCAGCAATTTACATGGGTGAAGCAAGAGTTGCAAAGCGAGAGCTGCTTGCATTTCTGCAAGTCCTACATCAAATGTAATAATCAAAATTGGTCGTTAGAGTATACCTCTTTAGTTCTTCTGTCTGTGTAAACCAGTCCATGCCAGAAGCAGCCATGAAACAGAAGTGGTAGCATTTCTAAAGAGAGGAACTGAAATTATTTCCTAATTTTGCTGGTGGAAATGGTTGAGTTTGTAGGAATAATGGTATCTTTGTTTGTTTTTGTGAATGCATCGATGGCAATAATTCAAGCCTATGAAGGGGAATCACCAGCAAGAAAAGAAAGTACAACTCAAACTGATCATGCATGAAGTTTGCTGGATTGCCTTAGGCAAATCAAATCAGTCTCAGCTCCCTATTTGAAATATGGAGATACCAACACCGGCCTTACAGGGCTGTTGCAAAGATTGCAGATAAAAGTACTTAATATTTATATTTCAAACCCTTCTTATTATGGTTTTATAACTGCTTTTAATGGTGGTTTCACTGCTGCTGATTTTTAGGGTTTTACTCTCTCCACTGAGTTATCTTAAATGTTTTGAAGACACAAACTAACAGAGCATTGGTACTCAAGTCTCATTGGTCCAATCTCAGAGCAAGATCCACTAGCTACAGATGCCACATAAGCAGAGGTCCACTGGCCCCTTCATACTGGAAACTCCGGTGAATCATTTTGTTTTGCAATCCACTTATATGTAAACTTGGCCAGCGAAGCACTAGGCCTTGTCGAGAAAGTGAGGATTTTCAGTGGAGCTGCAAAATCAAGCATGTTAATTTTATTCGTGCCGGAATTTCAGAAGCTTAACACTTCAAAATAGAACCTTGCATTAAAAACAAACAAACATGGGAAGCCCAGTAAAATTTGAAGTTGCCCATCATAAGAGACGTGCCAATGTTCTCTTGGGAGAAGTTACCTACTTTGCTAAAGAGAAATAAAAAATCCAAGGGAAGGAAAGCAACTAGGAATTAAGGAGGAAAACAACAGTGTGGGACCAAGATGCCTAGGAGGCTTCCTCCACTGGAGCGTTCGCATCAAAACGCCAATCCTGTGAATCAAGAAGCAACAAACTTCTAAGCTTGCACGCCAAGACAAGAGGCTCCCTGCTGCAGCCGGCAGCCTGTTCACACCTGCCAGTGTTTTGGAAAAAGCCATAAAGTACAGCAGGCAGCTTGCAGAATTCCAAACAGGTGCTAAGAGGGTTTTCACTTTGGAAAAGCTGGACTATAATGGGCACCTGTAGACTTCTACTGCCATGCCCGCGTCTCCACTTTTTAAACACCTGCGTCATTGGCGTTGTGGCAGCACGGAATCCCGAAGTAGGCAGACCTAGGAGGGTCATACATTTCAAATTACTTGTCAGTAATTACTGTTGATTGCCACTGTGCCCTCCCCTTTCCTGAGCCCTCTAAGCACGCAATAGCAAAACAGCAAAACTAATCTTGCAGATAACACAGGCATGTTAAGTCTCTCACTTCATGCTGGGCTATGAAGAGGAAATGCAAGCACTGTAGTTCCCACTTTCTCCAAAACCCAAGCCAAACTGAGACAACACACACACTGTCTTCTCCTGAGTTGTCTGCCATGGCAGAGGCACTGGGGACAAGCAGGGCTTCCCCTCCCATTATGCAAAGTGTTGACAAAGGCAAGAAGAAGCAAGAGTGTTTTTCACTGCTTATTCTAACAACCTCCAATGTCTGGAATTAAGCAAGGCAGGCCAGTGTTGGGAAGGTGGTGCTAGGCTTTGAGAACAAAACAGAAGTTTGTCTATATTTTGTATGGCTCATTCCAATTCATAGAATCGTAGAGTTGGAAAGGACCCATGGGTCATCTAGTCCAACCCCCTGCAATGCAGGAATATTTTGCCCAATGTGGGGCTCGAACCCACAACCCCAAGATTAAAGAGTCTCGGGCTCTACCAACTGAGCTATCCCAGCAGTCACCATTACCACATTCATAACAAAATTAATGCAACTGTTGCATGTCAGCATGGGGTTGTCATTGCTTTGCAAAATTCACAAAGAATTAGAACCGATTCTCAAAGCACTAAGCAAAAACCTCTGGCGTTGAAAGAGAATGTATTAGGTTTGCTGCTCACCGTACTTCATTGAACATACCCCTGGGATGTCCTATCGATGAACATTCCCTCCTTCCCCTTTCTCACACTGATCCCTTGTGCAGAAACACCTGCACACAGACTATAAATAGCTAATATTTTCAAGTGACATTTCGATCAGAAAGCGGAGTAGGCCTTCCTGCTTTTGCAATTTAAGGCCCTATGTTTACTCTGTTCCCTCTGGGGTCCCCTTTGCGAGATCAAGGTTTATTTATTTATTTTACACTTTTCTCAATGTAGTGTTTCCAACAGCCAGCCATCATCGCTCAGCCTGCCCTATCAGAACTCTGTTTTAATCCTCACTATAGTACTTTGCAATCTGACAGATAGGCTGGTAAGCCTCTGTTAGAGCTTGATAGCACTTGCGAAAATTGGTTTTCCCAGACAGCTGTTGCAACCCATTCTGCAGGACCTGGGCATGTAGCAAATGCTGGAATCATCGTGACATTCAGAAAGGACTGGGGGAGAAGCTGCTGCTATGCAGTGGCAAGGCAACTTTTTCAACTTTGAAGGTTACAAGGGAAACAAGTGATAAGCCCAAAACACACAGCTAATTTGCAGGTGCCTTTCCCCCCTTTGCATGCAAAAGATCCATAGTGTGTTGAGAGGCCTATGATATCTTGTTCTATATTGCTAATTTTTGCGGAGGTTTGTCTCTTAAGGTGTGCCTTCTCTTTTATGCAGGCTCCTTTGGTGCAAAAGATCTGTAGATCCACCTCCAGGATCTCCATTTAGGGCTGGGAAGGACTCCTGCCTGAAACCCTGGAGAGCTTCTACCGCTCAGTGCATATGACAAGAAGCTAGATGGATCAAGTGGCCTCACACTGAATAAGGAAGCTTCCTATTTTTATGTTACTTACCCTAAAGTGAGAAATGAGACAAGCGTCAGACAAAGTGGGGAAGACACGTGTGATTTTGGATGGAAACTGGCATTAAAGCCGAAACTTGCCAAGCAGTTCTAAAGTTAAGGCAAGCATCTTGGAGGCTATCCCTGTAGCAAAAATAATTATATGGGGAACAGCTCTTGACATTCACTGGAGCTGCAGGAAGCATCCTAGCCTGCAACACCCTAGCAAATCCTCATTGGGTCCCGTGAGAGGTTACTGTGCTAAAACCATTAAAAAAATATTTTTTTTCAAAGACAATGCCTAGAGGTGGGCTGCTACTGTTTGCACTTCACAGGCAAGTGTAAACGCCATCCATTCATCCATCCATCCATTTCTCATGTAGTACCAGAGTGATCCAGTTCTGGTTTTCCCTGATAGGAGACAAGTAAATACTGAGTCCATGCTAGCCCTTTTTACTTGATAGTTAATCAAACCTCCAGAATGTCATTCCTTCATCCTACTATTTCTGAGTTACAGTTTATACAAGATGGCAAAAGTCTTGGGAGTAGTATGCACTGGGCTGCCAAGAGATGCAGCCATAATCCCATCTGTACCTTTTCAAAAAGGTGAAAAATTCCTAACTTGAGCTGCAATACTGTGATGTGTGTGGATCTTTCATTGGACACTAAACAGCAGCAACAATTATGCAGCTAGACAATTGTCATGCTATGCGCATTACAGTGAAAGTCCCTATACACCTGTGAGATTAATGCCATGAGATGCTGGCAAGTTTCGAAAGCAGCGTATTCTGTGTTATCACACACAGCCAAGCCTCTTATTTAGAGGTTCTGCAATTCATCCCCTTCCTTATTCCTCACATACCTTTACAACTATATGAATTAGAATTCCCTATGCAATGATGGAAATTTTTATCAAATTTCCAACAAAACTATTTAAAACTTTTAGGAGGCTGGCTAATTTATTTAAGGAATAAATTAAGCTGCCTAATTTATTTTAAGCACTGAATTGAACTGATTGACTCATAAGTTCCAGTGCTAGCTTTTTAGGAGCCCGGACAAGTACACTCTCAGGGTTTCCAATCTGCCCCCAGTTATGAAACCAGACTTTGAGTCCATCAGAGCACCTGGATAATAAAGGCCTTGAGAGAAATTGTGAAAAAACATTTGCTGCTCCCCTAGTCTCAGCCTAGCCTGAGTGGGGGTGGGGGGTGGGGAGAGGGAAAACCACACATAAAAGATCAGAATGGCAGCGAAATCCAAAAATTACTTATGCACTGTGTGATGAAGTACTTTCTTTTGTCTCTCATGAGTCCTGCAAATCATCAGTTTCACTTATCAAACCAACAGACGGTTGGAAGTACTGGGATCCAACTCAGCTTGCACTGAAGGCTGACATGTGCATGGAAAAGAGGAGAGTGAGGAAAAACCCTTAAAGTTTCCTAGACTGCCCTTTCTGACCTAACCTGTGCTGACCTTCCCTCCGGTACTAGACTGATACCCTTAGGGTTGCTGACCTCATTTCCTACTTCCTTCTCCTTCATCCTCACCTTGGAAAAGGAGACATCTACTTTTGGATCTCTCTGCATGCAAGATGCAAACATAGTTTGAGACGCAACAGCAAGCATAGCTCACTGCATCTCCCAGGTTAGGCAGAACCAGGATCTTTCCTGGTAATAAACAGAGCTTTCTTATTTTCCTAAACTCAGAATCTTAGTGTGACTATATCCAGGGTAAAGTGTGCTCCTCCAATAGGGATTCAGTATTAAGTTTGACTTCTGCTGAGTGTTTTAACTCCAAATGCCAAAATACTTAGAAACCTGATTCCCACACTGGACAACCACATGCCTCTGAGAAGCCCACAAACAGGACCAATATAGTGCAAGAGGGATGAAAAGAAGATGTCCGTATCTCTTTTCTTCACTGTCATATTTTCTAAACTAAAAAAGCCCCAAATGCTGGATTATGGACACCACGTGCACAACGTATTTGCAAAAACAAACCAGAGCTCTCTTCCATAAGTGAAAGTCTTGTCCTCCATAAGGATTAAGACATAAAATTCATGCACTAAGCTCACAGATAAAGAGAAGGGTTAACACAGCCGAGTTAAAACCTGAATTCCCAACACTTACGCGAACATCCGAAGTTCCCTGCTCTGCTGGAGAGATTTCTTCTGAGCAGTTCTGAAGTTTGTACATCCAGTAATTCTTTGCAGTGATGATGAAGTTCAAAGGCAAGAGAGAGCTAGTCCCCAGAAGGAAGAAAATAATGTAGGTGCCATTGAAGTGATCTTTAGGCTTGTGAAAACCGTGTCTGTTTCCCTCTGGCTCCTTGAACAGGGGTGTCTCTTCTTGGGTAGTGACATCCACTGGTTTGTACAAAGAGTTCGCACTGTGGTGGTAGTCATCTTGCTCCTCCAAATCAACAGCCACTTTTAGGAAAAATTGAAGATGTGTGAAAGTTATGGTCACATAGCATGACATTGTCACTAGCCCTTTGACCCCTATAATAATACCAGTCTCTCTTACAGCGATATGGTACACTGAGAGAATGTGCATCTGAACACTTCAAGCGAGCTATATAAATGCTTATTAATATTAAGAAATACAACCCATCTGGTTGCCACAGAAAGCTGCAGCAACCGTTGCAAGCATCCCAAATAAATCTGTGTTAAAAGGACAAGAGTTCCTGAATTCAAAGAAACTCCTTTGGTGTTCCAGAAGAGAAGCAGTTAGTGTGTCCTTATGCATAATGGAACACTGAGGCCCGCTGCAGCCTAAACAAGTCTTTAGAAGGGCCTGTGCAAAATGTCCTTATTTAAAATAATGTTAAATATATTCTGAAATATTCACATGGTTTTCAAACAGTATTCATGGAGTTTGCTTTTGCTTTACTGTATGAAATAGTTGAACTGGTAGCTGCCGCGAGTCTTCAGGGAAGGCAGGGTGAAAGTTTGTTAAAATGTTTGTAAGAGAGAGAGAACAAAGTGAAGGGACAGCATCATGTGGAAGTAGTTACCTTAGAATTAAATTTTTGATAAAATGACTCTTGTTAAGTTTTTAAGCAATCTCCATTTTCTAAGCCCTCCTGTCCAGGTCATCAAAACAAGAATTAATGGACTGGGGAGAGAATAGAAGAGGTTCCCTTCTGAAATATGTGGCTGAAGCATGTTATTCCTAGGGGAGCTGGGGAATATTTTGAGGCTAACCCACAGTGAAGAGAAATGGCAAAATGACATCTTTCATTGGGCCAATCAGTCGCTCACTAAGATGTGGAAGCTTTTTAGTTACACAAAAGCGCTTTGCCAGAAAGCAATCGATGCTTAATGTATGCTTGGTATGATTAAAAGAAAAATAAGATATGCCACATGGGCAAATAAACTCTGGGAGCCAATCCAGGAATTTCCTTTCCTTTCAAGAAAGGTGGGCTCTCACGGAAAGTCCCACCTACAATACAAACCTAGCTTCAATGCCTAAAAAATATGAATTATGGAAGACATCTGTAGGTCATCTCAGGACTTGGGATTTGCAAAACACAGCATTCTTCACACTGGCCTTTTGACACTTGAGAAACTTATTTTTTTTAGGCCCCACTCTATTCTTGCGACTGCAATTTGCTTTAAAACGTTTGAAATACTGTATTTTTAAGTTGCTGTCACCTGCCTTGGGACCTTATGGTAAAGGATGGATAAGAAATGAAATTAGTATCATTAATACTCAGCGCCCTTGACCAGCCTTGGATACTGGGCAGCTGAGGAAGAGGCTATTTGCTGTTCTCTCAGAAAACACAATGTTTTGGCCTGGCTTTGAGGGGGACCCACAAAATGCATGTTGGGTCCCCCTCAAGCCTCGCAAACCCTGACAGGCAACAATAAGAAAGCCAAAAGTTAAAAAAAAAAGTCTCAGTGAAGCCTCTCCGTGGGAAAAATCCTGGTCCCCGTCCCCCCCCGTCCCCCCAAGTGGCAAGAGAGAGCGCCTTGCTCTCGACTGAAAAGGTGCATCTTGCGAACGGGAAGCTGCCCGGACCCTCCATTCCAGCAGTGCGTGGCAGGAAACGCACTCTGCACATGCTCCGTGCCGCCGCCGCCAAACACCCCAACCTCGGATTTCACGGCGAGTTTCCGAGACCGAGGCCGAAACAAAGTGCGGCGGGAGGAGGAGCAAAGGCCGGGAGGAAGAGGAGGAGAAGCAGCAGGCGGAAAAGGAGTCGCAGGTAGAGAGCAAAGGCGAAGAGAGGCGCAGCCGCAAAACCCCCGGCGGAAAGGTCCCCGTGGCCTGAGAGCCCCGCGGAAGAAGGCGCCACTTACTGTCGCCGGCCCTGCGCGCCTCCCCATCTGCTCTGAGCCGGGCCTTCCCCAAGCACAGGCTCCGCCGGCCCTCGCGCCAAAGCCACGCCCGCCGCCGCCGCCGCGCAGCGCCGCCTCCTCCGCTGCTCCCTCCTCCTCCTCCTCCGCGGGGGCTTCTGCGAGGGTCCAGCAAGCGCTGCTCCTTTCATCCTCCATCTCTCCCGGAAGGTGCACCTTAGCCCTTCTTGGAAGTAGGCTAAAAATATATTTATAATACTACTAATGATAATCATTCCTTTTGTGCGCAATGGGCACGGATCACGACTGCTGCTCTGATTCAGGAATCTCTATCTGGATCTATCTAAGTTTATCAGACCAGTTCCCCCTAAAATATTTCAGGGCACCACAAAATTGATGGGCATGATATTGCCATTCTAATGGGGTGCGCGCGCGCGCACTGTGTCATGTGATTATACCTACCCCCCCCCCCGAATATTTTATATAAGTTGGCACCCCTGATTCATTTCCAAAGCCCCTTCCCCACTTCTTGCCCTCGCTGTACCTAATACTCAGTTCAGGAATCCCATGTATTTACAGTGAGACTTCCGGGTATACGACGATATAATAATAATAGTAGTAGTAGTAGTAGTAGTCGTAGTAGTAGTAGTAGTAGTAATAATAATAATAATAATAATAATAATGAAACGGGTCCCGCAGATGCCTGGTGCCAGACTCCGCCTATAGATTCTTGGGTGCTGGGGACGGGGGTTTATAGAATCATAGAATCATAGAGTTGGAAGAGACCACAAGGGCCATTGAGTCCAACCCCCTGCCAAGCAGGAAACACCATCAGAGCACTCCTGACATATGGTTGTCAAGCCTCTGCTTAAAGACCTCCAAAGAAGGAGACTCCACCACACTCCTTGGCAGCAAATTCCACTGTCGAACAGCTCTTACTGTCAGGAAGTTCTTCCTAATGTTTAGGTGGAATCTTCTTTCTTGTAGTTTGCATCCATTGCTCCGTGTCTGCTTCTGGAGCAGCAGAAAACAACCTTTCCCCCTCCTCTATGTGACATCCTTTTATATATTTGAACATGGCTATCATATCACCCCTTAACCTCCTCTTCTCCAGGCTAAACATGCCGAATATTATTTATTCAGCACTGGCAGGCTGGGCTTGTTTTTCTGCCAGGCAGAGGGAGGTGATGGCCCTGCCATTAAGTGACCTACAAGACAAGATGTGATTTGAAACGCAGCAGGGGAAAATAGGCTCCCTGCACTTTGGGCCACTACTGTGTGGATAGCCTTAGTGTCACCATTTACTGCAATCAATTGACTCTTTCAATACAGGTAATACATGTCCTGCTTTCCCCAACTGCTTCCTCTTTAATCTTTAAGGATCTTAATAATTTCTAGACAACCTGCTGTGTAGGGTAATTCTTTACACATACTCTTACACTGAGCCAAAATGGGGTTATAGATGTTAAGAAGAAATGTTTGTTTTGTTTTGTTTTAAACCTATTTCTCCAGTCAGGTTCCCTTGGAGGTGGTAAAACTACACCTAGGCCATTATCACTTCAGATTGATTTTTTTTTAATTACTGCACATGGAAAATTAGCATCTCAAGGGAAAGGTTGGACTAGAACCTTCCTTCCTGAAATCCAATTTTCTGTCTAAAGAGGATTTTTTAAAATGCCGTGCCTGCAGTCTGATATGGTACAACCCAGACAGGTTTGCTCTGTGAGAATTAGGCCTCAGTCCACACTTTTTAAAAAATAGCTGTTTCTCTTCCTCTTTAGGATAATTTCCTCTCTGCTGGTCAAATGATCTGAATCAGCACTGTCAGGAGGTATTAATATTTGTTCTAGATGGGTTGCCCAGCTGTGGGTTGATGAGGCTCTCTAATGGTACAAAAAGAGGTTTTGTTCAAATCGTTGGGTGTTGATGGTGTTGGCCGCAGCCAATAAGAGGAAGATTGTGACTCGCATCTTGTCTGCAAACACTCCTAGGCAGTTCACTTGGAAATAAGTTGTTCTGATGTAACGAGACTGACTCCAGATTCTTTACAGACAGAAATTAAGGTTACAAACCTGACATATGCTTAAACCTACTGGTTTAAATGGGCTTGGGCGCCCCCTAATCTTCCATGAGATAGGACTGAAAATGAGTGAAATTTCATGGCATAGAGATGCAATGATGGGGAAAATTTCCCGTTTTAAGTTTCAGATACGAAAGCAGACTTAAGGTCGATAAAGGCACACACAAAGTTTGATTGCGATTGACAGCATATTTTTGTATGAGATGATTATACATACAAAACGGCACAGCTTGGAAACCAATATACTGTATATAAATGCTCTGTATATATTGTATATAAATGCATTGTTCTTTTGGAATTCCCCAAAGCCAAATATAGCTAAATAGGTTCAGATATATCTGTGTCATGGTTATTATTGTTTTTCATTGATAATTAGGTAGGGTGTCACAATGTCCTTCTAACATCTGGAGCGTACATGTTGGGTAGCCAACATGGTGCCCCTCCAGATGTTGTGGACTACAACTCCCATCATGTCTGGTCATTCTACATGCTGGCTGGAGCTAACAGGAGTTGTAGCCCAAAGCAAGGAGTGAGAGCCATAGCTCAGTGGTGGAGCATCTTCTGTGTGCCAAAGGTTCCATGTTCATTCCCTAGCCCTGACAGTGAGGACTGATTAGATGGACTCAGTATAAGGTAGCTTCTTATCTTCTTTTTCCTATCTGGAAGACACCAGGGTAAGAGACTGGGAGAAAAAAGGAATGCTCCCAGGTGAGGGCCCACCACTTTCTGTGTGAGACCAGGGTTACCTTTAAGAGAGGACTCTGCATTTTCTCTTTCTGTGTTTTGTTTTTATTTAGATTAGTTTCCTTTAACGTACTGCATTTTGAAATAGCTTTAATTAAATCCTTTTTTTTTTAAATTCTGTGTGTGTTGGTAGATTCTAACACTGAAAGCATCTGTGAACGACAAATACCAACATCCTCTGCACTGTACACAAATGCATAGTGGATCAATACCTGTGTAGAAAGGGTATAACTTGCCCTTACTCGCCTCCTTCTTTGTTGAAAAGATATCTGAATGATTGGCCTCCAGAGCTAACAAAAATAACTCAGCAAGGCTACACATGGTTTTTGTTTTCCATTAAACAGACAAAAGAGAAACTTCTGCATGCCCTTAAAGCAGGTTACCAAATGGAGACATGCGTAAAATTAGAAGAAATCCATAAGAGCACAGTGGCTTTCTTCAACGGCATGGCCAACCCAGGCCACGAGAGCACCCGAGGAAGAGATTGCGCAGCCTCTCCTGGCCTGTAAGCCATCAGCTCAGAAGGGACAAGTTTGATATTTCCAAGCTGCTGTGGTCGATCATGTCAGAAAAGGCACTGTTGAAAAAGCACCTCAGATCAGATTAGCACAAGAGACTGTGACAGCCTGCCAGGGTAAACAATACAATTAGGGTGGGTAGTGGGGAAAACCTGCATTTAGCTCAAGCTGTTCTGGTCCATCAAGTAAATATTACCCATTAAAAATTGCTTAGAAAGCCAAAAGCTGGATGTATTCAATCAGTAATACAGATTTGTCTGGTGGCCTGTAACAGCTTTTGCAGGCTTTCGTACACTTGTAATATGTATTTTTCCACTGATAATTTGCTTTGGTTTCCCTCACATTCTTTTTCTTAGCCAGCTATGGCCACTGTTCACAAAGTGTCAGAGTCTTTTCAGTCTTACTACTGATTTTAATTCATTTTGGGCTACTTTGAAAAAACCCCAAAACTTCCTGGTTTCCCTCTCAGCAGATCACACACATTATAAGTCTGAAAGCCCATACAGAGGTTCGATAATCTGTGCTAAGGTTCTGCACACGGAGTAATGTTTGCCTAAGCAAACCCTATTTAGATGAGTGGGACTTACTCCAAATCAGGTAACTTGTGTTTCTCCTGAGAGCTGCATTCCCTTGTGGTGAACAAGGCCGGAGACAAAAGTGGGCAGGGCAACCATTGCAAATTCTACATTTCTACAGTATGTTTCTACACCCTGCCCATTCCTGCCTTTCATTCTGACAAGGAAGAGGTGTTATCAGGTCTTAAAGACACATTCCAGCCAGGCAAAAATGATTGAGATACATAGCAGGGCCAGTGAGGGGCGTGGCCTAGAGAGAAGGGGTGTGGCCTGGGGAAGAGTGCTGAGGGCCAGATGGAGGTCTGCATTTGTCTCCCAGGGCCTGACATTTGCCACCTGGTATACAGTGGTACCTTGCTTTACAACCATAATCTGTTCTGGACGTCCGTTTGTAAACCAAAACAGGTTGTAACCCAAGGTGTGCTTTCACTAATGGGGCCTCCCAAAAAAATTTGTAATCCCCCAAAATGGGTTGTAATCCAAAAAAGGCTGCAAACCGGTACAATGTTTGATGTGTTTGTAATCCAAGACATATGCAAACCAAGGTACCACTGTATACTATGGGCAGGTTAATAGGATTGCAGCCAAAATGGACAGATGCAGTGGGGGTCTGCACGCCAGTAGTACAAAACTGGCTGCTTCACTTAAATAACAGAAACAGGACGTGTCATGTCTGAATGACCTTGCTGTACCTGTTAGGAGGCATACAAAGGAAACCACTCATGGTTACTGTCGAATGAATCAGTGAAGAGGTGTTTGAACCCCCTCCCTGAAATCTAAAATGGCACCCCAGCATGCATCAGAGACTTGTTTCCTTCCCTTTTGCCCAAGGACGTTAGTTTACTGCCAAAGCCCCCTATTGCACACCCAGTTCTCTGCCAGAAGAAGAAAACAGGCAAATGCCGTCCATTATTGCAAATGGAATTTGGCTATTTGGTCTAATAGCTCAATCAAGCTTAATTCATTAGGTACCATTCATCAAAAACGGACAATCTTCTCTCTTCCTGCTTAGGCCTACATAAGATGTTGTGTCCTCACCATATAGTTCATAGTAAAGGGAAGGAAAAACAAAGATCATGAGGTATTTGAATCAATAGGGCTGATCTTGAGGGCCATAAGGAATGTGAAGTTGTGAAAGAGTCTTTCACCTTTGCATTCTGCTGCAGCCTTTTTCCTAATTTTCCTCACTTTTCTCTTTTGTCCTCCAGACTTGTATTCGTACTCCACAAATTTCACCCTGAAAAATTGCTGAAGCACCTGTATACGTGTTCAAGCATTGCCTAGCCACAGACCAAACAAGAAGAGGTGGCACAAACTTAGGTTTCCCTTTATCTATAGTCACTGATTTATCCTTCACTGAAGAGAAATATGTAGGTAATACTTGCTGAGCAAATGTGCACTGGGGCCTAGTAGTTGTACAAATTGAACTGCGGGTTTCTGTCACACTTTGCCATGTTTGCATCGTATCATTAAGTATTGGTGCTTAAGGGACATTTGGGTATTGCTGAAGATTCAGCCACTGACATTTTTAGCCACACTGTGGTCCACTGAGATACCAAAATTTATTTGGCAATTTATTGTTCGTGGTCCAGACCCCCCCCCCCCAAGGCTCAGGGTCTGGGCCTCAGCAATTTTGTAGTCACCTACATGCAGAAGGCCTCAGGTTCAGTCTCTGGTGTTATGTACTGAAGTTCTCACCCTGGGCCAGCAGGGGGATACTGTAGATAGTTTTCACTTAGGTCCACATATGCAAATAAGGGATTGAAAGTGATGTTCAGTGATTGGATAGTTACAGAAAATGGTTACTGTTGTGTTCTAGTGGAGCTCTATATAAGCAGGCTGGCCGAACCCTTCAGTTCAGTTCTCTTCTGGCCTGTGAATAAACAAGAGCTGTTTGAAGAATCGCTGTGTCGTCTGATATGTTCACCCACAACCTAACATCTGGCATCTCCAAAAAAGACTGGAGGAGACTCCTAACCTGCAGCCAGTCCGTATGGAAAGTACCAGTCTGAATGGACCAGTGGTATACTGATGGACTTGATGTGCTGCAGCTTGATGCTGCTCTCTGCCTCCCCAGTATCTGCCGCCTGAGGCAGCTGCCCCACTCTACTGAATGGCAAGGCAGGTGCTGGGTAATGGTTCAGATATTCCCCAGGATCCTGCCCTCAGTGCTAGTAGTTAAAAGCAGTGCCTATAGCAACTTGTGGCTCAGAGGTTGTGAACCTGTAGCCCCTGCTCCAAATGCAGACTCTGTAACAGAGGCTTCCCCTAAGCTGCCGGTGCAGTGGAAAAAAAGAGACTTACATTGTTCTGTAAAACAAAACAGGGTTGCTCAAGAAGACAATAACCTTCTTGAACCACCATTCCCAGGGAGCTAATTTGAGCTTTCCTCAAGAGCATGCTGTGATATCTTTAACACAAGATCATTGCACTTAATATTGCAATAGTTGTGGCCATCTCTGATACATTAAGGAAGCAAATATGCTTCTCAGCCTCTGTTAAGAAATGTCAGACCACACCTAATGTTAGCCAAAGTATTAAGCAGCTGGGTAATATAATAAATGTTTAATAGATCTATGGCTGTGACTTCTGATCAAGCAGGAGCGATGGAGTTCGCCCCCTTCACCCTATCCCAGCACAATAAACTCACTGCAACTGATCAGTGGCGGAAGAGTAACGCTGCCACCTTATGGACCACTTGCATAATGGCAAACTGCAAAGTGTTTCAATCGGATCCTCCCTGTTCTATGAATTAGAAGGGAAACACCATAGGAGCTGATGGTGATATAGTACGGTATTCGTGTCCAGCAATACTTATGAGAAAACAGAAAAGGAAATTTTAAATTGCCTTGATTGAAGCATAAGTAAGAATGCCAAAGGAGAGAAAAGAAGGAAAGTTAGTTGGAGTTCAATAGTTAAGCCGGTTTTATTTATTTAGAGCTAAGCTGAAATTGCTCAGTTTTTTTAAGCAAACAATTTCACCAGTGCTGAAAAACAATGTGTACAAGCAGAGTTTATTAGGAAGTTCCCTATTTGCAAAGTCTAGCTGATTTCAGGAGAGGGAGAGGACTTGCACACTAGCAGAATTCATAGTTTGTCTATCCCTGCCTCCCGGAAAATCAAAATGGAAAAGTACTCAGAACAGTTCTAATAATACTATTAAAAAACTGCAGCCTTGAGGAAGTACCACTGCAATCCAGAGGTGACTTCATTGGAAACTACCTGTGAGAATGTTGGCTTCTGTGTAACTATGGCTTAGCTGATAATTATATTGAACACCAACAATATGAAAGATGACCACTGAGGCTGTTTAGGTGCTAATATTGCCCTCTACCTAAACATATGGCTCCTGGCCTGGATCCCTCAGCCTACCTGTCAGCACTAAAAGTGCCACCCATGTCCCAAATCTTACCTGTGTAGCAGGGAGCTTTCTTTTTTCTTTTATTTTGACAAAGTATTAAAAATAAAAAAATAAAAATAAAAATGTGCACCCCACCCCCGAGACCATTCCATTTTAATTATCCAACCTCCCAAAATTTCAACACCTCTTGTGATGGTTTTGACATCTTTCCATTTTAGCAGAACAAATTCTACAGACACCTTCCATATCTCCTCAAAATCATTTCTCCTGCGTATTCCCCATCTTATATTAATCACACATGTTAATTTATCAGGGAGCTTTCTGTCCACTGGGAGCTAAACTAACGAGTCACACACAGTTGGTTTTAATTTTAAACTTTTTATTAGACTAGGAAATATAATTTATTGCATAAAAATTAATTTGTTACAATAGGAATGCTAAACCTTATTTACAGTTCTTAGTTTACAGAATAAACAGACACGTGTTTTGAGGATGCTTCCGGACCCCTCCCCCCACCAAAAAAACCCCCCACCTGGACGTATAAATATGAAAACAGAATGGAGAGCAAGAGAATGAAGGACACTCTTAAGGGGAGAAAGGAAACCGTGGTTTGCTTTCACCCAAACGATGGCATAGGGTGCCCATGTCACAAAGCTCAGTGTGACCACAGAGAGCACCTTAAGAGACAGTGCGGGAGGGAGAAAGACAGGCACAACTCTCCTTTGTGTGAGCAGAGGGTCCTTTCCAGGCAAAAGGGCTCCCTACTTGGTCAACATACACTCTTCTGAACAAGAAGCAAAGAGAAAGAGGGTGAACTCTGCACACTTCCTGACGCTGCTCCCTATTGCACACCCACGGATCCCTAATCTGTTATATAGTACTGATCTCTCTCTGTCACCCATACCAGATTTCTACTTCTGAATTCTCTCTCTCTCTTACACACCTGAATGCACATATCTGTACACCCAGTATCCAATTCACACAAAAGCAGGTTGGCCTCTTAACAGACCACTCTCTCCCCACCAGCTCCCTCAGTTTATATGGCAGGCCCACCCATGAGACAATGTGAGGTGACTGCCTCAGGCGGTAAGACCCACAGGGGCAGCAGATCTTGATGTAGATCTTCATTCACTCCTTCTTCCCTGGCAGGGAGGGGGATGCCTTTTTGTGGTTTGTCTCAGGTGGCAAAATGTCTTAGGCCTGTCAGTGCCAACATGAATTTACATCACTATGTGTACAACTGAGTTTCATATATCTTCAACTTCTCCACCCACCCATCCCACAGCCACACGATCGCATCAGCTTGCAGAAGATACACAGTAAGCAGGAGCTAAGCACATTCACCCCAGATTTGCGTTAAAGGTCTTAAGGTACATTCAGACATATAGATGAAGTGGGCTGCTCACATGAACTGGTCTCTGGATTACTGCAGGGATATGCTTATGCGACTGAGAGAATTGTGAATGGGCAGAAACCTTCACAGATTCCATGTGGCCACGTGACATGAAACAGGGACAACAACAGAATATGAGAAGCAATATTGGGTGGGGGGTGGGGATGCAGAGAGAGATGCATGCACTTTTAATATGCTCTGCTCCTGGAATCTAAAGGCAGGTAATTTTAAAACTTATCAGCCTATTTCTACAGAAAGTAGTAACGTTCACTTACTTAGCTAAACATTTCAAAGCCTAAGTGTCTAATTGTGTTTCCAGCCTGAACCTTTAACTTAATTGACTAAATGCAATTCTTAAACAAATCACCCTGACGTACACCAAGAGATCAGGTTAAAGACTGGAGCCTTCTTTTTAAATTTCTCACAAACTCCTAATACAATCTCCCTTACGGCCTCACTTTTATAAGTGGAATGTGTGGATGAATTTATTCTATTAAATTTATCAGCAAGCAGTTCAGTCATATAATATATAATATTCCAGCTAGCTGAAAATGTTACAAAAAAACCCCTATCGTGCTCTCATCTGATGCCATGTTGAAGGAAAGCAATGCCTGCAGCTCTCCCCAAATACCTTGTGGTTAAATGATTACAGTATCTATTTTTGATTGAGGATTGATTTTCTTTTCTTTTACTGCCACACAGGAAACAAGCACTAATAACTTCGCTCTAAAAAAAACACAACCCCCCCCCCCAAGATGCAATTCTCAGAAAGTTCATCATTTGGTTCCAAAAATCTGGATATTTTTCCAGATTTGTATATTGCATATGAGATCCCTGACAACTACGATGTGAAAAAGAAGAAAGTATGCCCTACCAATGGGTATATAAACTATACAGACGAGAGAGTTACGGACCCTGCATCAAGCAGGTCTAGTCCTTTAAAAATGTTTGTCAGGTACAGGTAAAGATACCCAAGGTCTCCAAATCCATGGTCACTAGAAGCGCCATCAAAACCCCCAAATACTGACATGTTCTATCTTGTATAGATTGCACCATACTCTTGAGAGACCTGAGCTGCAACAGGAACGTTGCTTTGGTGTAAAAGAATTTGAAGAAGCGTATAGTTTGGACTAGGAGGTTCTGTGCACCTGAACCCTACAAATGACACAAATTCACAAAACATCCCAAAAGGTTAGAGAATAGGGCTGCAGAGCTAGCGAAAATGACTTTTTGTCTGAGGAAGAGAACGAGTGAAGAAAACTTCACACCTTGAAAACAGGCCCTGCGTTTGCAGCGCTTAACAAAACACACACACACACACACACACACACACACACACACACACACACCATCCTCCCCCATGGATTTGCCTTCTGTGTAGATGTCCAGGCTCCAAGCAACAAAAATGTCTTCTTGAATTAAGAGTCCACGTTTAGCATTCTATTTGTTTTCTCACTGTAAGTGACCTCTAAACAATGGGGCTATATATTCTGGTTAAGCAGGCATTGCCTGCAAACTATTTGCAGTCTCTGGGTTCCTGTATGAAATGTTTACTGTTGTTACAGGAACACGAGGCAGCAACTAGCTTTTGGCGCCTTCCTTGGGCACGTAGATAAAAAATTGCATCCTGAGAAACGACTGCAGCGATGGGGAAGCTGCTGTTTCCAGATGTTGTTGGGCTCTCTGTGCCAGGATAGGCAAAGGTCAGGGACCATGAGAGTTCAGCCACATCTGGAGGATCACAGCTCCCCCCTCCTTGAACTACTGGTTATCAAGCTGCCACATAAAGACATAACGTTCCAATCACGTTCCCGCTCCCTGAGTAGGTGTGCCATTCAATTTTTTGTTTGTCTTCAGCACCTGTCTTCCCCCAAGAGCATGCTACCGTTTAAGGAGAATGAGGTAATTGCGAGGGTCTTCTGGTGCAAGACTTGCTATGTCGTGCCATGTCTTTAAAGTTATTGCCTACGAACGTGTCCTCATGGGAAGGGAGAAGAGTTAGGAATGAAAGGATCAGCATGATGAGGCAGTACTGCTCTTGGTGCCATGCTATGCTTTATGGAAGAAGACAATCTTTTTAAGAGGTAGTGACTATAAGAAAAATACCCTGCAACTACACAGTGCTTGCAACAACCTGAAGAATAACGGATAACCAAAGGCCAATGCAAATAGAAATATATACATATATAAATATATACGAAAGTAAGGTAATACGGGTGCATTTGCATTAGAATTTTACTGCTGGAACTACCCTTATACTGCAAGGTTTGTATCCCTTAATCTTGGTTCTGTACCAAATCTAATTTTCTCATGGTGGAAAGATCTGGCAAAACAGAATAGGCAGCAATGGCGAAACTGAGACCTACATTCCTACTGCCAACTCAAAAATCTGCTCCCTATTAGTTGTAATTAATATCCGAGTACACTGCAGACGTCTAGCAAACACTGCCAGCTGCTTTCTCCTGTGATAATGAGGGCTAGAAACCTCATTGAAAGGAAAGTATGAAGAACTACCTGAACTGGGCACTGTGTGCGCAGCAGCTGCAAATCTTTAAAAATATTTCCTGCTAAGAGGAAATGAACTTCTGCTGCATTTCCACCTAAGATCTTGTTGCCATACATTTAACAAGGTTTTTTTTATAATCATTACGCCTGGTGGCTGAGTTTATTAATAACTTATTTCAATCTGGGGCTATTCAAACAATATCCTTTCCTCTTTTCAGTAAGCTATCACATACAAGGGAGCCATTTGCATTGTTCACGAATACTCATTTAACATTTTTGTTGTTGTGTAATTTACTTCTCTTCTAATAGAATGCCTGCAATATAGAGAAAAAGGTAAGGCACTGCAAAGCATTACCTAAAGAAACAAAAATTATCACAACACCACCCATTATTAGCTTTGAGTCCTTGTGGAATTCTGTAGCTAAACTGTCCGGAATGAGAGTCACCTATAACAAGCTCAGAGATTCCAAATCTCCCTCCCTCCCTCTCCCACACGGATGGGCTGCCGCTGAAATTGCTGGCACTTTGCTCTTCTTCTCTGGCTGTACTGCCAGCAACTCACCACTGTCTGGCTTGTCATATCATCCAAACCTGGGACAACAGTTTGTTTTCCTCCTAGCAAATCCCAGACAGAAACCAAGATTTGTTCTTGGTGTACCTCTTGTGGCTTGTTTGGAGGCAAGCAAACCATTATCCTGGGTTCCTATGTCAAAATTCAGACTGTGGCTTGTTTCTTGGCTGTGTGGTAGTAGCAGCAGCAGTGGTAGAACCAAGTGCTCACAATTTCAGCAGTGTAGGCTTGTTCACATTCAACTATGGCTGAATGTGGCATGCAAACCAGGTCTTTGAGATACTCCTGTGTAGTGGCTGAAACATTTTTCTCAGATTTTTTTTTAAAAAAATGTGACTCGAAACACAGCTCAAAACAAAATTGGTGGGAAGTTTCTGCTCCTCCAGTTTGAACTGTCACCATTAACATTTCTTATTTCTCTTGAAGAACTACACATTAGGCGTATCTTTGTTCAGTCCTGGATCCTGGATGCTGTCCTGGTCCTATCACTAAAAACAGTGGGACTTTTGCTCATGCTTTCAAAAATTCAAAATGGATGTGATGCAGACACTTGCAGATAACTTTATCCATGAGTGGAAGCAGTAGCACACATTCATCTCACCTAGCAGGTGTCATCTGCTTGATGCCTATTCAGACACTGCAGGGAAGTTAGTACAGTGGTACCTCTAGTTACGTACTTAATTCATTCCAGAGGTCCGTTCTTAACCTGAAACTGTTCTTAACCTGAAGCACCACTTTAGCTAATTGGGCCTCCTGCTGCTGCCGCGCCGCCGAAGCACGATTTCTGTTCTCATCCTGAAGCAAAGTTCTTAACCCGAGGTATTATTTCTGGGTTAGCGGAGTCTGTAACCTGAAGCGTATGTAACCCGAGTTACCACTGTACTACCTTAAACAGATACTATCTTTCCTACGAAGAAACCTGGAAATAAGGTGCCTCCTATTAGGAACAGGTTCAGAGCGCACAAGTTGTCTGAGGAATGTTCTGGGGCATATGAGAACATTGGCTGACATTCCCCAAGGAAGTGCCCGTGCGCACTAAGAGCTGTTTGACAGTGGAGCGGACTCCCTTGAAAGATGGTGGACTCTCCTTTCTTGGAGGTTATTAAGCAGAGATTCCTGCACTGCAGGCTAGATAACCCTTGGGGTCCCTTCCAACTCTACGATTCTATGATTCTATTATTTCATGACCTGGATATGGCATTTTGAGGTGGAATCCCACCCAAAATTAGTGACAGACTGAACACACCCTTGATTGCTAAGCCTTCACCATCTCAGTTGGGATTTTTGAACTCCAGCTTCCTGGGCTGCATAGCATAGCAAGAGTCCTTGTCTCAACCCAAACCCCCCCCCCCCCTTGGCCAAAAGTCATTCTGAGCACAAGAAAACCTTTTACACATTCCTCAATGGAGCTATCTTGATTCTGGCCTGAGACTTGTTCCTTGACTAACTGGACTTCATTCTACTGAAATGGCCCACACAAGGACAAGTAGGTTAAGCAAAGCAAGAATGGCTCCAAACACAACTGAGACAAGACCAGAAGCAAACACCAGTGGATATTTGGTCAGGCATATGTGGGCACTTCACCAGATTCTGAGGTGGGCTGGAAAGAGTGTGAAGGGTTTGTATTGGTCTGTCAAGAAAGCTCCCCAAGAAATTTCTCTCAGCTTCTTTTCCAGAAACAGGTTAGTTCTCCTGTGAGTGAATTTTCAGACTTATTCCCATTCATTCTGCTATAGTCAGAGAAAGAGATGCAAGCAAAATGTTAAAGAGAAGAAAAAGTTTTCCCTTTAAGACACATATGAGGCTCAGGTCAAATGATCAATCCTACCTGATCAAATTTCATAGGTTACCACATAAATTGATATTGTTTAATTTTCACTAAAACATCATTGTGTTTTCTCTCTCCCTCTCCCTTTCTCTGAGTGTCATGATACTCTTGCTCTCACATACATGAAAGATTCTTATTGAATTTTTAAAAAGGATGCATCCAAAGATCTGGATAATAAATTACTTGCGTTTCCTAAGAAACTGTTTTCCTTTTTTTTCCTTTTCCATTTTTTAAATGTGTCTTAAAGCTGTTTGAAGCTTTTGACAGGAGTAAGCAGTCTTTTCTAGATTGTACTCGACTCTTCAAAGCATAAATTGCCAGCAAAGAAGAAATAAAGGGAGAACAAGGCAGGGAATGGGAAGAGGACAGGAAAAGAAAAACAAAACAAGACAACCCCAACCCAGATTCTTAGCAGCCCTCAGAAGCCACACGAGGCAGCAGAAGCTGAGGAGACCACAACTGCCACAGGCTGCGGTCACGGAGCAATGATACACTGCTTTTGTGCCCCGGTTCAAAGGCTTTGAGGAGAAGGAGGAAAGGAGTCTTTAACACTTGGATTGCTTGTAAACTGCGCAATATGGATCTCTAAGGCTGATTGTGATTTGAGGAGGGAGGAGTGCGAGAAGGGAGAAGGAACCCCATTCCAATCTCTTCAGAGTTACGCTACGGCTCTGCTTCTTCCTTGCGGCCCTTTCCCCATCAGTTCCCAAAAGGGCTGCTCCCGCCATTTTCTCTCCCTCTCTCACTCCACCTTCCGCTCGGCCATTGCCAGAAGTCTTCTCGAGAGCTGCATCAGCAGTCCCCCTCTGTTGCCATGACAACCAGCATCTCGCTCTTGCCCATCTCTTCCAAGGCACTGGCCAGAGTATTAAGATCCCCATCATCTTGGTGCTGGGCTTCCCATAAGTCCAGGATGACTCCTGTTGGGCTGGCTTTGGCGGCAAAGAAATTCAGATACCTGTGCAGGAAAGAAAACAAATGAGAGAGGGAAAGAGAGGGAGAGAGATGGTTGGCGTCAGTGTTTTCCCATTAGATCTCTGTGATATCACGGGGCTCATAATAAAACTTGTTGATGTATTCCCACACGTGAGATTACAGATCCCATGAGAGCACATAAGGCAGGGATGTTGGGATTCCCATTAGCTCCAGCCAGCAGTCCATCAGCATCTAGAGAGCCACAGGTCCCCATCCCTGAACTAAGGGCTAGGCCTTTAATGATGACTGCGTATGACCAGTGGAAGGACGACGACACAAATTCAGAACAGGACTTGAGGGGGAAACAGAGATGAAGTGCCTGATTTTGGTGAAGCAGCTCCTACCAAGTCTAAAACATAACATGTAAACTCACACTTTTAAAAAGCTCTTTGGAGCAAGGTAGAGCACGGCATGATTGTCATTCACCTAAGGACACTGGCCAGAACACTGCTGAAGGAGGGATATTATGTACTTCTTTCTGAGTGGATAGCTCAGTTGGTAGAGGATGAGACTCTTAATGTCAGGGTTGTGGATTCAAGCCTCATGTGGCGGGGGGGGGGGGAACCCTGTCCCTTCCAACTCTATGATTCTGTGATTCTAAAATTAGGCACAACACTTTTTTTAAATAAAAAGAAAAGACAAACTTTTAGAGGAGCCTGGAATATACACGAGGAAACCAGGAGTCAGCAGGGTGGGGGAAAATAGATCTGCTGCAAATTTTTACTGACACAGAGGAGCTCAGGGTTTTTGCTGACCTAGTTTCTTTGACCTTTTCTGGGATGGTACCCCAAGGGCCCCCGATATCTTTAAACCAAGGCCAATGACACTGACAAAGTCTCCGCAGGAAAGTCGCTCAGCAAATGAAGGCTGCTGCTTTAACAGAAAATGGATTCTCTAAGTTGCAGCAGTATGGAACTTACTGCTCACAGTGACCAGGGTGAAGCCAAGTGCCTTACCTAGGCTACATGGTATAGAAGCCCTTGGCTTGGCAGTGGCTTCCCAGCTCCTACATCTTATTCTGGGGAACCTCCAACTGGCACCCTTTTCACTGTTTGAATGAAATATACATCCATGACAATGTTTCAGCAACTGCTTAGAACACCAGCAGACACCAGTCATTTGGGAACTGGCAAGGCACCCAACTGTTTGGGCACATAGCAAGTTCTATTTTATTTTATTTCTGCTCTGAGCACCTGGGCCTGAAGACAAATGAGTGAATCAACCTGGGTGGCTTTCCTAAGAGAGTGGCTGGGCTCTGCCTCCCCAGCTAGAGACAGCAATGTTTCTGAATACTAGTTGCTGGAAACCACAGCAGGGGAGAGTTGCTCCTGTGCTTGCTGTTTTCTCTCAGGCATCTGGTTGGCCGCTGTGAGAACAGGATGCTAGATGGGCCATTGGCCCGATCTAGCGGGCCCTTCTTATGTTCTTCTATCCTGCCTGCTGGAAAACTCTTCTATATTTTTAGTAAAAAGTAAAGGTACCCCTGACCATTAGGTCCAGTTGCGGGTTTGCGTGCTCATCTTGCTCTATAGGCCGAGGGAGCTGGGGTTTGTACGCAGACAGCTTCCGGGTCATGTGGCCAGCATGACTAAGTCACTTCTGGTGAACCAGAGCAATGCACGGAAATGCTGTTTATCTTCCTGCCAGAGCGGTACCTATTTATCTACTTGCACTTTGACATGCTTTCGAACTGCTAGGTGGGCAGGAGCAGGGACCGAACAACGGGAGCTCACCCCGTCGCGGGGATTCAAACCACCGACCTTCTGATTGGCAAACCTTAGGCTCTGTGGTTTAGACCACAGAACCACCCGCATCCCCTATATTTTTAGTAGGGCAGTAAAAATGTTCCCCTTCTTACAGATATTCGATACAGGGAGAGTTTGGCTGATAGTTAATGTTTAATGTTATTTATGTTTGCTGTTTTATGAGGTTTTCCCTCTCTCTTCTAGTGTATTGCACTATTCATTGTCTTGAGCAAGGATTTTGATCCAAGAGGCAGCCCACAGATATCAGAATATAGAATTAAATAAGTGCAAACAAGCAGCTCCTTTGGCTCTTGTGTTTCCTGCAAGGATGGCTGACGGCAAAGTGCTGAAACAAAACCCACCGGTCCATGGAAAGTTTCTGAGCAAGGAGCCGCCAGTCGTTTCCTCTGGAGTTGGGGGCATCAAGGCTGTTGCAGATTTTCTGTCGTATCGACAGAGGGATCTTGAAGGCATACGGCCCCAGCTGAGTCGTCAGGGCACTGCCAGGATAGGAACGCAAGGCATCAAAGGAGTTGGAGTTCTGGAAAACAAAAAAGGGCGTAGGCTCACTGGCATCTGTCAGATTTAGAGGCAATTTTTTTTTTACTAATTAAGCAAATAAGTTATAAGCTGCCTTTTAGGGCCCAATTCCCCTCCCCAATGTGATGTAACAAAATGGCAAATATACAACATACAGATAATTAGGCAACCTGGCATGCATGGATGGTCAGAAATAGAAACAATGGGAAAGAGAAGGGTAAATATCATGCCTTTAAAATATGTATCACTGACTTGCATAGTGGCATCACATTCTTCTGCTTCACTGAACCCAGAGAAAAATCACCCTTCGGATATCAACATGCATGCTTGAACAATAGAGGGTATTGGAGGGTCAGAGCATGTAACCAGGACAGAAGAATTAGGTTGTTTGCAGACTGTTGTTATTTTGTGGCTGGGATTCAGTGGCAAAATCACACTGTGCAATTAAAATAGTATCGGCAGTCTTGTTCTCTTGTGCAAAAGACCCCCTCCCCACAACTGAACTTTCTGTAGTAAGGGAAGTGATGGGAAAATGGAATAACGACTGCTTGATGCAACACTGTATAACCTCCCTGCAAACAAATCAAAATGAATGTTCCATAAGCAGCGGATGCCATATGGCTTCCTCACAAGTGGAAGGAAGGTTGCATTTTCCTGGGTAGGAAATTTAAAATGTGTGAGATAATAGGTTCTGCTCTACATATTCCTGCAGACTACAGTGCCACATCCATGTCAGAGAAAGCAGGCAAGAAGAATGTGGCCTTCTTTAGCAAGTTCTAGGAGTGAGCAATGGCTCACAATGTGTGTCAGGGAAGATTTTGCCAGTTAATTCTAGCCAATAGCTCAGACAGGCCACTGGGATTCCTGTTAAATTTTATTCTGCTCCACTTGTCTTCTACCAACCAACCACACAGCCTGCTTGCTTCTGCAGCCTGGATCCCCTTGGCTCACCTCTCCAAGGGTAATGTGCAGCTGAAATATCTGCCCTTCTCCTTCCACTTGCCGGACACAAATCTTGCAGGTAAGTTCTGTGGAAGCTGGGCTGTGTCTCTCCAGAGTGAAGGTGCAGTGAAGTGCCCGCTGGCTGCCACTCCAGATATGATAGAAGGGGATTTCCTGCAGCAAATAGTAATAACAATAAATTATTAATAAATAATAATAATAATAATGACATGTCAGCACACTGGGATGCCATCACACTGGAAATGTGTTATCTATGAAGGCGATGATATATGGAAACCATCTCGATTTGAGGATTGGAAGAACGGAAAAATTCACACAGGATTATTATTGGTGTTTATCGGCTTAAGGAGACTATCAGAAGAGATCATAAAGAAAAAAGAGAAAATATATGAACAAGATGTGATGGGGAAACAGCAAGGTAAGACTGGATAGAATTATGAACTCTGTTTGGACTGATTTGGACTGATTTGGACATTAAAGCAGTAGCAAGAAGATGATCAGAATCCCCCTTCGGATCTTGAAATATGGGTCCCCTCAACAACAAAATTTAAAATTCGGCTTTGTAATTTGGAATTTATGTGATGTGATTTAATTTGATTTGATTGGCCGGTTAATAAAAATTATTTTTTAAAAAAGGAAATGTGCCAGTTGGTCACTGTGGCAATGGAACAAGTCTACACAACCAGAACAGGTCTGCATGCCTTTTGGTCCTTCAAGTGAAACGCAGCCCACCAGCCAGCTCCTCAACAAAGCACTGATGCATCAACAAACCAGTTCCAGGCTGGTGGGGAGAAAATGGATTAAGGCGCTCCTGGTGGGCTGTATTTGTTTGGCTCGATGGTTCTTAAGTTACAGCCTTCAAGTCCTGCTTGTGGGTTTCATGGAAGCATGACTTTTGGTCCGGCACAGCAGGAGTCTTCCTATTCTCTTAAGATGTTCAGGCCTGTTCTGGAAAGCATTGTTGCTTAGTTACAATGATGTGTGCGTGTTTATGCAAAGAGGTCTGGCTGAGATGTTTTTGTGTGTCTGTGTGTGGAAGGCACTGTGGTCTATAGGTGCTATTCATATCTTTTGTAGGACTCCTAAGCACAGTGCACCCAGGGATGGGCCCATTTAGGGTCTTCCATTCATAGGATAATTTGGGTCTCACACCTGCATGAGATGGGTACCACAGGAGACTGGAGAAATGAAAGGACGCCCAACCTTCTGGTGGAAATCATGAAGTAAGGATGTGGGAGAGGACAGAGCAGTCACAAAGTCTTTCTAAGGTATATGAAATGTATCTTCCCCAAAAGCCAGTGACATAATTCTCTTGTGGTACCATTTCACCAAGAATAAATCTGCAGATGAAATATTCTGGAAGAGAACAGTTATGAACAAAAGCAGTTTTGCTGGTGGTCTCATCGAGGCACTCCCTCGGTTGTTGGTATGCTGGCAACCCAGCCACTCACCTGGTACTTGGCCAGGAGTTTGCTCCTCCAAAGTGAATGAGGGATATCATGGATGGAGAGGCGCAAGTTGTGATAACTGTCCTTAAACAGCAGGGGCTTGGGCTCTTCCAACAGGTAGCCACCAAGAGTCCTTTCTAATTCAAGTACTTCCTGTGAGACAAGAGGGGAGGGGAGGAGAGGAAGGACAGATGTGAGGCCCAAGGACAAATGATGGCAATTTAACCAGCAAGCATCTCCTATGCTCCCAGATTGTCATATGCTGCCAGATGGGGCACTGATAAGTCTCTATTTTGCACAGCAGCTCCTGAAGCAGAATTGCTCCTGGTCAGACACTGTATCTCTTCCTTTATCACATTTACCTTTACCACCATCACTGCCACCAGGGCTGCTTGACATGAAGGGGAGAAAATATCACAGGCACTTTAAGCTGCAATAATAAATAGCACAGGCAACTCATTCTGAAAGGAAGCGACTAGGTTCTCTATGTTTCCAGGCTGCTTGCTGGTGGTGGCTCAAGCACTGGATTCCCTGACACTCATAGGTCTAATGCAGTTTACTGGTCATTTGTGGCACAACCCCAGATGTATCTTTCTGGCCATGGGAGCTGGACTTTGCCAGCATCTGGGCTTGGGTGCCTGGAAGCACCTTGTGCTTTCCTTGTGAACATCTCCTCTGCATCCCTCTAGACACTGTCAGTTGGAATTAGATGTAACATTGATTCAACCCAATGTACCGCTATTCCTTTGACTAGTGCCGTAACAGGTTGCGACTGATTGGTGCTATAATTCAAGCCAATCAACCAGAAAAAAAATCCCATCTGGAAACTCATACTCTTTTGACTTAAGTCATATACTCATCTCCGTTTTGGAATTCCAGTATTTCCCCCCTGTATAGTTTTCTGCAGCGATCCAGTATTTCAGCAGACAAACCAGCTCAACAATCCTTTCAGCCCTCACAATGACATCTTGGGGGAAAACAGCAACCCTCTACTTCCTGCACCACCCTGACAATAAACATGACAATGTGAGAAGCAGAAACGCAGAGTCTTCTTCCCTATGATTCACTGGTCATATCCTAAATCAAAACCTCAAAAAGCTGATTTCTAGAGTCCTCTTCTGGCTCTTTCAGTGTATGAAGAGAAGCTAGACACCAACCATGACATCAAGGTTAAAAACACACAATGCGGCAAGATCGGAAACACCAGCTTGATCACTGGAACTAATCACTCTTGTAGGATGAGGGCAGATGGAGATTTATACTTCATTAAGAATGATGGGTCGCTTTCATTAGTCATGCAAAGCAGCGCTACTATTATTGATAGGCTTTGGAAATAACCTGAAAAATAGATATTTTTCAGATTGAGAGCAAGCAGGCAGTTTTCCAGTGGGTCTTTAATCCCTCATATTTTAACTCTGATTGCAAGACAAGCTTGCATATGAAAAATAATGGGTAAGCCTCTAAGGCCTGTAGAATTTCTAACCCACTGTCAGAGCCAGGCAATGCCACGCCTGAACCCACAGATGCTGTCCTGATGAGCAAGTGAAGGCCAAAGGCCCAGATCCTAGTACCTACACCGGACAGGCCAATCTGCAGGCTTTGTACTGCCTGCCAATCATAATGGGGAGTGTGAGCATATTGCACACCCCTGTCTGGTTGTGTGGGTGAGGAGGGCTCTGAATGTGCACAGCATGCTAACATGAAGGCTTCCTTGGAAGTAAGCCCCACTGTGTTCAGTGTCTAAGACTGCAGAGAGATCATTTGCCATAGCAGCAATTGTAGGGGGCGGGGGGAAGCCCTTGTGTTTTATCTTCAAAACAGGGCATAGAACAGTCTCCTTGAGACACCCTTCCTTTCCCTCTGGGGACCTCCATTTAAAGCAAGGAGGCTGGTCTCTGAGGAATGGGTTAAGGGAACCTATTACTGAAACCAAACTGCAGGTCACTTTTCATGGCATTGCATCAGGCAGTTTTGCTCCCCAGAGCAACCCTTTTCCAGGTTGCATCGCACACTCCTTTGACTGCCAGCATGGCCGTTTTGGGCAGCAGCAGTCCAAAGTAACAACAAATGGGGAAGTCGGACAAGTAGTGGTGAACATGCAACTTCTGTTCAGTTTTTCCTACCCTCTCTGAGGTATGGCCCCAGGCATAGTCCCAGAGCAGGAAAACAAAGAGGCTGACATTTCTGTTAGCTGAAGTTTTATTCCTAGACACTTAAGAGGTGCAGATTCCAAAAAGGTAGGTCATGTTAGGTCTGGTTCCTCAATGCCCTAGTGATGACTTGAATGCAAGGATGATACTATAGTACCAAAGCAAAGAATTTTCACACCACCTCAAACGCAACGCTTCTGAGTGGAGACAGTTCACATGTTCAGTTGCATGTCCCCAAGTGTATAGTCAGCACAGAGAAATCAAATGAATAAGGCTTTAGTCTGCCGCAGCAAAGAATTCCAACAGAGAATTAAAGATGAGCACACTTTTATTGTGAACTTAGTTTAATGTCTATGACAGCTTTTTTTAAAGGTACCGTAGGATGTTCAGAGCAAATCTAGGCGTAAAATATAAAATAGGAAACTGCCGTATATGAATCAAACCACTAATTTAATCTAGCTCAGTACTGTATGCCCTGACGAGCAGCAAATCTCTAAGGTTTCAGAGAGTGATCTCTCCAAGCTCTGCCTGGAGACATCTGGGACCTTCTGCTCGAAAAGCATGCACCTACCATTGAGCTACGGCTACTACCATCATTCCAGGGAATTTCAAGAAACAAGGGTGGTTCAGACGTGTATGTATATCACTTAATGGCTTGCAGATGGATGCCTTAACAGCCCTCAGTGAAAAATACTGCTCTCAAAGAGCTATGGAAGCCTGGTCTACAATACTTATTTGGTGATGGCTATTTCACTTATGCAAGGCGCCACCTAACTGCATTACTGTCATCGAGTGGTGATTTCACCCTTAGACGTGCCAAAGGAGAAAAGTGCTTCTAGGAACCCTTTGTTGTTGACAACTCTGGAGCATACTAGAAACATGATGGGTGTAGCCAGGGCAATTGATGCTTAATTGGCCACAGGTCACCTTGTCTTTGCTGAAGCAAAGACTATATAAAAAAAATGGTGCTGATTGCATCGCTGCCTCATGTATGACCCTCAGTAGCCTATTCCTTTGAATGCAGTTGGTTGTAATTGGTTTTAATTTCTGAAAATTAAATTGCTGTAATTCACCCTGGGACCTGCTGGTGAATGGCAGGTAGTAAATTTAGCAGAAATAACAACAACAACAACAACAACAACAACAACAACAACAACAATGAAACATGATTTTTTTTTTTTTAGTAAGTCTATGCCAAAGTCTCAGCTAAAGTGGAGTGATCACTGTGAATGTTAGGATGAGTGAATCAACATTCAGTGTCATGAAGGAAAACGCCTGGGAGATTTTCTTATTGGGGCCGTGGAGTGCAATCTAAAGTCAGATGCAGTTTGCATTCAAACCTATCAAATTTGCACCTCCCAAAATAATATATGAACTGAAATGCAGGCTTTCTTCAAGATTTGCACTTAACCGAGTTCTGTGCTGCACTTCTCCAGCCAAATGATGTTTATAAAAATGCACATGTTAAGAGAAAGCATGCATAAAAATGAACATATTAATAAAAATTGGCATACAAAGATGCATTACATTAGGGGAAATGGCTTCCAAAAAAAGAGTGTATATAAAAATGTGCTTATAAGGAGAAATTCACACTGCTAGAGAAATGCGGAGAACTGAATTTAAGATTGGTAAAATTGATTTATTTATGAAATTTCTATGCTGCCCTTCGTCCGAGGATCACAGGGCAGTTTACCATTCAAATAAATAAAACTGAAATGAGAAACCGAGAGAAATGAAACGGACATATTCCATTTCAACCCTACAAGAATCCCGCCGAATTTTTAAGTTAGCTACTGGGATCACAGAGACTATTCAGAATGGAAAGTTTTCCCATCAGAAAAAAAAACTTATCTGCCTGATGAATGGTTTAATTAAGCAGCCAGAAAGGAGGAGGCGTGCAAGTCAAGTGCAAAGAAATTCAAGAGGGGCAAACTGAGCAATGTTACCTTCAGGGCATCCGGTGTGTCTTCCAGGCAGTATACTTTGACATTGTATTCCAGCGAAGTACAAAGGGTGGGGGCAAAGATGGCGAGCTGGAGTCTCTTGATGGCCGACCGGGAGTAGGACTCTCCCACGAGGACGTATGTCCCAAGCTGGTCTAGCAGAACATGGCAGCACTTAGGTTCCAACTGGCAGTAGCAGGGCGTGTTTAAAGTCTCTTCATCCAGAGTTACAACTTCCTAAAGGAGAAGAAAGGGGTGGGCAGAGCAAAAAACAGAAGTAAATTTCTTCCTGGTACCTACTTCCATTGGCTGGAGGCCAGTTGGTTAGCATGTCAGATTTTTATTGTCTGTATTCAATGTCCATTGCAACGTAACTCAGAAAAACAAAAACTATCCAAGAGTAAGTTAAACAAAAAAAATTCAGAAATACAAGTTGTCAAAATTTTAAATAGCAAAAGTCCCCAAATCATTTGCATAAAAAAGAAAGAAATCCCATTGGGCAGTCAACACTGTTTTGGATCAAAAGACAGTGACTTTCTTGCTGCTGGTGCACATGAACCAAGCTGAAATTATTATTCAATAGATATGTCTCTCTGTTTACCAGCACCAGGGTTGAGGGTGCTCTGTTTAACAAGAAGTAAAACTACAGTATGGTCACCTAAATTCTGAAATTCAAGAAAACTGAATCCTGCAGCTTGCATAAACTATGCCATTAAGCAAGATTGTTTATGGCTCTTCATTTTTTTGCACAATCTGTTCTGCAACTTTTAACATTGTTTAACATTTTCTGAAATAATTTTGCCCAATTTATTCTGCCATTGTCACTCATGGCAAGGAGGTGAAGAGTTACATAGGGCACTAAAGTCATGCTCTCTTGACGACTGGAAATCTATTGCTCATGTGAGTTCATCAGGCCCTTTCCCCATATTTTCAAGTATATCTTCCCAACCATAAGGGTTAGCATTTATTTTTATTTTTTGTGTGAAAGCTGTGATTCTAGGCGAGTTGAATTCTGTGGCTGGTACAACATTCCAGGCTGCAGGTTTTCAGCAGAACTGCCATCACATACACACAACCCTGATTTATAATACTTCCAGGAGGGCAGCAATGCAATACCTGCAAGGTCTCACCTGCCTTGCATAAATCTGGTGCTGCACTGGCATACATTAGCTTTTTATCGACTTTAAAAATGCTGCTATCCTGACTTTTCACTTCTGCGTTGTAAACTTCCTAGATCTCATGATTCTAGCAATACGTGTTTAAAAGGGGTTTCTCTATCATCATTTTGAGCATAGAATCATAGAATCATAGAGTTGGAAGAGACCACAAGGGCCATCGAGTCCAACCCCCTGCCAAGCAGGAAACACCATCAGAGCACTCCTGACATATGGTTGTCAAGCCTCTGCTTAAAGACCTCCAAAGAAGGAGACTCCACCACGCTCCTTGGCAGCAAATTCCACTGTCGAACAGCTCTTACTGTCAGGAAGTTCTTCCTAATGTTTAGGTGGAATCTTCTTTCTTGTAGTTTGGATCCATTGCTCCGTGTCTGCTTCTCTGGAGCAGCAGAAAACAACCTTTCTCCCTCCTCTATGTGACATCCTTTTATATATTTGAACATGGCTATCATATCACCCCTTAACCTCCTCTTCAATGGGGTTTCTTATCAGCAGAGACTGATTGACAGGAGATGTTATAGAGTTGTGTGGGGAGGGAGGGGTGGACGAGAAAAAAACCAACAGAAACCTATCTATCTCCTTACCTTAAAATGCTTTATAACTGATAAATAACCATACATTTTTAAGTAAGTGGCTTGACCCACAGATTGCATGCGGTGCCTTCACCAATGGAACAGCTGATTCTGTTCCCAAATCATTATGTCTTACCTCCCAGTTTCCTTGGTGGGACTGGGTTTTCAGTTGCAGCATCCAGTCTGGGGAGCTGACTTCTGCACAGTGGGGGACGGTGAGGATGACAGGGCGGCATAAGAGCAGCCCGGTGGGGCCACAGGTCACCATGGGGCTCAGCACCGTCTGTGTACCTTCGGATGGAAAGCTAGAGAGGGCAAGGAAAAGAAAGCTAAGTTGTCTCCAGTGACACAAAGGAAGTCAAAGAACTGGGCTGTGGCACCTGTTATCTGTGCCTCAGAGGAAATGGATGGCTTGAATGAAATGGGGAATGGCTTGAATCTAACCTGACGAGAGCAATATTTGCTGAATAAAGCCCCTGAATGCAGTCTGGCTAAATATTAAATTAGTTAGAATTATCCACCTGCCACAATCTCCCCTCCCTTTAACTTCAATAGGGTTTTAAGCAACTGAATGGTGTTCTGGATTGCTGTCTTGACTTAAAGAATAAATACTAGGAATATTTGGTGTTATGTTGGCGGGGATGCCAGAAAACCGGGACTTATGGTTCACATGTGGTGGGGGTGTAAATATGTACTTCTTTTTTTTTTTTTTGGCAAAGGGTGTTTAAGGAGATAACAGAAATCACTCAGTTGAAGCTGATCGAAAGTCCAGTGGTAGCATTATTATCAATTTACGATGTGGTGGAAGGTTCACAGGCTATGAAGGACTTGCTCACAATTTTATTGGCAGCTGCGTGAGTTATTATAGCTAGGAAGTGGAAGGGGCAAGGTGAATATAAAATGGAAGGATGACATAAAGAGGTGTGGGATACAGCTATTAATGATAAATTAACATGTGCTATTAAGGTAAGATGGGGAATGTGCAGTAGAAATGATTTTGAGGAGATATGGAGGGTGTTTGTAGAATTTGTACTGTTAAAACGGAAAGGGGCCAAACCATCACAAGAGGTGTTAAAATTTTGGGAGGTTGGATAGTAACAATGGAATGGTCTCGGGGGTGGGGTGCACATTTTTATTCTTATTTATTTATTCTTATTACTTTGTCAAAATAAAAAAAATAAAATAAAAAAGAAGAAATACTAATGGTAAGTTGAGTGCAGGCAGATAAGAAAATTAAAGGCCTTGGGTAAGATCCAAAGCAATACGTCTAAGGTGGCTTTGGGTTGGATCCTGACTTACAGCAGAATCCTAACTGTGTCTACGTTGCTCTCTATGAAATCAATGAAATGCTTAAGTTGGTCATGACTATCATGACACAGTGACTTCAATCAGCGGAGTCTGGATGCAAGTTTGTAGTGTTTCTTGAATGAAACACAGTTTGCTGAAATCAAGGGGACTAATGAAAGCAGATTGTGGAATGAATGGGAGTGGGGTAGGGAGTGGGGAACAGTTTACACTGGGCATGCTCAAGCCTTTGACCATGCCTAAAGCAGATCTCCTGGATAACCTCTGATAATGCAGGCCAGATTGAAAAACACAGCACGTTTTCTGCTTTACTTACAGGGTGTTTTCTGCTTTGTTGATCATCAGGTACATTTCGTAGAATTTCCCTTGAGGAATTGCTCCGTGTGGCACCAAGAGGCTCACCCCTATGGACCAGAAAGGGATGGTAGAGGAGAAGAGAATGAATAAAGGGTTTTACTAGATTTAAAAATGATATAACCCTCAGCTCTGCAGTACATCTTCCCTTCTCTCTGATCTCTCTTCCCCCAAGTCAGTATCTTAGGCCGCAGGCACAGAGCTAATGAGAAGATGCAGTGGACTCACTCTGCATCACCAGCAACCCTCTGCAAAGCCCCCAAGCAAGCTCATCACCTGGTTTCTCACCCATTACCTCGAAAGCTGTGCCTAATTATTCCAAAAAGAAAAGATGGCATCTCTGGACATTGTTTTAGTAACTGTCAATACTGTATATCACTTGACCTTCGGTGCCCATTATCTGCTTCTGCCCAGACGATGCCTGGGGAAGGTGCCCCTCTCACCCACTTTGGTTTTATTTAGCACTGGAGTTAAACCAAGAAGCTGCTTCTAGCTGTGTGCATTATGCGTTCCTTTTCACTCCCTCTGCAAGAAAACCTGTGGCAAAGGAAGAGATGAGCCATCCCACAGCAGATGAGGCCCATAGTCAGGGATCTTCCCCTTGTAATAATTTAAGATGATTGAAAATTCCCAACCATTGCATCCTGGAAGAACATCTAAGTGAACAGGAAGCCTCATTCCTGAACGACTGCCTGAGGTCAATAATAGCCTGGATGGGGGTGAATAACTTGAAACTCAATATAGGCAAAGATGGAGATGCTTGTGGTATGTGGACTGTTGATGGCAATAAATATCTCTGCTCTGGATGGAATGACACAAACACCCCTACAGGAGCAGGTTCAGTGTTTAGAGGATACTAATGGATCTGGGCCTCTTTCTGGTATTCTAGGCGATGGCAATGCTTTTTACCAGCTGTGCCCCTTTCTAAAGTGCCTGGCATGAGCAAGTGGAGAGGCGACAGAGCGTGGTGCTCTAGGACAGATTAATATCCCTTTAAGGTTCTCCACTCACCAGTGAGGGGGAGAAACCTGGAAGAGATGGTCACAACTAGCAAGTACATAGGAGCTCAGCTGGGTTCCGAGACCTCCCTGGAGCAAGGTGTCAGCTCAGAGCTGTCCAAGGTGCTGCAACCCCAGCTTGACCTACTACAGACTATGTTTAGGTCAGCCTGCCCATAACCGCTTGGTTCAATAGACTCTCAGATAAAGTCAGGACAGTAGAAATTTCCCTTCATGCTGACATTTACCTGTGCCAGGGATGGTGAGCCTTCCTCCCAGGCAGCCGAACGTCCCAGTGGCGCTGTTCCCAGGCTCCCGAGGCAGAGTCAAGAGCTGCTGAGAGCCCATGGTCTTGTTCCTTAGGTTCATGAAGTGATTATCCCTGAGGTTCTCCCCTGGGAAGGTGCCTGAGGGCATGACTCCCAGCAGGTCTGTCCCCTCATGCATCCCGGGTGAGGATGATGTTGTGGAGGAATTGTACACTTTGATCTTGAGGTTAGGGAGCGGGTCAAGCAAGGGAGAGTTGGTCATGGGGATCTTATCAGAGGAATCTTGCAAGGCATACATGGGGCCGCGGTACACGCCAGCATTGGCTGTCAGGTCGGGCTGCATTGAAGGGTGCAGCAATTGGGGGGTGTCTGCAAAAGAGAAGGTGGAAAATGCTTAATGGTATGTTTCTCATAGAAGGAAATAGACACAGACAGCACGGCTACTCCTTGAAAGCTTGTCTGAATGGTTAAAAACAAACTTTAAACATACACCAGAAAACATGCAGGGAGATTTTATTCCAAAGCGTGGGCCTCAACTTGCAATCTGAACAGCTTACAGTTCTACCACCTCCTCCTGTTGGATAATGTGTCAGATTTTGACAAATATCTGCAGGCTAACTGATGTAGCTTTCTTCTGAATTTAAGCCACTTTCTTCTATTTATTTATTTGAAACTTCTACAGTTTATTTCACACTTTCCATCTTGTTTAGTCTCACAAATGATTTAGTTAATTGAGAAAAAAGAAAGCACCCAGAGAGTTCCAGGCTAGCCTGGATTTGAACCCAGATTGCCCTGGACCAAGTCCACCTCTTTCTCCACAATGGGTTCTAGCGGCCTTCAGTTCAAATGCTTGGTTGTATCTGTTTTCTCCTTCTGCCTTGTGAGGTTCAAGGACGTATGAAAATGGATGTGAACCTTGTGAGTAAGCTGGGGTCTTACCATGTCTGGAGGTCTTGAAATTGACTGGGTGGAAGCCTCCTGTCAGAGCAGCAGAAGAGTCTGTTATGTCAGTGTCAAAGTCCCGGCAGCTGCGCCTGTACACAACCACCCCGACAGCCATCAGGATAACAATGAACACAAAGATGGCAACCACAACACCAGCGTACAAGGCCACGTCACCGGTAGCCTCCAGTACTAGAAGGAAGAGAGAGAAAGATTAAAACAGAAACTGAAAAAAGAATTGCCACTTTCTGCTTGCCTCTTTCTTTATTTAAATGATGTTAGGATGCCTTTCAGTAATATTATCATGATGGCATGACTCTTCCATTCGGAATTCAAAACCAAAACGTTGTACCACATTTCCGCCACCTATTCTGATTCCTCCCCCCTCTGTCTCAGGATTTTTGGAAAGGCAAGGAGGAAACAATAGAAAGTCCAGCTGAAGAGAACTTAGAAACAAAAGACAGAGATTGCCTTAATGTCTGAAGCCCTCTGGCCCTCAGGTTCCTTCAGTGAGACTAGTTAGGAAATGTTTGCTCAGGCAAGTCTTTGCTCTGAGGGACTTTGCATGCGACTGCCCCTCAGGAATGTTATCTCTTAGTAGCATGTTCCCTATTGTCATTCTTTACAGCAAGGGTTGGACACACAAACCACCAAAAGCCTTTCTCTTTAGGTTACGGAGGTTACGGAGATCAAGCTGGAAGCTTGACTGATTTGTAAATGGAATACAACACTGGGACAAAAGTTATGATGAGATCATAGAGTTGTAAAGTTGGAAGGGACCCTGAGGGTCATCTAGCCCAACCCCCTGCAATGTGCCCATTGTGGAGCTTGAACTCATGGCACTGAGATTAAGAGTCTCATGCTCTACCAACTGAGCTATACCAGCTACAATAACCACAAGTCCTTTTTTTCTTTTTGAATTGCTGTGTTGGGCAAGTGGTGCAAGAATTAGGCTCCCTCCCAGACAAAGGCAAGCTTATTTTGGTGGTCTGGAGAGAAGAAAGAAGATAGGCAGAAGCCAGAAGGAAAGAAAGGTTAGCAGCAAAGAGGGAATGGCAGGAAGCAGGAGCCAGGGGCTCGCAAAGCTATAATCTGCTGTTCAGGAAAGAAATTTAGAGAAATGTATGGTATCCAGAGCCAGGAGCCAATGAGAATAACTTTTATTGCATTAGTCCTTAGACCATACTAGCACAAAGCAAAACAGGAGCCTCTGAATTAGGATGGGGCAATGGGGGGGGGGTGCAATAAGGCCTATGGATCTTTGACTCAGTGATAAGGGAAATGATCACCAGCCACAAGGCTGCTGTTTCAAGATCAGCTAGCCTGAATGCAATATTCTTAATGTACACCTGCCTATGCTTTAAATGACCTAGTCAGAAAACCTTGGGCAACCTTGGCACAGTCGCGGACCCCTAATTAACATTGCCTCTGGAGCTATCTATTTATACATGACGCGTGCTGTGACTCCTTGGTCTCCCTTGGTGCGCAGAAAAGAGGACCGTGATAAAAGTCATCTACCTTGAACTTTTAAAAATGTGCACACGCCTGAGGAAAAAACAACAACAACACTGCCGCTCTGTGAGACTGGATGCACAGAGATGATCAACAGTCCATGAACCGAGTCAATCTCTCCTGTAGGTTCGTTTTGGTAGCAAACAGGTCCTAGATTGCTCTGGACAACAAGGCAGCATCGGCTCCTGAGTGGCTGAGCTCGCAAATGATGTTTGCTGCCTAGTGCTTTCCCCCTGCTCCCAACCTCTACTAACTATGTTGAGTTTCATCTTTAAGATCTTCTTGGCTTTATAAAGTTTATTTACGTCAAAAATGCTGGGCCTTGGATTCAACACTTCCAAAGTTCTGCAAATCAATTTGTTCAAACATGCCCAGGAAGACCTTTTTGGAGGGGTGGGGTTTGGCCATATAAGATGATAGAAAGAACTGAAGCCTCATCCCATCACTGCCTCCAAAAGAAATGCTGTATGGATTTGCTAATAAAAAAGCATGGCTTTTTTTCTTCAACATGCACTGTTTAGTTTATTTTTTTAGTTGCTGCTTTGTTAACAGTTTTTTATAGATTGTAATTGTTTCACTAATGCTTTCTTTATTCTGTATGATTCATGTTGTATTTGTGATGTTCTATTCTGTTCTATCATGTTACTGATTATTTGTAAGCCATTTTGGGATTCATTTGAACGGAAAGAGGCATAGAAATATATCCAATCAAATCGAGAATTACTCCAGATATGCCAAGAGACTGGCATTTACAACGATCTCCTCCCCCAACCCCTGTTTTTGATTTAACTGTTTCCCTCTTCTCCAAGCTCCCCCCATTACCATGCCCTGTTGTCACAGGTTCCTTCTTTCTGAAAGGGACTATGTGGAACTGAATCAAGGTGTTGTTGTTGATTTTTTTTAAAAAATTGTAATTATATCTGGACTACATGTACAATTGTGTGTGATCCACTGGGAATTTCTTCCCTGAGGGTACTACCGGAAAAGGCACAAGGAAGAAATAACGGGGAATTTACAGGCTTTGAAGTATCCAATCAGTGCCATTTCCCAATCTATAGGGATTGCTAGGGTAGACAGAGGAACGCTCCATGCCAAGCTTCCATCATTGCTTGCTACAGAAGTAATTTCCCTCCCTCTGACTAGAAGGTGAAATACAACAGCAAGGAATACTGCTAAAATAGTTCGGGGCTTGGGAGAGTTGACTCCCATGCTAATGTTATTTATTAAGGTGTCACCATCAATATGCATGGCACTTCAAAGCAGGAGCAACAGGGAGCCCCAGGGAGCTTGCAGCCTCAAGTTTGACAATGGAAATAAAACAGAAGGGAGGCAGCAGGCAAGGGATTTGCGTGACCAAGGCATGGAGGCTAAGGTGTTGAGATGCATAGGCTTTGCAAGAATAGTTTTGAAATATCTTTAGAATAAAAGGGGGGTGGCGGGGTAGAATAGAGCATTCTGGGAGGTCATTGTAGGCATAAGGAGAAGCAAGGGAGACTGAGCAAAGGTCCTTTACAACAGCAAGAGAATTTTTAGGTGGCAGAGAACGGCAGAATTGGAAGAGTAGCAATTACTCTGCCACCTTTATCCTCCCTTTATTTGATTTTCAGTCTGCATTACAGAAGATAAGCTATCACTGATGAAGCTAATAAATATTCTGCACTGGATGCTACTCATGAAGGAAACAGCTCTGCCTCCTATGCTTCAGGTTCACAGACGTTATCACGTTTTAATGCCACGCAGTGCAGCAACTGATGGCACACTGCCGCAAGGAAAGGGGAGGGATGCGCAACAAGAACACCCCCATCTCTGGCAAAATGAAAACAAAAACGAAACAAAATAATGTCACCGCTATAGCCCTATGTCAAGGAGTTACAGAAACACCAACAGGTTACTTGAGGGCGAGAGAGAAAGAAAGCTGGGAGGGGAAGAACAATGTTTGCACTGAGCAAAAAAACAAAAGCAAAGGGTTTCTCTTTCTCGCTCTTGTAGATGAATGGATGAACTATAGCTTTAATTTCCATTGAAACTTTACACTGAATTTAGTCAAGGGAATAACAGGTGTTGGTGGAGCATAGTTTTTGATTTTATACAAAGAACTGATATTTGCATCATCATCATAATCATTAATTCATTCCCATGACCCAAAATGTTGGGTATATCCTAAGGTATACTGGGAAAGCTGTAATAATAGGTCAAGGCAAAACTGAGCAAAACAAAAATAAGAATGGCCTAATATTTATTTTTTTACAGTGGCACGTGGCTGTCAGCCATCCCAGTGCGTTTGCCGCTGCTATCCACAACACTAGAAGCAGGTTTGTTTTACTGGGAGCAATTGGGTAGAAAATGGCCAGCACGTTTTCCATTATATCTCTGTAAACAAAAAGGCTAGAGAGCTTTCTTTAAAAAAAGAAGAAAGCAAGCAAGCAAGCTGAAATGTTCAGGGAAGGAGTCCAGAACATCACATCCATCTCCTTCCTGCTGGAAGCTACAAAGCTTTATTATTTAAACCAGCACTGAACTTAAAACCACCACAGTATCTTTCCTACTGAATCGGAAATAAACCTGGTTTGATTCTAGTTTCTAAAACAAACCCAGTTTACTTTTCAAGGTCCACCAGGCGTAACAATGTCTACATTCCCCTTCCCACTGGCTTCAGCTCCCTTGAGGCTGCTAGAGTCACACAGAGATGGTCCTCCAGGAATGTTTTAATACTGAGGTAGGGCAAATGTCCATGTATAGCAGACAAACCCGAACCAAACCTAAAGCTTAAATGTACAACAAATGAAAGAAAATGGCTATGAAATAGAGACTTACGGTGACTTTTGGGCTCGCTTACAAATCTTTTATCTGTCGGGGAAAACAAAGTTCAAAAACAAAGGTTGAAAAATGAGAATGGCGACAATGAAGATGGTAACAAAAGAAAACAAAGGGCAGTTTAGCAGCTCTGGCAAACCGAGGACTTAAGGGTATGGTGAAAACGTAAGCACAATGGAACAATTTGTACTGAAGTGACATGCAAGACAAAGCCACGTAAACTGCAGTTGGAAGGGAGGAGGGGGAGGCTGGCATATTCACTCCACAAGCAGCACCTCTCAAATATCTGCACTGCTGTATCTGCCCACAGTATCAGGAGAGTGCCTGCGAAATGTAAAACCAACATCATGGTCTGGGATGCTGTGCTAACGTGCCTAAGAGCAGAGCAAGAGTCCATCTGGTCCAGCGGTCTGTTTCTTAGGATGGCTAGCCAGCTGCCTCCAGCAAGCCCGCAAGCAGGACATAATGGTGATAGCTGTCTCTTGTGGTTGCTCCCCCCAACCACTGGTATTCATTGCCATACTTCCCATGACCATGGAAGCCCCCCCCCCAGCTATGTGGTCAGTTGGTACAAACCACCCAACTGCACTACTATTGGTTCTTCACAACATGTGACCCACCAGTCCTCTCAGGCATAATCCTAGAACCAGTGCTTTTTCTGGGGGGACGCATACCCCTAAACATTTTGGGAGTCTTTGTACTTTTGTCCATTTACTGTATTTATTTTTCTCAATTTGAACTATAAAATGGTGATTTTCTTGAGTCAAAATGAGAGTACCCCTAAACATTTTTTTTTTAAGAAAAAAAGCACTGCCTACAACTCATCTGGACAGAAGCAATGAACTGCCATGTTTCTCAGTTGTCCTGTCCTCCGTTAGCGGCAGTTACCCCAGTCACCACCAAAAACACCCCCTACCCCCCAGTCAACATAAGAAAGTGCTGGAAGAAGCAGTAGCATCTAATTTATTTTCCTGTGGGGGAGCCATGCTGGTCTGTTGCAGTGAAACCCAACAGTGTTGTAGGACGTTTAGGACGAGCACATATATTACGGCGTAAGCCTTGAATGGTGCACTCCAGAGGTCAATGGACTCCAACTCCCATCAGCTCCAATTCCTGGCATGGCCTACGGCCAGGAATTATGGGAGTTGTAATCCATCAACACCTGAAAAGCGCCACGTTGACTGGCAGAAGCTTTCATGGGCCTGTGTCCACATCATCAGATGAATGAAGTACAGTGCTTTTTTCTTTTTTTAAAAAAAATGTTTAGGGGATACTCTCATTTTCCTACTCCTATTGAAATACTGTCCCTCAATGAGGTCAAACTTAAGAGTCACAAAATGTTTAGGGGTATACGTACCCCTGCGTCCCCCCCAGAAAAAAAGCACTGATGAAGTATATGGTGATCCCAAAGTGGCAGGGACACATATATGGTTGGGATGGTGGAGGAGGAGGAAGAGAGGAATGAGGGAGACAAAATGCTAAAGAAGAACAGACTAACTCCAATTCATCTTAAAGTTCTTCAGACTTGCTACATGTTGAAAGTTCCCATACACTGGGAAGGTACTGATCCTTCTTAGGCAATGGGGAGGTGCACAGAGCACAGTGTTCCTTGCCTCTCGGTGTGTTGCTGCTTGGTTTTCTTCTCAGTACCACTTGCCTGTTTAAGTGTTAACAGCCAGCAGCAGGCTGCCATGGTGCGCAGTTTGACTGTGCCTGCAAACTGCACCCGACCTCGGCTGTCATGATGCCTTAATTTTTCCCAGCAGTGAGCTTCTCCAGAGCCAGCAGCTACTGGAGGGAGGGGGAGATGCTTTTTCCCTTTTTCAAAAAATAAATTGCGTCTCTGTACAGGACTCCCCCTCATCTCTGCTATCTGCCAACATGGATCAATCCAGTGATTCCATTTAAGATGACACACATACATTCTCATGCAGCAGCGGCATGAGATTAGAATTATAGCATTTGAGGGGGGGTGAGCAGATTGCGGTGGGAGGACAGAATTCAGGCAGCAATATAAATTCGGGCAAAATAACGAGCCAGGAAGGTATCACAACGGAAATCAACATGACTACAGCAGGTGGCAGCACTGTCACAATTTTTATTTATTTTTTTTAAAAAGCAGGGCTGCTCTTGTAGCAAAGTTTGCTTTTCTGCTCATTAAGGCAATTTATCTGGATGCTCTAAAGCAGGCTTCTTCAACCTCGGCCCTCCAGATGTTTTGAGACTACAATTCCCAGCATCCCTGACCACTGGTCCTGCTAGCTAGGGATCATGGGAGTTGTAGGCCAAAAACATCTGGAGGGTCAAGTCTGAGGAAGCCTGCTCTAAAGAGAGGTGTAAATACAGCAATTCTCCCCAGCCTTGCCTCAAGTTTAAAGTAGAAGGGTTAAAACCAAGCATCTGCCTCCTGCCTTCCTGTGACCACCCAATGAGCACTTCAGATACTGGCTGAGCTACTGTGATGTCATGGAATGTTCATGAATGTACAAGCAGACTGGATTGAAGGTGTCGGCAAGAGAATACTGGCAAAGCAACATGCTTTCCTGAGCCGTCAATTATCCTAAAGGGTCGCAGGACAAGAGCTGTATTCTGCTGGCAAAATGACTCAGGCAAAGGTCCTTTGCAGGCTGCAGGACCGTTGAGCTAGAGAGCAGGTACACGTGGGGGTAGGGAAGAGGCTGGTGGTTGTCATGTAGAGCCAAGGAAAATTCACTCTGCACTTGTCTAAATATATTTTTCTTCATTATTGCTTCTTGGCTTCTGGGGCTTAGTCCTAGCACTAAAAGTAATTTCTGTAGCCTGAGAGATCTGGAGCAAGTTTAAGCCAGGTGTTCATGAAAAGCAAAAATCCCACTGATACCATCAGCACCCATTTCTTTAGGGGATCACATTGTTGAACAAAATTCACTGGACTGCTTTCCCCAACACTAAGACAACTGATAGATTTCTGAAGGAAATGTCAATGAAATATAAGATTTCTCTCTCATTTCAATGGGAAATGACATGATCCACAATTGCTTTACCCTGCCCACCTGTGTTCTCCTTTCTTGTATGAAGAGGAGACCCCGTTCTACTTCTCATAGTTTCACTCTCTGAGCTCTACAGGTGGCAGAGGGATCCTGCCATTATGGGTTCTGAATGACAGTTCGTCCATCTTCTTCAGAAGATTCACATTCAAGATTAGGACTCAAACCTCATTAAGGAAAGGCTGGCATTTCACCCACTAACCTTACCATACACTTCTCAAAATAGTTCTCTTGATCTATCTATCTATCTATCTATCTATCTATCTAGGCAGCCAGCAGTTCATACAGATAATCCTTCTAACTGAAATATTCTGCTCTTCTGAATGACCTACATATCGTTTGAGTAATACAGGTGTCTACATCAATCAGCAGTCTCAAGTCGACTGTTGGCTGGGCATCAGCACAACTGGAACCCATTCAGGTGGGCTGCAAGGATCTGTAGCCCATTCCTAAGCAGGTGGACTCAGAAGTAGCTTGCACCTCAGTTGGGTTTGCTCGCCACTATGCCCTAGCGTGCTATCTCCATGCACCTCCAAGACTTGAAACCATTCACCTAGAAGGCTGATACCAACCAGAGGCAGAGGCAATGGGATGATCTACACATTACACAGTGTCAAATGCAGGTTTGCTATGGAGTGTGCACTCAACAGGGAGTGAAAAATAATCACAGTTCTGTGACAAGTGTACCCAGTAATTATGTGTGCAACAGTATGTTTGATCACATCCATACATCTTAGGTACAGAAGAAATATTTAAGAAATAAAGTTTATGGAAGGGAAGTTTTGCATCTCTTCCTCCTCTCAGCAACCCCCCTTGGTACTGCCTCCAACACGGTTCAAAAGGGAGCCCCAAGAGAGGCTTTCTGTGGGTCTCAGGTAACATTGGGACAGAGCGGAGAGGAAACTTCCATTCCTTAAATGACCTTAGTTAAATTTCAAACTTGTGAATTTAGGTGGCCAGAGAACTTCATTGGGACTGGTAACAGATTTGAGTAAGGAGCTGAAAGGATGCAGTTGGTGTTCTCCCCCTGGCAAAAACAAACCCCTGTGTTGCAATGAGAACCAATCACAGAAACAAAGACACGACACGTGGGCTAATAACTGTTAGAGCATATGCAATAGAATAATGATATCATTCAAAAAGTAGGAATAAATCTATTAGAGTTCATATATATAATGTAACAGATTAGTGGCGCAGAAGGTCTTCTGCTGAAACCTTTGAATAGCCATTGTGAGACTGACCTTTGATGCCTATCTTGAACGCATGGCCTTGACATTCTGCACCACTAGTCTGTTGCATTGCATATATGAACTCTAATAGATTTATTTATACTTTTTGAAAGATATAAAAAATATCATATAATAGAATGATATTCTATTATATATGCTCTAGCAGCTATTAGCCTACGTGTTGTGTCTTTATTTCTGTGATAGATAACTTGGCAACAGAAGTTTGTCACTGGGTCTTACATGCCCACCTGCAGAGCTTTTTCAGTACAACTGAAAAACCTGCCTCCCTTCTGTCTTCCCTTTCCCCTCTGCTTCTTATTAGGCACAGCAAATCGACTCACTTTGCATACAGAGCCCATCGGTGCAGTTTTTGGAGTCAAGCAGCACTCCGCTGCAGTCTTTGCCTCCGTTCCTGGGCGAAGGGGCTGTGCATTCTCTGCTCCTCCAGTGCGTGCATTCCGTGCTGCAGGCTGACCACTTGCTCCATTCCGTCCAAGCTCCGTCTACTGCATTTCGGGAGGGAAAAGACAGTCAGGGACTAATCCATCACCAGAATCACCACCATAAAGGAAGGAAACTAATTAGAGACGCACAGGCAGAAGGAGTTGGCGGGGAGGGGGGGAACAGAGAGAGAGGAAACAATTTCTTGTAGGACTAGCTTACTAACTCCTGAAAAAAGCAGAATGCTGGGATGCCCTTGTGAAATCACCTACTGGCACCACCGGCCCCAAACCAAAAAGTAAAGCGATACTGGCTGACAGGCAAGATCAGACTTAAAACACTGCAACCTTCCAATACAGGAAGCTATTCCACATCGAAAACATGCACTATCTCCCACACGTAAGTGTTTTTACACCAAAATTTTGTTGTATTTTAAGTGCGCCTTAATGTGACGCATACTGATACAAGCAACTATTTTCAGGCGTGCATCTAGTTAGAATTTCTATGCTGCATTTTAGCAGTCCTCTGAACAAGTCTGCAATGTAGATCAGTATCATTAACCCCATAATGCAGCCGGTGAGCTAGGGCAAAAGACTGCGGCTTGCTAAAGGTCACCTACCAAAAAAATTAGGTGACATCTTGAAAGCTGTAGGTTCTAACTACTACAGCAGCTTCCTCTTTTTTAAAGCACCGCCTGCTTTCTTGCCACATCTGCCAGTTGTCATCCCAACCAAGCATAAAATGTAATTTAAAAAAACCTAAACTAAATGGAACAGATTTGACTAGCACATGCATTCCTAAATCTGCCTTTCTTAAGGTTCCAGCCTCCCATCATCACATGTATGATTATTTCTTTTTTGCTTTCTTTTGAAGTCTAAAAAGAGCAGCCAGACACAAAAGTACATTGAATTCTCACAAAACAACCCGCTTCTTTATTGTTTATCCTGTTTCATCCCTCCAGGCCGCAAGTGTTAAGAGCATTGTTATTTTCCTCAATTTCTTGCAATAACACATCTTGCTGCTAGCAGATGCTGTGATGTTAGCAGTTCTTCCTGTAAATTATGAGTCTCACTTCAGTTGTGACTCAACATAAATATCATTGCACTATAATGTACACAGAACTTTCGTACAAAACGGAATATTGGATGCCTTTCCCCAAACCCTTGATATTTAAAGGTAGTTCTAAATAAAGAATGAGCTGTTTTAATAAATGACATTTGGAAACTGGTGGATTGTTTTCTAAAGCAGATATGGCTCCCAAATGCTCTGCTGCCTGGCTCCTGCTGCTTGAGATATTCTTAACGCTCTGTACAGGGTACTGAGTCTAAGTCAAGTGGCTACATCAAGCTTTGCCACCAGATTCTGTGCTATACAAACAGAAACAGCCCTGTGTGTGAATACAGCTCACTGTGCAGAGTCCAGGAGTGGCTGTCCGAGATGCCCTCACCTGGGCACATAGTGCTGCAGGAGATCTTCTGCAAGGACTGTCCATCGCAAACGGAGCCACCGTTGAGAGGCGCAGGATTGGTGCAGGTCCGGGTGCGCTTTTGCCATCCTCGACCACAGCGGTTGCTGCATGGGGACCATTCTGACCAGGTAGACCAGCCACCATTCACTATGAGCAGGGAAGAGAAGCAAAGGATGTTTAAAAACCATGAGGCTATCTCCTCAATACCAACCTAGCTGACTTCTTTCTCCTGTAGCCACTTCTAATGTTACAGCTGCCCACACGAAATGTGCTGGGAAATGCCCACATCGTGTTGGATTCCTGTGGCAGCTGTAACATTCAGTAAGTCCTCACCACCATGGCTGTCCCAATCATGCCAGTGTTGCACATTTTTGGTGGAAGCTGGCACCAGACTGGACACTCTCCATGTGCAATTACCACAAGAGGGAAGCCCAAATGCTGCATCTTCTCCATCACCAATCAATAATAATAAAATGTACCTCTGTAAGAACACACCTATTAAGGAATATCTGCAAAATTGTAACACCTGTGCATCAGAGACCTGCACTGGTTGTCAATTAACTGCTCAAGGTGTTAACTATTGGCACTTACAGCCCTGAACAGCTCAGGGCCAGTTTATTTGCGAGATTGCCTTACAATGAAGCAACCTATAACTTGTAAGAAATCAATCAATCAATTGATGGGGAAACTGCAGAGGCAGGGACTCTTATAACAACAACAACAGCAACAACAACAACTTATTATTTATACCCCGCCCATCTGGCTGGGTTTCCCCAGCCACTCTGGCAAGCTTCCAAAAAAATATTAAAATACAATTGCAAGTGCTATTAAATTCAGTGGGACTTCTTTTTGAACAAACATGCTTAGAGGATCAGGTTGTTATTTGCATTCAATGTGGATGTTTACATACTGCATGAACCAAGTATTTAATTATACATGCACACATATATATGTTGCAGAAAACTGTGTTCTCATCTTCTCCTTACCCACCATGTGAATAAGCCCCCTAACCTGCCAAAAGCAAAAAGTCTGTACCATAGACAATGACGGTGGCTGTGGTGCTCTTCCGTTTGGCGACAATGTTCTTGGCCACACAGGTGTAGTTGGCAGTGTCAGAAAGTCTGGCTTGCTTGATGATGAGGTTATGGTCAATGGTTATCAAGAAGTTGGTATCTTGGGCAGTGTCAACCACATAATCATTCCTCAGCCACTCCACCTAGAGAGAGCCACGGGGGGAGAAAAACAGTGAGGAAAGGAATAGGGAAAGAAGGTGTTGGGACAGGTAAAAAAAATAATGAAGGAAGGAGGAAGATGGAGCCACTGTTAACTACACACACAATACATGCAACATGTGATCTTCATTCCAAAGCAAGATCCATAACTATAAGTTTTTTTTAAAAAAAGTTGTAAGTTTCTCCAGCAAGCCATGGAACTTTGTCATCCAGAGCCTGGAATTCTGTTGGATAACCCTCCAGGGGTAGAGTCAAACTGCGGGAGAATCACAGTGCCTGCTGTGGTCGCAGAGACTGCTAACTCGTAACTGCTGCCTCCTGTGTTGTTTTTGCTTCATTAGCAACACCGAAGCAACCTCTCCAGGAAGCAAGCCTGGGCAGTGTGTATGGAGGTCCCGGGCTGACCCGATTACAAGACACCCCCCCACACACTCTAGGCCTCACTGATGTAGTCCAAAAGAAAGCAGAGCGAAATTTGCCGCAGGTACCCATGACAGAAAACTCCATTGGGTTCCTGTGGCATGTATACGTTTGCCCACTTGCCTTGCACTGGTACATGCAATATCCTACGGAGAAGTAATACTAAGTAAGCATAAACAGGCCTTATTTATGAAGTATCCTGAATCTTGTGATGTTCAACCCATTTTTTAAATAATAAACAACCCTGCCTGTCACCCCAGGAGGCCCTAGTACCATAATGCACCTGGGCTTTGCTCATTGTTCGAGAAAGGACAGACTTTCTTACAGATAACCTTTCTATTTTTAATTTTGTTCCCATCTGCCACACCAGCTGGATGTGGAATGGCCCAGTTCAACCACCTCACTGTTTTGTTAGCAAAAAACAAAGCAAGGCCAGACAAATCGCGGATTAATTTCTTACATTTGTATCCTGCCCCAAGTTGCTGAGACCAACAGTTTTAGCCCGACAACAACTCTGAAAAGTAAGTTACGCTCTGAGAGTGTGAGGCTGAAGGCTTCAGGCCTCATCCACACTGGCAACAAAGTAAAATGGGAACGAGATGGTGGAGTCCTGAAGCGGTAGACTAGACTGCAAATTTCGGGCTGAAAGTGGTGTTTTGCCATTTCAGCGAAAAACACAAAACCTTGCACATAGAAAACTAGCTCTGAAGGGGCTGGACTAGGATATGCTAGCATCCCCCCTCCCGTTTCTAAAACTTGCCAAACAGGGTTGTTGTTAAAACATATGTGTGCACTCAAAACTAGTACAGTATTTTGCACCTGCAGCCTGAAGCAGAAATATCCATTCTGCCTCCTCATTCACCTGCATGCATGGACCAGGCCTCTTGGTGTTCTAGAGGCAGAAACCAGGTGCTACCCTACAGGACACTATGGTCTACCTGCCCTTAGCTTGGATTGACCTGTCTCTCCATCGGCACTCAGTCGCCAGGTATATGCATGTGTGTGCTTAACTGCCTTCACTCCATCTAGACTGAGCATCTTTACACCCCAGGCACCTAATGTTAGCTACACAGCCATATGATGCCATGTTGGCAGCGGTGGCGGCGTTACCCTGCCACTGCAGTCACAAGTCGCTGGAAGCTTCCTGTGGTAGCAGCAACAGCAGAAAATTTATGTCCCTGGGATGGTGCCACACACCCAAACAACTGCTCTGGTATGCGTGTTCATAAAGTGCCAGCAGGGAGGTGGCACTGCCCTCTGTTTGAAAGCATGCTGCACAACACTTGCAGAACCAGCAGATTTGGGGGCAGCTGTTTGCTACCACTTCTGTGATGCTCCCCAGGGGCTGCCTGAAGATGCAGCCTCACTCTGCCTTGTGACAAGGCTGCGACACCCTGAGAGCCTCACGGAAGGGAGCCGGGGGTTGGAGTTTCCCCAAACGCAAGCTAATGTTCCAGCCGTTACACCAGTTGGGCCGTTTACACGGGAAGTACCAGGTCACAGGGTGTCAAAGGCTAAAGATGACCCCGGTGTGAAGTTCTGCCACTGTCAGGGGAATTCCAGGAATGTTGATACGTCCTAATTCTAATTGCTCTCCCCCTCACTGGAAAAGAATTCGTTCTGTGTTTTCATTGCTAAATCCTGCGAGGAGTTAATGGCTGATCAGCCCATGCGGGAGGGAGGGAAGGCTGGGCTGAACAGGTGTTGAGGTTAAGTACATTATTAGGTGTCAGAATAACAGATCCGCTGCCTAAAATAAACACTTCTGCTGAATAATGAAAGCAGACGGCCTCGGTGCGAGGCTATCCATCACGGCCCCGATCTGGCTCCGGGAGCCGACTCATTTACCTCATGCTCACTTTTTTCCTCCTGGCTGTAAACTGGCATCTGCTAAGGTGCCAACACTCCCAGCTGGAATTTTATGGCAGTTGCTTGGAAGAAGCAGGCAGATGTGTGTGTGTGTGTGTGTGTGTGTGTTTCTGAGGTGTGCATAGTGGGGAGAGGGTGGCTGGGCAGATATCTGAGAGAAGTAACAGCTCCCCGTGATTTATTAATGGGCTGCAATGGGAAAAATTTCATCCTTGCCTACAATTATTCACATTCACGGTGTGCCTTCAGGGAAGGCGCAGATGTGCCCAGCTGTAGGAGGAAGGCAGGAAGTTTCTGGTTACCAACCGCCAGCAAATTTGGAGAGTGGTTGGTTGGTGGGTGGGTGGGTGGGTGGGGGACAGATATCTCAGCAACCAAAATCTATAAAACAAGTCTGCATGTCTGAGTTAGAATAACACCCTAAAATTGAAAAAGGAAAAAAAGCAGGAGACAGATATTTCAGGAGGCTTTTAAACATTTATTCCAGCATCTGTCTTATGGAACAGGGGAAAGTAATACATTTAATGGGAGGGCAGCAATCACTATTGGAGGCAATGCTACAGCCCTAGCTCATGAATCTCAAAGCGTTCTGCCAGAACAAGCCTGGTAGGAAAAGATATATATCACTGTCAGGGAAAGTGCTCTAAGTCTCCAGGTGCAATCTCAAACCTGGGTCCTTTTGAGAGCTGGTCTTGCTTAGCAGCCACCTCTTTCCCAAGCAGACCATGGACCTCCTGGGCACAAGTATTTATTTGTGACAGCTCCCTGTCACTCTTGCTGCCCCCAAGTAACTTCCCCTGCTTTCTTGCCTAATTTCAGTTGGCCATTCACCACGTGATTTTATGCGTGTTAAGTTGCACAGCGTCTTCACCACCATCTAAGAAAATGTGGCAAGAAGAGGCAGGGTGAATTTTTGCCACACCCCTGATTGTGTCTGATTGGGTGCAGAAGTGTGGTAAAGTTCTCCTCACCACCTAATAGGATACAGAGGGATAACTTATTGAGGGGCTATGTCAGGTGTGGGGAACCCATTTGACCCTCCAGATGTTGCTGAACTCCAGCTCCCATTAGCCCCAGCAAGCATGGCCAACAATTACGGAAGTTGTAGTTCAGCAACACCTGATGGGCCAAAATTTCCCAACACCTGGGTTATGTGTTGATAAATGAACTCACACTTTAGACTCCATTTCAAGATGTACCCACTGTTGTGGCTGCTTCCTCAGTTAGTCTACAGCAACCTTTGCCAACATAGTCCCCCCCCCCACCAAAAAAATGTTTTGTAGTACAACTCACTGCATCTCTAGATAGCATGGCTGCCCAAACCATCCATGGATCATCAACATCTCTGTCTGGATGCTGCTCTTTTGTCTGTTTGCGGGAATATTTGTCCCCATCATCGGTTTGCACCTACAGTTTGTTTATTGCATTCTTTCCTGCCCTTCTTCCAAGGAGCTCAGGTCAGCCTTCATAGTTCTCCCCTATATTTCATCCTCAGAACAAGCCTCTGAGATACGTTAGCAGAGAGAGTTGCTGAGGGTCACACATTGAGGTTCGTGGCTGTGTAAGGATGCAGGTCTCACCTGCCCTAGTTTGACTGTTTATACAGACTCTTTCTCTCTCTCTCTCTGCTGTGGGCCTGAACTGTAATTGTGTCAGCCAGCTTTCTGCTCTGCTCAGAGAGGCTTGCAGCGTATCTTCTCTCTGCTTGTTGAGCACTGTGAGCCGGTTGCGCGTGTTGATGAAGTGGAGGGCCTGATCTGCTGGATGGATGCTTCCACCTTGCAGCGGGAGGTTGGGAACAGGATGATATTTGGGTGCTTTCCAGCTCTGTGTCTATGCCCTAGCCTGATAGCGGTACTGTAAAATAAAATGAGGCTAAGAAGAGTTATCTTCTGTGGCTTTTTGCATGAGCAGCCTTATCCTAATGGGTATTAGCAGCATCACACACTAATCTGTGTACTTCTTGGCAGCTCTGGCTATGTGCCCAGTCCACAGCCAGCACCACCAGTTTCGAGGAGATACATGGTGCCTAGCTGAAGCGACCTCTTCAGAAACAAGATTCGTCTGCCTGCCTCACCGCAACCCTCACTGAAGAGATCAGAGCTGTCTACAAGGGCAATTCCTGATCGGAAGCCATGATGAGCAGCAGAAATGCCAGGCCATAGTTGTTGTTGCTATTATGTTTTGGTTTATTTTTTACAAAGCGGAATAAACCTCACTCCACCAAGCTTCCTCCCCTTTGGAGAGACAAATATGCCACAAAGCCTTGAAAACTGTTTGTAGGGAGTGCAAACGAGAATTGCAGCTGCGTGACCTCCATGTGACATGGATAAAACTGTCCAAAGTAACAGGATAGAAGAAATAGGGCCAAAGGCGACACTGAGGTTGGTGGCGACGGGGGTGGTGGTGGTGTAAAACAAATAAATCCAAGCTCAATGGCAGGAGTGCATTGGAAGGGTAAGATTCCTTTCTGCAGCTCAAAAAACCGGCTGACTAATGGAAGCTTAGTATTTTCACAACCAGGCAGTTGAAACAGGTTTGAGAACTCAAGGCTAGGCTTCTTTTAGGGCCTGCGTGGGCCCAACTAAAGAACTACAGAAAGCAAAGAAAAATTAAAGCACCTGTTTTCCCCCTAAGGGTGTGTGGGTGCGTGGGGGTGTCAAAATGGCTAAATTGTGCAGTTCTCTAAATGGGGAACATCCCCCAAAGCCACGTAGCCTGGACAGTGCAACCCTACACAGGCTTACTTGTGTAATGGTACTTTATTTTGAGTAAACAACGCCCTACGCCTAGGACTGAAGTGTCAGTCTATTTTCTGCTAAGCAGGTACCTACAATGAGCCAGAGTGAAGGGAGACAGTTCGCATTTATGGGCAGAGGAAGGACTGAAACAAGTATAGAATGTTCTCTTTCTCAGTGATCTGAGATAAGCCCTGCGCATCCCTTGGCACATGGGAAAGTGCTGCATGTGCGCTTTAATAACAGTGATGCTAATCATCACGCAGAAACACAACATGAGCATGCGTCGCCTTGTGGGAATAAATAATCGCAATTCAGTTCCACAGGCTCCTCCCAGCTGGCGGCTGCTGCCACCAACAACGCCCCCACCCCCCGGTGGCCTGCCTTGCTTACCTCGGCTGTTGGCACTCCTTCAGGAGGGCGGCACTGCAGAAGCACTTCGTGATCCAGAGGAACCTCCTTTCCCAAGGGCTCCTGGTCAAAATTCTTCCTCAGGTCTACGAATGGGAAACAAAACAAGCACCAGGCATCAGTCGAGGAGTCACTTGCAGAGCTCAGTTGCCTTGTCATACCAGCTGAGAGAGGGCGGCATGTCAAGAGCTCAGCATGACCTTAGGCTGGGTACGCACCAGAGATTTAAAGCACATTTTTCTCCCCTGCCCACAAGCCTAGGAACTGTAGTTTACACTTTAACAGAGCTACAACTGCAAGCGCCCTTAACCAACTAGGGTTCCCAGGCTTCTTTGGTGGGAGAAATGTGCTAAATGAGGTTCCTTACTTGGCAAGGCTGCCAATTCTTACTGAAATGAAGATGTGAGGAAATGCACTGCTTAAAAGTCCTTGTGGTGCCATTCTGTTGGTCTCACGGGTTATCTCAATAAGGGTTTTCAGAAGCACTCAGATGATCCCATCGTGGTAGTTAAAGGAAGAATGGACATGCAGAGTTTGTATTTTACACCCCATTCAGATATATTTACTTGGGAGTAAGCCACTTCTGCTTCCAGAGATGTGTGGGCTTGCAGGTAAAAGGAAGTCTCTGCTGCATGTGAATGTACGGACTGTTATTTTCCAAACTCCCACAAATCAAATGAGTGAAACAGTTGAGAGAGGACAAGGTCTCACAGCCCTGCATAGCTGTTCTCCATAAAATGTAGGACATGATATTTTTGTGTGTTTGCTCAGGGCCTGCCCTACCATTAGGTGGTGACGAGCTGCTTCAAGCGGCAGAATCTGGGTGGGCAGGTAGCAGTGGTGAAGTGTTGGACAACAGAGCTATGTCTGCTGTACATCATGCCTTCCAACATCTAACTAATCTAACCCAAGTGCTGAAGTAGGAGACAACTACAAGTCCAGCTGGCTTTAGTATATGGTGTGAAGAGAGGACTTCACTTTGTGCTTGCTTCAGACGGCAAAATTTCTTGATCTGCCTCTGCCTCTACTAACTCTACTCCCAAACAAAATATCTCCATTCCTTGCTATTCCTTCCCCGTGTATCAAAACCTTTGCTAAAATGTTCTGAATTCTGTACATCAACATTAGAGAATGATTGTATCACTTGCAGCCACAGGGAACAGGAATATATTAGCAATATTAAGCGGCTTTTCTTAATACTTGAATATTGCATCAGTTTCAAAGAACTTTGTGTGCTTAACTAAACTGTATTACGAGTAAACAAGCCCCAGTATTAACCAGTAGGTGGCACTAAAACCCACCTAATTTCTCTCAAGCAGTTTTGACAAACTGTTCCAATGAAAATAAATGCTGTCCAAAGTAATTATTTTTGAGGATGATTACGATGATGACAATGATGATAATTTGCTGTCTTGTTTTATGAACAAGACTTGATCGCTGTAGATCTTATCACAGCATGATCTGCTGGAACGAGAAAGTTCACTGGCTAGCATCCCTCAAACAACCACTGCTTCTAGAACTGCATATTGCAAGTTTATAGTGCCTGTTCGCACAAATTTCTAATCCTTGCATTTCTAATCCTTGAGAATACATTTATTTTTATTTTTTTGTAGCATGGGAAGGGAGCCATGTAGAAAAATAAAGCCACATATTTTGAAACTAGTGTGGAGCGCCCGGATATATAAGCACTGCATATTTTTTAGAAATAAAAATAACATTGTGCCATTTGTGAGATTGGATGTGTCACACCAAAAAATGGGTGGAGTCAACCCAAAGTCATGTTTAGTCCACCACCTTGATGCAAAATGACACCTGGCATCTGAACATTAACAAAAATTGCCACTCCCACCACAGGTGCCATCATGCCAAAATTGGAGATGATGTATTGAAAAGCAGCCAAATCTATTCTATGCTGAAAAACAGGGGAAGTCATGCCAAAGGGACATTGCGGTCTGCCAGCTTGATTAAAAATGGCAGTGAGTGTCCAAATATCAGTGAAGAGCACTGCTCCCACCTCTTGTGTCAAGTTTGGTAATATTTTTCCAAGCGGCATCCGAACATAAAGAGAACAAACTTCCCCTGACATCAAAATAACTTGCCTCCATCCTCGATTATTAAACACACAGTAAGGCCTAATCTTTGCCATTCTGATCCCACCGTCAAGGGCTCTCCTTTTCTTCCATGAGAATGGGGTAATAAATATATGAACATATGTGAAAAGCCCATTGAAATCCGTAAATCAAACAATCCAACAAACTATGATGAAATGAATTCTCTTTTGTCTTGTTCTGCTCATTGAAACAAAAAACAAAAACCCCCACAACCCTCACCAAGGAAAATGTAACTTAAAATTCTCCTTTCCAACAAAGGGTATCCCTCCTTCTTTCTCTTACACACACTCTCACACCCCAACGTGCCCAAAATATATAGAACGGCTCACATTTGAGCAAACATGAACTGCTTACAATGTGGCTCTTGGGGGGTATATTCTGTCCATCTCTGTCCCTACATACAAATAGACTAAGTACCTGGGAGAAATGCACAGTATGAAAAGTACCCATATGAAGGAGGGTTAAACACACTCAAGACCTACATGCTATCCTGACGTAAGCTCTTCGGCTTTTGGTGGTCCCAGCAGAGCTCCACGCCACACACTGGCACCAGTAGTCTTCTAAGCCAAAGAATTCATCCACTTGCTGTCGAGAAACTTCAATCTGGACTTCTCTTACAAGGAGCCCTGGAAGAAGAGAAAACAAGGAGGAGGGTTAATGATGAGAGCCGGGGGGGGGGGGGGGATGAGAAGCTAGGACAGTGGACTCTCCGTCCTTGGAGGTTTCAAAGGAGAGCTTGGATGGCCATGGGCCATGGATGCTTTAGCTGAGATTCTTGCATTGCAGAGGGTTGGACTTGATGACCCTTGGGCCCCTTCCAACTCTATGATTCTGTGATATGGGAGGGAGGGAGATAGAAAGAAACACCTTCATGGAAGTGAGAAATACATACACAGGGCTGAAGCAAGGGTAGAAGGGGAAATGGTGGCCCTACACACCAGAAAGAAGGCATGGTTGACTATGGTTTCCTCACTACCTACGAAAAGAGCTTCAGTTGATTTCATGATAGCACTCGTCAAATATCTGAAGAGCTGTCCTGCAGAAAATGAAGCAGATTCCCCCCCCCGTTGCTTTCAAGCTCCCCACCTTGCATGAGACTTGACTTGTGCAATTACATATGGTTGGAATTAGGGTTGAATCACCACCACACAAGTCAAACGTGTAAGGTGAGGGTTTACTGCAATGTAGAAGGCAGCTCCCAGTCTCTCTTTTGGGCTAGGTAGCAGATTTGGCAGGTTTGCCTCATGTGGCACTTCCTTGGGGTTGTAGGGTTGGAAGCAGAAGTAAGGTGTTGGAGGAGAGAGTTGTGTGTGTCATGTGGCTGGCTCTGTGTCCCCTAAGATGGCCTGTTTTTTGTTTTTTTTTAAGTGATATTTATTGAGAATTTAAAATTACAGAGAAAAAAGGAGGAAGAAACAAGAGAAAAAGAAAAAGAAAGAAAAAGGTAGACAAAAATAGCAATTAAACAATACAAATCAATAAAAACCAAAGTCAAAGAGAGAAAACAAAACACACAATACATCAAAATCAAAAAGCAAAAATAAACAAAAAATTTAAAAACAAATCCAATATTCCCAAATCCTTAACTTTCATTAACTTATTTCATCGACCTCCTCACACCTCCCTTTTTGTATTCTAGTTATTAATTATCTCAGCAAATCCTTTCCATCTTTCACAATATTCTGTCATTAAATTACCTTAATCTATTTTAACCTTATCTTACCATAAAAAACCCTAAAGCTTAAAACTTAAGTCTTATTTATACCTAATTCTTTTAACCATAACATATTCTTACATAATTCTTTTTAACATTTCTGCTAAAGCCAAATAATTTCATTCCAACATTTTTCTAATACTCATTAATTTTACGATAATTTTCTAAATAAATTTTTAAAACTTTCTTCCAATCTTCATCCATCGTCTCTTCTTCCTGGTCTCGGGTTTTGTCAGTCCTTTCTATCCCATCCATCTAGTCCATCAACCTGGTGACCTTCTATCCGAGGCTCTTAAGTCTTTTCCATGTCCCTTCCACAGGTCTTCTTCATGTTTATACCTGTACTTTACTTTGTCTTCTGCTGATCTTATTCTTAATTTCCTTCCTTTCTCTCGGGGAGACTCCAACTTGACAATATCTTTGTCCCTTCTCGACAAGTCAGCCCATTTTCCATAGTCAACACTGAAATCCATGTGATATTTAAAGGCATGTTTCAAAGTCCCTCTAAAGTTAAGGGCCCCCACAACTCCCATCTCCCCCCAGCCCAAAGCCAGACTCGAAAGGTCAAAACATCCCTGCATAGGGGGATCCATCCAGCCCCCCATCTCCAAGCCAAACAGAACTCCATCTCTCCAAATCTGACTTTTTCCAGGTTCATTCGTCAAATCCAACAACTCATGTTCCTGCTGGACCGCAGCTCTCTCCATTTCTGCTACTTGAGGTTCAGCAACAACCTCCTCCTTTATCTGATCTGTTAAAGCACATTCCTGGATTAATTCCTGAGTGAGTTCTATATAGGTACCCACTGCCTGTCCAAAATTTCCGACTGCAACAGTCATCTAATCCATCTTCTCATGTAACTGTTCCAATAAAGCACTTGTCTTGCAAAGAGCAAGCACCAAAGCCTCCTCTAAGCACATTCTTGTTCAAGGTCAAAGTCTGGTCCCACGATCTTTAATCTCTACAGCTGCAAAGCTCCCCAGTTCGACTCTAATAACAGTTTCACAAGCTCCCTCTAGGGGAAACAATTTAAAAGCAGATCTAGCAACAAAGTTCCTTTCCTTTTTCGGATATTTTGTTCCTTTTAAATGCAAAAGGGAACAATGGAATCAATATGTTTCTCTTCTTTTGACTATCTGTCAAAAACGTTTGTCCACAGTCAATGAACTTCCCCAAAACGTCTGTCCTGACACCCCGCTCCCAGGTTCAAGACGGTGGAAATTTACCTTTCTTTACTCTCTCTTCTGCAGGTTTAGACAGTCTAAAAAAGATTCCCCCCTCTTCTCCTGCTTCCAAGGGGGGTTCAGTAATTTTAAATGATGAAAATTTAATCCTTTACAAACGACTTTCCAGACTCTAGCTTGCCATGTCTTTGCTTCAATCTATTTACAAAAGCGGAAGGCGGACTTCCTGTTTAGACCTTCCCGCTTCGGTGCCAAATTAAGAAATTTCATAGTCCAATTTTTCGTTCTACTCACGGGCAGTTGTTTAAAATCCAATTGTCCACAGGAAAAAGTCAGCGCTCTCTGGCAACAGCAATGCGGCTTCACTCCGTGAAAAGAGCAGTCGATTTGAAGCACTGCGCCATTCACCCCATGTCGCTCCGGATCCCCGAAACCAGGTTTCCCCGCGAGTGGGGGAGGCGCGAAAGGTGCCAGCTGAATCCCACGTCCACAGGCTTCTCCCGCCTGTGGTTTTTAGTGGGTCTCCGCCTCGCCGCAGCGGTCCAGACCCTAATTCTCACGGAGCGGATTCCTCCCGATCAGAGGAAATCCGCAATTGCCAGAGGCGCTAACCCGGAAGTCCAAGATGGCCTGTTGCCCTCTAGTGAAGGATGCTGACCCACGCCGAGTGTTGAAGTAAGATTCAACTATCAGTATGGTGGAATGTGAGTTAGGGCGCCATCTTGTCTTTTGCCTCAGGCAACAAAATGTCTTGAGCTGGTCCTGCCTCTTCCAAACGACGACCAAAGATTCAGGAGCCGTTTCTCACTTTTTCATCTTTTACCTCCACAAAGTGCTTCTTAAAATTAAGTTTGGAATACCTGCTTTGCTTGAAGATGGCCCAAGGTTTAATCCCCAGAATCTCTGGCTACGGGGCTGGGGAAGAGACTTCAATCTCAAACCCTGGAGACCTGCTGCCAGGCCATGTAGACGTGAGTGAGCTAGATGAACCAAAGGTCTGACTGCAGTATAAAGCAGATCTCAATGTCCACACATAATTTCTTTAACTGGCTAGGAGGCATGTACAGTCCAGGACAAAAGCCCAATATCTTGATGGGCCACCGCCCCCCTTTTAAGCTATCTACAGTTGGTACACAGTTTTCTTGGTCCTACTAGGCCACATAAGGGGGGGGGGATCTGGTACTTTCATGTTATAGGGAAGATAAACTTCTATCAACCCTAGAGATAAAGTGGGGGAATAATAGTTGGCATGTCTGTCTGTCTGTCTGTCTGTCTCTGTGTGAAAAGAGGCAGCTGCAAAAAGAAAGAAGTGGAAGGAGGCGAGAATTTTAGACGATTAAGAACTGAGTACCAACAGGCTGAGCAAATGAAATATGTTTTGAAAGAAGAAGCTCCTCAAGTCATAAGGGAGGCTGTTTCTGGTCAAATGAACTTCCCATTGAGGGCAGAACTCTAGAGTCACCCAAGGGTGATAACTCTGATAGAGCCATTATCAACATTCAGCTGTTTTACGAAAGAGCCGCTATTACTACTGGCTAAGATATACCCCATTACTCCTCCTGTTTTAGTGCAACCTTAATCGCTTCACCGTCGCATTAAAAATCACAGCCTCAATTCAGCAAGGCACATAAGCATGTGCTTTAATCTTATTGCCTTAATATAGTAAAACCTCGCTGCCAATTGTCTACAAATGAAGAGCAGAGTGGATTCAGCAGCAGTTGAAGCAACTGTTTCTCTTGCCTTTTCCATTATGACAATTGTATTTCATTTGCTTATAAAACACACACACACACACACACACACACACACACACTAACGGTGGTACTAAAGATATGCAATGTGAACTGAAGATGTTTATGCCCTCAATAAAGATGGCTGATACTTTAATGAACATGGTAGGTAGAGACAGATAAAGGATTTGAGCCCGTTATGGCTGACATTTCCAACTGCTTTCTGTGGGTCTGGGAAGCTGCCATCTTATTAATAAGAATAGGTCTCAGAAGCCTCTTTCTTTATACTTTAAGGCATCTGCTCAAATTCCAAACTACCAGGACTGACCCGTTCTATAAATAAATGGTATATTTGCTCCATGACCTTCAAATCACTGCTGTTTTTCAAACCCAAACTTAATTACCTGTAGTGTTCATAAGCTGAAGGGTGACCATGCTTCAATTGTTATATCCACAGACAAAGTATGTTTACCTCAAATCCTTTCTGGTGCTCTTCCCCGGTTTTCTCACCAAAGAATATTGCAAATTGTAGCCTGAATGCATTAGTCTGTTCAGAGATCACTGAACACTCCTCACTGAATTCCCCGGGGAAGAGGGCATGTCTGTTATAGCCTGGTGCTGCTACTGAGAATCTGGAGATCTCAACCCTCTTCACCAAACTACAATTCCCAGAATTCTCTTGAAAGACAAGATTGCTCGTTAAACCCGTTTAAATCTGCAGGATATAGTCACAGTGTTCTCTCATTCTCTCCTAAGACTCAGCAACTAGCCGAAGTCCCAGCTTTTGGAAGAAAGTACTTGGGAAACCTGGGTTCAAATCCCCATTTGGTCATGAAGTTCACTGGGTGATGTGGGACCAGTCACTATAGGGTTGTTGTGAGGATAAAATGGGAGTGGGAAAACCATGTATGCAGGGCCGTCTTACCAATAGGTGCTAGGGGTGCGGGGCACCTGGGAGCTGGGCTCTAGGGGGCACCAGGCCAAGAGTCCGGGGCCTGAGAGTTGAGTCCAGGGAAGAGCCCGCCTCTCGGTTGGAGTGCTGTGACGGGCTTTTCTGCTGTGGGCGGCTCTGCGCTGCAAGTTGGGTGGCGACCGAGCCAGCGAGATGCTGAGGTGGCCAGCTGGCTCCGCCCTCCTGCTCGCCTGGGACTGGGCAACTGGAAATTGGCAAATGGGTCAGTTTCAACTGATCACTGACAAGAACACACTCTTGTGTGCTATTTGCACTAATAACGCATGCATTTTATTCATGCTTTGTCCTAGTAGATGCATTTCTATACACATTGGTTGCAAAATTTGGAGAAGTGTGCATTTTGAAGAAGGGTGGCGGCATTTCAGTCCGAGTAATGTTTGGGAAACGGCAAGTTAGGCAGGTTCACCTATAAATGCGAACGGAATTTAAATTTCCCTCCTTCCCTACCTGCAACCCGAGGACAAGACTTACTTTTTTTTTTGACAATTAAGTGCTTCTTGAATTCTGAATGTAAAGTAGAAATGGTATGATTGTGTGTGTGGCTCCCTACACCAAGTCCTTTGAGAAGGATGGAATGGTAACCAGTTAATATATTTAAAAAATATTAATTCCTCCAACTTTCTCCTTTGCTGTACAGTGCCTGTGGATCACATCCTAACATGTCTCGCTCCTTTTGCTGGTGTGATGGTAGCGCAGGCGGGATGGCAGGAATGTGTGGCAAGTGGCCTCCTGGGACATTAAAGCCTCTTGCCCGCCTGTTGCAAATCCATTTGCTATTCATGCTGGCAACCTCAATCCTAATTAAATAATTTAGCCCTCGAAGGCATTTAATGTGGACTTTTTGCGTGAGTTCAACAGTGCAGCGCGGACTTGTTTAATGGAAGCTTTAATTACAGTTATATATTCATTTAAAATTGTTTTACAAAGAGAGATTGCACTGAGCAAATGGGAGAGGGAGAGAGAGAGAAAAAGAGAGAAAGGGGAAGAAAAGAAATATTTTCTGCCTGTTAATAATATACATTGCAACCATTTCTCGCTAATGAAAAAGAAGATGATGGGAGCCCAATTCATACCATGGCTTTTTCTTAAAACAAACAAACAAACAAACAAACAAACAAACAAACAAACAAACAAACAAATACCCAATACAGTGGTACCTCGGGTTAAGAACTTAATTCGTTCTGGAGGTCTGTTCTTAACCTGAAACTGTTCTTAACCTGAGGTACCACTTTAGTTAATGGGGCCTCCTGCTGCCGCCATGCCGCCGGAGCACGATTTCTGTTCTCATCCTGAAGCAAAGTTCTTAGTCTGTAACCTGAAGCATCTGTAACCTGAAGCCTCTGTAACCCGAGGTACCACTGTATAGACAACCTCTTGCAAGATCCCTATCAGCACGACTAAGAAGGTGGGGAGTTTTTACAAGACACTGGCCCAGTTCATACATAATACTACAGTTTGTTCTTGGCGTACCACTCATGATTTTTTTGGGGTGAGACAAACCATAAACCTGGTTTCATGCACAACACTAAGCCAAACCATGGCCTTTTGCTCTGGGTAATATGGCAACAGTAGGACTGAGATGGGGGGGGGGGACAAAATTCTCATGCTGGGTACCCCATGCTTGCTCATTCATGCAAAACCACTGGTTGGTGGGTTGGGACCCACTACCGTGGCCTGATCTAAGGTGGGTCACAACAGCAGCATCACCACCACCATGCAAACATATGGCAAAGGAAAATCAACAAATGAGTCTCTCAAATGCATTTTTGGGCCCTGGCTCTGAAAGGATTGGGACTACTATGCTATGACATAGTTTGGCTTGGTGTTGCATGTGAACCAGGCCATTCTCTTGTGGAGAAATTGCATGGATTCATTGGGGAATCTTGCAAATGCACCAGCTCAAATTGACTATTAGAGTTTTGTTTCTGTGGAATGTAGGGAACTTATCAAATATTAAGCACACGGAAACACGTCTCCATATGTGTGCATGGACTCTTCTCCTGCGATCATTCTTCGTGCATGGGAGTGCATTATACATGCTTATGGTGACCTTTTTTGTCTTTCACACTGCAGGTCTCTAGAACGGTTTCCACAGTTAACAGGGGGGTAGGGTAGGAGTCCTTGCTTGCAGAGAACCAAATCTTTTAAACCTCTGGTCCCACTACCCACTGCTATCCCAGAACCTCTTCCCCCCATGTTGGCCACTGCTGCTAATATACCTGCCACCACTGCTCTGCTTTTTTAAAATTTCAGCGTGGATGTACGTACATGCATTTGCAAGGGGCCACTTCAATACACAAAGAGGGCAGAACTCTAACAATTAAAGTACAGCACGCAGAGAAGACCATTTTGTTTGATGCTTGCACAAACTTAGAAATAAAAGTGATGGCCGCTGATGTGTCAGTGAAGGAGGATGCCCAGTACTGAGTCTGAATGCTGCTACATCTAGCTCAGTGATGTCCACATGGACCGGCAGGATTCTTTCCCAGCCCGGTTTGGCGACGCCGGAGCCTGAACCTGGGACTGTTTGCCTGCAAGGTACGGGCTCCGCTGCTGAGCTACAGCACCTCCCAAACAAAAGGGTTGGGGAGCAGGAGTGAGGAAAAACAAGAAGGCACCACAAGGATGAAGGATCATGTAATGGAATTAGCAACACCTCTCTGAAATTACCAAGATGGCCACACCTGTTTAATCAAGCCTGTCCCTTGGCAAGGATGCACACTCAGCAGTATAAGACATTTACCAATAAGTGCAACCAGCCACCCTCTCAGTCTCCTCTGCAAGTTGGCTGTTGGTACTTGTTTGCCATTTCCAAAATGGATCTTATCTAGGGCAACAGGGCAGGTTATATTTGCATCTTCAGCATAGCACCCAAGTTCCATTGCTGATAAGTAATGGGGGTGGGGGGAAGCAGCTAAATGTGAAGCTGACTGTGTAGGTAGGTGATATGTCAAAAGCCGTCCTGCATTTCTAAGGGTGCAGGGATTGCTCATTGCTCACAGAAACTATCCTTTGGCCAGAAAACATAGCCTGCGAAATCAGCCCTCAGAGATGATTTCATGAGATTTAAATTATGGTGGTGCAGGTCACACACTTTTCTGAACTGGTCATAAGTTGACTCTGTTTCTGACGTGTGTAAATTCAGTGCTTGGCCACAACGAACTGATCAGGCCTAGGTTGTCAAAGTGTCATCAGTACCCACACTAAGCACCTCAGAAGATTTACCATGTGCTATTACACTGCTGAAGCAATTAGCATACTAAGGAGCTTTTCTTACATTCTAAAGGAGCAGAAAATGCCCTCAGGTGGAAACCATACAATGAGCGACCTTGTAATGAGTTCTTGGAGTGAAACTGACAAGAGTAGTTTTAATGGGCAGAAGTTATAATGCTATTTATAAGTAGTTGGCACTGTATTAAAATCCATCCCAGATTATGCCACCCATTTAGCTACCTCTGTTGTTTAGAATATTTCCTCACTTAACAAAATGACCCAAACCCTAAAAACCTCATCTGGACCATTTTGTTTACAGGTCTGGCCCTTCTACTAGTGACTCCCTTTTCACAATGGATCTCGAAGACTCTTCATCCATGACTGAGGAAAATCTAGAGAAGTGCTCTAAGCAGAACATGACTTAGGATCAAGCTGGGCTGAATATTCCCCTCTTTTGTGGAACCACTTGTCCACAATAATGGGGGGGGGGCATATTAAGCAACTTTAAGACGGGGTTGGGGAGAGAGAGGCAGGTGAATGTTAAGATATTTTCAGACCTGTTTTAAACATGAGATGGCTGAGGGGTTATCAGCTGAAGTGGTGACAAGTGTTTTTTGTTACAAGAGAAATGGCGGAGATTTTTGAAAGCTAAGATTAAATATTACTTAACATTTGCTCCATCCCCTGAAGTCAGAGAAAAATAGTACTTCAGCCCTGGATCGGTATGGAACAAGTACTTAAACTGAGGCCTACCAGAATCTTTCACATCTGCCTAACCATGTCTAGTTTGCCCGTGTGTGTGGAGAGAGAGAGAGAGAGAAAGAGAGAGAGAGAAAGAAAGAGACCTCTCTCTCTAGATTTTAGTATGCTAGAATTGATCAGAAAAGTTGGTATGAAGATATAGACAATACAGGATCCCTTACTGTATTTCAAAAAGTATAAGAACATAAGACTGGCAATCCTGGATCAGATCAAAGGCCCACCTCGTCACATCATGTTTCTGGCATTGGAAAGTCAGGTCCCTCTGGGAAGCCCACAAGCAGGTTACAGGGACAGTCAGTGCTAGTTTGGGGGTAAGCCAATTCCATGCACATGTAGCCCATTTCCAGGGTTGTGCTAGGACTCCATGACTTAAATGATGAAGCTTGGTACTGGGACATCGCCTGATGAGCTTGTTTCAAACAAGACTAAGACTCAATTTCTCCTGGCACTGATCAGGTGTGGGCACAATACCCTTGAACTGAATTTGAACCAGTGCGAGTTATCTGAGGATCTGTCTGTCACAAAGCCAAGGAGACCCGGTTCTATGAAGTTCAATCGCAGCAAGGCTTCTAACGTCCTGAGGCAACAATCTATAAATCATTCACTTTGGTGGGCTAGCCCCATTCAAGTTCACAACAGAAGGCTGCTGGAGGATGGCTGTAAAATCCTTGAAAATCCTCAGCAGCATCTCAGCATAAAACTGAACTTTCAGTCTGGATTCTTGTGGGGAACCTACTGCTAACCTCTTGCCACGGTAAAAATTGACTACGCTTCCCTACTGCTTGCTTTCTTGTTCTTAGCAAGTTTCTGATCCATGACAGAATTTTACCAACCCTCACTTTTAAGATTATGTGATTTTCTTAAGAACCTCTTGTGAAACACTTTACTGGAAAATCTAATGAAAATATGCCTAAAGAGTTGTTATTAAATACTAGCATGAATTTGCACGTTAAGAGTGGGACTTTGTTTCTTCCACCACAGACATGTTGATACAATTCGCCCTAATAGGATGTTGAAATTAATTACACCGTGATTCAGTGTTATCAAGGGCTTATCTAAACAATCGGGTGTAGTACATTACTACTACTCTGGCTTGCAGACATTTTACCTCCAGGAAAACCTTTCTATATTAGTCTGCTTTCAGAGAACCATGTGAACTGCAGATGATTCTGGGGGTTCCTTTTAGAGAGAGAGAGCTGGCCAGGCCAATTCATGAGCTGAGTGTGTCCCCTAGAACAGTATCTGTCAATCTTTTCAGACCTGGGACCCTCCTTTAACCCCAAAAAACAATTGCAGATCCATCTGTGTCTATGTCTACCTCTATGTCTCACGCCATATATTTCTATGGTGGTAGAGTTGCTCTGTGGTTTAACCCACAACGCCACCCGCCACAGAGCCTAGGGCTTGCCGATTAGAAGGTCGGCGGTTCAAATCCCCGAGATGGGGTGAGCTCTTGTTGCTCGGTCCCAGCTCCTGCCAACCTAGCAGTTCGAAAGCATGTCAAGTGCAAGTAGATAAATAGGTACCGCTGTGGTGGGAAGGTAAACAGAGTTTCTGTGTGCTGCTCTGGTTCGCCAGAAGCGGCTTAATCATGCTGGCCACATGACCCAGAAGCTGTACGCCGGCTCCCTGGGCCAATAAAGCGAGATGAGTGCCGCATCCCTAGAGTCTTCCGTGACTAGACCTAATGGTCAGGGGTCCCTTTACCTTTACCTTTAGAGTTGCTCTGCTTTTGTGCTGTTCTACTTTAGATAAGGCTATGACCCAAAGGCAGGTCTTGACCCACCAGCTGAAGACCACTACCCTGAAACACACCCAACATTATCAGGTGCTGCTCATTTCAGGGGGCAACACTGGTGCACAAGATGATTGTCAGAAAGGCTTGGCCACCGTGTCTGGTCTCCTCACTGAGGAACCACTGCTAAGCTTTCATAGAGACAGGAGTTTGGAGAGAGAGAGAGAGAGAAATCACTTGCTTTGGCCCAGTGCTCTTCCTCTGACCAAGCGTCCCAGCACTGCTCTGAATGAGAGACAGGCTAGGAGAACTTTTGTCAGTTTTAATTCTCAGCTATCAAAAGAAGGCAAGTCAACGTATTTTTTAAAAAATATATTATGTAACATATGGGGACGTGCTCTGCGGCATATGCCTCAATGGAGAAACAAAAATCTAAGATATAAAATATCATGCTTGATGGGTAGAAAAGAAGAGTAGAGCTGACACATAGAGCCGGCCCAGGATATTTTGGTGTCTGAGGTGAAGGTATCTTTCTTCAGTACTGGCAATGGAACAGTCCTCTCCTCTGCACCTGAAGGCAGCAGGCTAACCTAGGGGGCTAATTTAGGCTGGCTTATGGTGTAGGCAGGCCCTGTGGCAAATACAGTTCTGTCCTCTAACTTCCGCACTGCCACTCCCTGATCTCCAAAATGCGCTGTCTGAGGCAGCTGCCTAACTCTACCTAGTAGTAGGTCTGGTCCCGGGTGGGCCTGAGAGATGGTTCGATTCTCTAAGCCTTCTCACCTGTGATTTCGTCCAAGCTCTCTGTGATGATGTGATCGTTCTGGTTCACCCACTCGCCGTTGCACTTGAAGTAAATCTGGGTGGCAGGGTTGGCTCTGCAGATCAGTTCCACTGGCTTGTTCTTCACAATGTAGGAATCTTGTGGCTCCAGTAGGAAATGGGGAAGGGACTCTGCAGGGGCTGATGGGAAGGAATCTGGAAGCACCTCTCCATACTCACTCCCTGCAATGAAAGAGGAGAAATGTGAGAAATTTAGCTCATAACCCGACATCAGTTCTTGGCTTTGAAAGAACGGTGTCTGATGGACAACAACCTGAATTTCATAACTTTTTGACTCCTTGTCAGTTGCAGCTTCCTTTATTCTTACCCCCATAGTCATTGGCCCAATTCAGATATATACCCTGTGGTTTACAAGCAAGGACTGTAGTAACTACTGTTTCCTCGTTTGGGATTCTTGCATTAAGGCACTCAAGGGAAAAGAAAGAGAGGATAGAGAGTGCAAACACAACTATTGTTCTCAGTGCAATGCTGCATGGTTTATTGGGTCAAGAATATCATAGCTGAACCAGGTCATTGTCACTTCCTTTCTCTTGGGACACCAATCCTTAACAGAGATGCAAGCAAGGAAGCATACTTCTGAGTGGGACAATTTCTACAGAACCAGCAAAGCATACTATTTGAAGACCCATTTACATATGCTTGCTCATAACTAAATCCCATGGACTTCAATATAGGTTACTCATGGGCAAGTCATGAAAGCTACTATAACACTGTGGGAAAGAGATAGAATCTGGAAGTCTCTGGTTCTGCCATGGACCATATAGATGGCTTCAGACAAGACACTATTGCTCAGCCACCTTCCTCCTCCAATCAACAGTATGGGGTTACCACCCTGCAGGATTAATGAGATATAAAGTATTTGGATGTCCTAAAGCACAGGTGGACAATCCAGAGCTATGGGAGGTCAACTTTATTTTAGGTAGCCCCCGATGCCCTTCTGAATCTTCCCTGGTAACTGGTTAAAGAACAGAAAACATAAAGTAGGGGTAAATGGACAGTTCTCACAAAGGACATGGGTTCCTACAAAGATCAGTGTTGGGACCCATATCCCATAAACATATATATATGACATTGGGGTTTTTTTAAACTTCTTCATAAATGATGTAGAGTTATGAGTGAGCAATGATAGGACAAAGTTTGCTGATGACACCAAACTGTTGAGGGTGGTAAGAACAAAAACAGGTTGTGAAGTGCTCCGAAACGATCTTTCAAAACTGAGTAAACGTGCATTAAAATGGCAACTACAATTCAGTAGAAGCACAGTGCGCACTAGGGCAAAATTAAAATAAAACCCCAATGTCATATATCTATGTTTATGGGATATGAACTTGTGGTGCCTGAACAGGAAAGGGAGCAGATCGATAGCTTGCTTGAAATGTTGACCCATCGCTGGCATGCGGCCCGGGTCAGATTACCCCTGAGAGAATGAGATCTTCAACAAAAGAAAAAGTTGCCTGCCCCTTTCCTAAAGCATCATACAGATGCTAAACATATTACTGCCAAGTGGAGGTAGGATTGCATCCTTCATGTGTTACAGCCACATGGCAGGGATCTTGACTGCACTCCAGTCACTTAGCAATACAGTGAGAGTTGCATGATAAAACTGGAGCCAGACTGGCAGGCCCTGGGAGACACAGGGCACCCAGGTCTGGGTGCTTCGCTCCTGGCTTTGAGCCCTGAGGAGATATATGTACTCAGACTCTTGGGAAAGGGCAGCTGCATACACAGAAGAGAGTATGTAGGGGGAGATACATAATGTGTTTTCTGTTGGGGGAAATACTCCAGGGGATATTCCTCTGAGATGGGCAGCCCTGAAGGATGAAGAGTGGGGAAAAGCCTCTTAAGTATAGAATATAGGACAGAATATAAGTAATAAGCATTTCATATTCAGAGAACATTCTCCACTAGGCTGTAGCAATTTTGAAAGGGATTACAACACAGATCGACCCTGCCTGCCAACTGCACCATATTTCTCTCTCTCTCTCTCTCTCTCTCTCTCTCTCTCGCACACACACACACACACACACGGTAGGCACTGTGTGCTGCTATTAAACCCTCTGAGTACTGGCAGAGCTAAGGCAAGCATGGTGTTCCTATGATGTTGCATGGTTCAAGCATGCTTTGCGTCCAGCCTGCTTGGCACTGCCAAGGGTCTTCCTGGGCACTGCAGGATAAAGACCAAAAGTAAACAAACAGTTGCAATGAAGCAAAAATCTAGGATTGAAAGATACCAGGCAAATCTAGGCAGTCTTGGGGATGAGCTTCCAAGTTACACAGAAGAAATGAGGTCTTGGATAATATATTGCCTTCAGCTGCTGGGTCATGCCACACAATTGAGATGCACAATCATTCACATACACACCTTTTTAAAAGGGGGAGGTTATTTCTTAAGTAAAGAAAGAATTAAGTAAAGAAGAGAAAGTCAGAAAGGCAAGAATGGAAGAAAGAGAGCAGGAGAAAAGGAGAACGAAGATGGGCATATATTTTAATAGCTGAAAAGTGGATCCCATGGTACAGATTGAACTAAACTTGTGAGATTGGACTAAAGGGAAATGCATTAGTAGTAGGGTTGCCATATTTTGAAGAGCAAAAAAGAGGACACATGTGCCAACTTCTGCTTTTAACTATGGATCGCTATGACGACTCTCGTTTTACATACCCATGGAAAAGAGGACATATGGCAACCCTACAACCCAAATTAAGTACCAGCCAATCTTGAGATTGCCCACAAATCACCAGGGCCTGCCATTTTGAGTCCTTTAGAAAACAAACCCCGAAGGGAAATAATGATTAGGCCCAAGGAAGCCAGATGCCAGAGATGTATCCTGAGGGCGGGGGGCGGGGAATCAGCCTGTGAAAATACACACACACAAACATGCACACACACAAGGCTGGCCATTTAAAATCCATTTAGGAAAATTGACTTTCCATTTCCATTTTAACACAGCACTAGGGAAAGCAGTAGGACATTTGTCATAATCCATTAACTGCTCTTTTGGAAACAACGAATTAAACTCCAGGCTAATCTCTCTTTCTCTCTCATGCTCCCTGGTTTCTTTGCTGCTGCTGCTGCTGCTGCTGCCAGGCATCCCCTTCCTAATTTCATTTGCAGGTCTGTAATTTTCTCAGCACCCAACCAATTGCACAGGGATGCAGAGTGTAATTAGGGCACACAATGTCCTCCTGGCGAGCCCTTGTGAGCCTTTGCACAGCTGCAGCCCAAAGCAGTTCACTGGGTACCCAGGAGCATCCCAGAGCGGAACGGAGGAGGCAGGAAGTTGCAGGGCAGGCAAGATGATGGTTTTGTGATGAATGGGCCTTTCTGGAGCTAAAATTGAAAAAGGCTCAAGTCCAAGATGATCATTTGGAATAAAATGCCCTGCAGTGTAGGTCCCATAGCTTAAAGACAGCAGAGTGGTGATTACAGATTGTTCTCTCTGACCGCCTGTTGTTTGAGCTTTGAATAAAAACCATTCACACACACAAGCACAAACAACAACGACAACCCCCAAAACAGAAGAGAATGCCCTTAGCAGAGAAAATAGCTAGCATTCAAGTTTGACAAAAGCCAGGATCATCAGAATTCTCTGGTCCAATGAGAATAAGCTAAGTTGTGAAGGTTTTGTTATAAATAAGGTTCCCCCCCCCAAAAAAAAATTGCTTGTGAATATTCTGGGCACAATTTGGGCTCAAAGCAGCCTGTACTGCCATATCTCAAATATTTCCCAAAATATCATTAGCCAGGACCAAAATTAAGCACCATGCTTTTAAAACAGATGGGGCAACTCGAATGATTTTTCTAAATCAAAACCATTTTTTGAATCAACTGTCTTATGTTTTTGAACCCAGCAAACAGGCAGCTAAGAAATAATGCACGTGGTTGATCAACAGAACAACCTTCTAGAACACCTCAGATGGTTTTTTGCAGATGATGCTACAACCACAACTATCTAATAGCTGTATTTGGCAATTGGGCCTCAGACAATAAAATGGAACCAGATGGTGATGCAAATCCCAGGGTCTGGTCTGAAGGCATGGGAGTGTACCACCTTGCTGAAGCTAAGCAGGTCCAGGTCTGGTTAGGCCCTGGATGGGAGCCACATGTGCACCACCTTGGGGACCATGGTGGATGAAAGGCAGGATATAACTGTGATAAAATACAATAATAAATAAATGTCCTCTGGCCCAGGGGAAAAGAGGAAAAAGTGGTTGTGGTCATCAAAGCAAGGGAACTCCATAAGTGACTCTTGGCATATATGGTTCCAGACATGCCACAGGCACCTATCAGGAAGTGGTGGTTGTGGGGAAAAGTCTCAGGGCCAACCCCAGAGGTTGGTAACATACCTAAGCCTATGCGCCATCTCCCTGACTGCACCACGGAAACACAGATAAGGCCCATAAATATTGATTGCTCTCCACTCTGCCTCTCCTTCATCTGCCTGAGGAAAAAGGCATTTATGCTCTATGCCTGAGCTGCAGGCTGTTTTTATGACTTTGTTTTACAGCTATAATGCCACGATCATTTATAAAGCAGGTTTGTATATAAAGAATGTAAACATTAGAAATCCATTAGTCTCTTAAAGTGCGTCTGGCAAAGTTCTTCTCCCCCAAGTCACTCCTCTCCCTCCGCCCCTTTGGTAATCTCCACGTCCTCTCTCAGGCTGGGCTGAGGGGAATTTCAAAAGATTACAAGTACTTAAAGATATATTATCCCTGGCCAGGGTTGTAACACAGGCCTGAAGCTACCAATTAAGTTTTCTCATTGCTGTTTGCTTGTGCTGATGTGTTTCTGTTGCTGGAGTTTTTATGTTGTTGCTGGCATGTGTGTGTGTGTGTGCGTGCACATAGCATCCGATTTAAACCCCAGGATAGAGGACTAACCTCACAGCACTTTGCAAAGGAAAAATGCCCGCACCTCTGCCATGGAAGAGACATCTGGAAGGAGAGCACAATTCATCTTCCAGCTCCTGACATTCCTTCATTGTCAGCCTCTAACTCAGGGCACCTGAGCTCATGCTGAAAGATGCCCCTCAGCTAAAGGGATGTCCCTTATTCCTGAACATGACAGCTCCATCGGACATAATGGATGCCCCGTATTTCAGAAGCGCCTTGCTCAATACGTGGCACTTCGCAGAGCAAACTCTTTGCTGCTTTTCTCAGTGTTAGCTGCTGTATTGGTCCCAGAGAACAAGGCTCACAGAGCCTGGAATGTCAAGATGTGTCAGGATGGTGCTGGGGGCTGCTATAGAAAACAGCAGCAACACCTCCCCACCCCATGTTAACATCTGGGTTACTCAATGCATGTTGCAACATCGTTGTGCTGTAAATTTCCCTGAGTCTGTATCAGGCAATCAATGAAGCGCAGACAACGCTTGCAGCATTGCAATGTCATGACCCTAGATGTTATGGGGCTGAGGAGAAGGAACCGCGGGGCTGCTGGTTAGGACAGCACCCCCCACAACTTCTGTAATCTCTAGTTCTTGCCTGAGGTGGCACATTTTACTTAAAGCGTTCAAAATGTTTGCATGAAACATTGGAGTTACAATGAATTCACACTTTGTGCCCTCCAGATATTGTGGAACTAAGAATCCCCAGCAAGCAGGACCAGTGGGCAGGGATGACGGAAGTGATAGCCTGGGTAAGGTTGACTTAGATGCTCCGATTGTGGGAGGGGAAGAGGGGAAGATTGATACTGCACTGCTAGACAGATGAAGTTTGAAAGAGAAGAATCCTACATTTACTACTATTTATAAAACATATAAGGTTGAACTTTTATTACAACAGGGTGCTACAGAACTGTAAGAACATAGAGCAAGTCAGACACTCCTCACCTTTGCACTAACTAATGTTTAAAATGCAAGGTCTGGAACCATAAAAAGGAGTGCATTTAATTAGTCTGGGTTTCTTGCAGCTTCATAGCACCTCACTATTTTGGGACACTTGATCTGCCAATGCTATCATGAATGTCCACAGGACAACACCCCAGGTTAGTATGCAGTACTCAAAAGCCTGCTTTCCCCCAGCAAAATAGTTTAACACTACTGGGTAACTGCCCACACTCTCTGTTTTATAGGTATAATAATGATAGGCTTAATCTGCTTTGGCACTGACAAGGTAATTTTTTAAAATGTATACAAACTCAACTACTCTAGATTTCTGGATGTCTGAATCTTTTTTTTATTAGGGAGCAATCACTTCTCCACTAGGTAGAGCAGCATGAAAGGCTTAAAAATTAACCAAGAAGTTCCTTCTATAGACAATGGACGTTTCACTCTAGGCTTCTCTTTGGCTAATTGGCTTTTCTAAATGTCAGTAATTACTATTAATTCTTTCATTGGCTAACACACTGAAAGGCAGGAGCAAGCTGGTTTCTCACAAACAAATGAGCGGAAGAGTGCCTCCATATTTTGCCACATATATTGGGTTCTACAAGGGCTAAATGCTTCCGAAAGAAAGAAAGAAAGAAAGAAAGAAAGAAAGAAAACTGGTAATCTAGAGACTATAGTTTATGGTGTTTGTGTGGGCTGTTCCTTCTTGCACCTATTCCTTGACACTCATGAATACTCTCCTGAGACCTGTGGAAGAGAGGAGGTCCATTTGCAAACAAGAGTTTATTCACATAGCTATCAGGAAAAAATGTAGAATTTTCCTTAAATAATTTTATCTCCAAGTCCTGACTCGCCTTCAAAATGCGACAGCTTCCTGCATGTTGATGCTACCCCACAAAAGGACTAAAACCAGCACACACTGCCATGAAATATGGCTGCAGAAAGTCACTTGAAATAGCCTGCTCACTTGTTTCGCCTAGCAGGAAAAGAAAAAAGAAGTAGGTGACAGACTGCTCCACTTTTGCACAAGGCAATAAGAACATTCTCCTGCGGGGGTATGTCAAACGCTCACTATTAATCCAAAGGAAATCAAGGCCATTTTCTTTAGCCAACTAGACACTTGCTGATTCTTTGCTGATTAGAATTAAGGCTATTTGGTCATCAGAAGTTGGGGTTCTGTGCTCTCTCTCTCTCTCTCAAATGGAGAAAATCACAGATGAGTCAGAGCTTAATTTGGAGAAAATTGTGGGCTTGTGGGTTCATTTCCAATTATGGTTTTCCTTCCCTCTTGGTGATCTGGATCCTTCTCTTAACATTTCTATCTGTTCAAAACTCCCTCTGGACCACAGGAAGAGAGAGCAAGCTCCTAAATAGGGATTGATGAGAATCTAGAATGGCTCCCTGGAAAGCATGGCATGGACTCTTAGGATAAGGCATCATTTCTGCTCTGGAATGAGCACCAGTCTTCTAAAGTGAGAAGATAAAAGAGGATCAGACTCACTTATGGAGGACAAGGCTATCAATGTCTACTGAACATGGCATTTAGGTTCCACTCCACTGTTGGAAATCACATGCCTATGTTACACTAGTTGCTGGAACTCACAAGTGGGGAGAGCGACGTTGCACTGAGGCAGTGCTTTGGGGCTTCCTATAGGTATCTGTGAGAACAGGAGGCTGTACCAAATGGGTCTTTGGGCTGGCTCAGGAGGGCTCTTCGCATGTGCCAATGCTATTAGCCCTTCATGCCCTTGCTCAGTTCATAGTAAAGCTATTAAAAATCACTGCCAAACAGGGCAGTCAGCTCCCCAGGCTTTTTCGTTTAAAAACATGCCCCTGTTAAAACAAAATAATAATTGGCTGCTGCTCAGGACCTTAAGCTGACCAAAGGTTATCGAGGAGGCAGCAATGGCTGCCTTTTTTCTTCAAAAAACCAAAACAAACACCTAAAACACTAAATACTGCCTGGTCCAATAATGCTGTGTAAAACAGATGAAGCACTAGATGGATAATAGAAGTGACAACGGGGGCAAGGGGAAAAAATTGCCTCTGCCTTGCAGGTTGTGCAAGCTGGTGTCCAAGTGAATCACGGGCGGGGGGAGAGAAAGAGATGTTGGGCTGGAGAACGAAGGATGTTTTTTGGGGAGGGGAGGTGGGGGGAAGTAACACGCAGAGCACATTTATCATAAGTAATCAAAACAGCCTTTCAGACCCCTCGTTCCCAACCCTTGCTCATTCCAGCCAGCCTGACCACCCACCGCATGGGAAACCTCTTGCATTTTCTCCACTCAGCTGATGCTCTCAGTGGGGGGAAAACCCCATTTATTATTTTGGAGTTTTGGGGGGGGGGGAGGGTTGCAATGCACACAAAACAGCCTCTTTCTCTTTCACACAAGTTGCATTGTAGGCAAAGGGATTGATGGTCTTGGCTTTTCTTCATGGGGGTGGGGGGAGGAAAAGCAAGAAGCAATCTCTGTTAAGGGGGCCTTGCATGAAGGAAAAAATAAAACAAAATCCGGCATCAAACAAAAGCTGATGGTGTGTTTTTTTTGGGGGGGGAGCAGCTGTCACAGTGGGCGACCCCTTATGAAGAGATGGAATCCGTCTCTCCCACCAACAGCAGATAGTTTATGGGTCCCATTCAACAACCTGTTATTTTCAGCGGGGAACATACCATTGGCCCATGCCTTTTAAAATACATTGGAAGTAGCACGAAGGAGAAGAGAGATTGTCAGAAGGAGTGGGGGAAAGGATGGCAAAATGAAAACAAAACAAAAAGCAGAGCAGGTGCAGGGCACCCAGACCACACCTGCACAGCTTGCAACCTAACAAGTCAAAGTGAGCCTATTAGTCACGTTTGCCCATGGCCCTACAAAGCCCTTGCCTGCTACCTGCTGGGATGTGGTCAAGTTCCTAGTCCGGCACAAGACATAGCTGGTGGGTTGTGAGTTGGGTAGGCCTGGTCTGAAAATACTGCACAGAGCAGAACCTGCAGTGCAGTGTTGGGGAAGCGCAGAAATTTCTCATGAGAAAAAGCTTTAAGGAATGCAGCAACAGTGAAAATATATTGGGGGGAGGGGAGATGTAGTCTGCAATATAATCAATTGCAATTTCAACCTGAATTCATCCAAAGGATCGTCCTTTTAATCTTTCCATGAATCCGGCCCCCACCAAGTTTTCTTTGTCCCTCGCCCAATGTGTGCACAGACACACATACATATACGCACTGAGATATACTTTCACACAAACACACAGAGGGCTAGACCTCTGCCCTCCTGCTTGTGTTGTTCTCTTTGTGCTCTATTCTATGGCAATTGAGGTTGCAAAGAACATGCTTGGAGAATGAGAGAGATTCTGATACACACACACACACACACACACACACACACACACACGCCAATCACTCCCTGTGCTTTTTCAGACGCACACCATAAAACTATTTGAGGTGACACACACTATCAAGTATTGTAGACCACAGAGGGACGCGCTCATTCAGAGCGCTTCTGTCCTGATCTGAAGAAGTCACCGCAACATTCTGTAATTTCAGTCAGATAACCAAGAAAGTAATGTCTGCCTTGTCATCGTTCAGCCCTTGGAACTAACTAACTCTCTCTCTCTCTCTCTCTCTCTCTCTCTCTCTCTCTCTCCCCACACCCTCAAAATGGTGTAACCGCATGAACACAAAAATATGTACCGAATCAAAGACATCAAGAATGAAGGGCAAAGTCCTGCAAGGACACAAGCCTGTGGCAGTCAGGGAATCTGATTGTGGGTCAGTTCTGGGAGAATAAAAACACATCCTCACCTCTGTCAGGGCAATCCTGTGTTCTCAGGCCTAACTTTATGTTTTGTTTATTTACTTGATAAGTCACTTTGCCTCCAAACATTTTATTTTTTTCCTGTTTCATAAAATTTATACACTACTTGATTGTAAAAAAATTTCCTCAAAGCAGTTTACAACGCCCCCCAATAAAATCAGGGGGGGGGGGGAAATCACAGCCATACTTTGAAACATGCAAAAGCTAAAATACTAAAGGAGATTAAAATTACCTTAACTTTCTAAGCATCTGGGGACAGTTGGTACAGCATGAGGCTCTTGTTCTTTGGGTTTGAGTCCCATGTTGGGCAAAAGACTCCTGCATTGCAGGGGGTTGGTCTAGACCAGGCATCCCCAACCTTTGGCCCTCCAGATGTTTTGGACTACAATTCCCCTCATCCCTGACCACTGGTCTGTTAGCTAGGGATCATGGGAGTTGTAGGCCAAAACATCTGGAGGGCCAAAGGTTAGGGATGCCTGGTCTAGATCAGTGTTTTCCAAACTTGGGTCTCCAGCTGTGTTTGGACTAGAACTCCCATCATCCCTAGCTAACAGGACCCAGAGGTCAGGGACGATGGGAAGCGTAGTCCCAAAAACCCAGTGTGGGAAACACTGGTCTAGATGGACCTTGGGATATCTTCCAACTCTACAATTCTAAGTTTCTATAGGAAGGCTTGTCTAAACAATAATGTTTTTAGCAGGCACCAAAAAGAGTACTGTGAAGGTGGCCTGCTTGATCTCAATAGGCAGGGGGTTCCAAAGTGTAGGTGCTACCACCCAATGAGACACAGAGCAGGTAGTCTGTGTCACCTGTAGAAGTGCCAGTTCCACCCACGTGCATAGTGGACGCATGTGGGTTAAAGCAATCTCATAGGTAAACTGCTTCCAAGTTGTTGAGGGCTTTATATGCTAATAATAACACCTTTAATTTGACCCAGTAGCCAGATGGCAACCAGTGTAGTTCTCTGAGCACAGGTGCTACACTCCTGTCAGCAATCGTACTGCAGCATTCTTGTGTTCCTATGCGACCCTTGGACCTCTTTCCCTCCACTACAGTGGTACCTCAGGTTATGTACTTAATTCGTTTGGGAGGTCCATTCTTAAACTGAAACTGTTCTTAACCTGAAGCACCACTTTAGCTAATGGGGCCTCCTGCTGCTGCCGCGCCACCGGAGCACGATTTCTGTTCTCATCCTGAAGCAAAGTTCTTAACCCGAGGTACTATTTCTGGATTAGCGGAGTCTGTAACCTGAAGTGTCTGTAACCTGAGGTACCACTGTACTCACTTGCCCTGCTTCAAACTCGTAGTGTTTCTGCCTGCCTGGAATGTGTCTTTCAATTCTGACAATGCCTCCTGCTTGCCTGGATGAAAGTTAGAGACAAGAGTGCATGAGTCTTTATAGTCACCTTTATAGAGACTAAAGGTGACATTTATATTTGTTGCCTACCCCTTTTAGCCTCTAGCCCCACCCAGCCCTCAGAAAGTTGCCCCCGGGTAGCTCTGCTGGCAGTGCTCATCCATTCGCCGGAGAGATAAATGGACTTCCCTAGCAAGACAACAACTTATAGGGTTAGCTAATGAACGCTAAATGCCGAATAGCGGTCTAAGCTGAAACGAAAGCGCCGTGTTTGAACAACCTCCGACTCGAAGCAAATGCAGAGTTTAGAAGGAAAGACAAGTGGCACCAGGTTCCTACCCTATTTGAACTCGGTGGGATTTTCCTACTTAAATCCCGAGTGCAAAAACACAGCAGATCTATTTCTCAGCAACTGTCAGAAAAAAGACCCCTACACCACAGCCATGGGCCCCCTCTCTTCATTGTGCCGAAATAAAGCAACACCATGTGCTAGGGTTAATAACTTGAGTTTCCAAGATAATAAACTGTTCCGCTGAGTCAAAAGAAATTGTTCCCTCTCCTTGTCTTCCTTCAGGACTAGAACAATGACTGCCTAACATGACTAGGGCTTAATAATGTATGGGACTTAATAATGCACGACTCGGCAGACACCCTGCGATCGCGCTATTGAGCTCGTTTTCAGGCATCACCAGAAAGTGGATTCATGTGGCTTCCTATCTCCCAACTTTGAAAAGCCGCGGAAAAAGGGAGAAGTCTTTTTTTTTTTATTAACCTTTGCTGAATTTTTGGCGTCATTTCTTTGCAGATAAATAACGGGGTTAGGAGGGGAGAGGTGATAAAATAAGAATAAAAAAGAATAGAAAGTTATATTCTTCTTCCCCAACTCACCAAATCTTTCCACACTGGCTCGCTCTCATCACACGCACAGCTATTGAGCGAAAGCTGAAGGATGACAAAGGCCCTCTGTAGCTGTGAAGTGCTGATTGTTTTGCCCTACACTGTGTTTTTGCATGGCTAGCATCCATGGGTCAGGGCCTCCGTCCCCCTTTTGCCTGGCCCTATTCAGCACACGGGACAATTCCCTCAGCAAGGGGTGTCATAGAAAAGAAAAGAGAGATAGAGAAAGCGGGGCATCTCCTTCAGGGCTGCTCTGAGGGGTGGAGAAAGGAAATGAAAGAGAGAGAGAGCGCAACAGATGAGAAGCAGGGAGCCAGGAGTGAGGGAAGGAGAAAGTAGCTCAATACATGACACGTATCAAAAGACAACACAGCTCAGAGCTTCCTTCTACTTCTGGTGATTTGGGAGCTTTCTCTGTGATGACAAGCCCCTTCTTGCCTCACTAACATGTTCAGCGACCAGCTCTAAAGGACAAAAAGTGCAACACTCCCTTCTGCCAGGTTACCTCCTCTGCAGAGGCATTTGCACACTCCCATGCTTTCCCCTCTTTGCAATGGTTTTGACTTCGCCATCACCCTGGTGCCATGAGTTTTCCAGGATGGGATGGAGAAACGCAACGCCGCCAGACACAATGCACTGCAAAACCAATACCAGACTGAGATGGAGCAAGAAGCGGGCTTGAGAAATAGTCCTGTCTTCCCAGAATCAGTTTCTTAAGGTACCTACCCTTTGCGAAAGAAAGAAACTGGGAGCGCTGGAAGAAGGCTAACAAGTGCTTTTGCCCAGAACTGGGCAATGAGCTTTGCGTATTATGCAAATCACTTGCTAATAATGCAAACTGGGCACATTCATTGTTGCACTGCCTACCAGTTGCTTTGTGCCTGCCCTTGGCAACCACCTCAAAAAGTTGGAGAAGGGTTCAGAGGAAGCGTCTCATTCACCTGCCTATTGGCTCCTGCCAGGATCTGCTTAGGCATTCTTCTCTGACAACAGTGAAGCGTTTGGGGGAGAGATGCAGCCAGACGATGTGTCCCATTGTCTCTGATGCGGTTGCTCCTGTATCACATGGGTCTATACCCAATTAATGGGCAACTAGCAGTTACATGCGTGTGTGCTCAGAGGCAGGAGCAGGCTTGTTTTGACAGGGCACAACACAGCTTTCACATTTTTGCTCCTATCTCCAAATCTGCAAGAGCTTTTATTTTAAGTGCATACTGAGACTCTGGGCCAGATAGCGTCCCAGATAGGCGGTACAACGCAAGCAAAATGTGGTGATTTGGGTCACATGGCAACCCTAGACATAGACAAGCATGAGCCCCCTTTCAGCAGATAACAAAGCAGTTAGTAATATAGTCACATAACAAGGAAGTTCGACTTAATTTTTTTGTTGCGGTCAAGTCCACTGTAGAGTTTACTTCTCCTTGACTTGGTCCCCTCTAAGCAGCATGTTATGGAGCTAATCACTTCTGTGCCATCACTCTCTCAGCAGTTTGTGAAAGATGCCCTAGGTTTCCAGTAATACCTAGGACTCTCAAGACAATATAAATCTCAGAGAAAGATTGCAGCTCAGTGGGAGAGCATCTGCTTTGCTTGCAGAAGGACCCAGGTTTGGCCCTCAGCATCTCTAGGCACAGCTGGAAGACACTCCTGAATAAAATTCTGGGAAGTTGCTGCCAGGTAATGTAGACCAGGCTCTCCCAAACTTGGGTCTCCAGCTGTCTTTGGACTACAACTCCCATCATCCCTAGCTGGCAGGACAAGTGGTCATGGATGATGGGAACTGTAGTCCAAAAAACAGCTGGAGAAACCTTGGTATAGATTATACTGAGCCAGATGGCCTGATGGCCTGACTGCATATGAGGCAAACCCCTTTGTTCCTATGATCAAGCTGTCATAAATGGGAGGCCGTGGCCTACATTCTTTTTCTGTTAGCTCTTTTCTTTTTGTTACAGTGTCTTGCTAACGAAGGACAGCTACAGAAGACAATGTTGCTAGGTCAGAAATCCATTCCTTAGCAGGATGGGCAGGGCAGAAAGGGAACTAAAAGAAGGGAAAGCCACTCTTCCTCCTCCCCACCCCACCCTCTTCCAGAGAGTCGCTTTTTTTCTCAGACTTGAAGCAGGAAAATGGTTAGTGCACAGCATATTTGATGGGATGCATTATTACACATTTTAATCTGATGTTCTTGATCCGGATTACCCACAACATCTGTTTCCCAGTGACTTATTTGCAGATGTCTGCAGCTAGCTCTCTCGACTTGTAAAAGACAGAAGACGTAGAATGTAACAATGGGATGGAATGTTTTTTTTTAAAAAAAGAAGAACCTGACAACAACAACAACAACAGCAACACTGTTTAAAAATAAAGGCACCGACGTAAAGTATTTCTCCTCACTCAAATCCTTGGCCTATCTGTGGTACTATATTTATAGTAACTGTCACCTAGCCACAAGCCATATATCTGCAGAAGAAGCATTAAAAATCCCCTCTCCTGCAATTGTTTCCCATCAGAATGTCAGAGCATTAGTAACCAAAAGACTGGGAGTATTAGTAAGCATTAGAGACCAAGATGGGTGCTGGGGAGAATAAACAACATTCACTCCTCCATTCCTATGTACACAGCTTACATATACAAAGCATCTACAGGTCACATCCGTACCATACATTTAAACACACATTTAGAGCACTAGGCTTTGCTCAAAGAATCCTGAGAACCACAGCCTATTTCTCGCAGAGCTATAGTTCCCAACACCCTTAACAGTTCCCATATTTTCTGGCTTGGGGGGTGGAGAGCCAAGTGCTTTAAATGTGTGTTTAAATGTGCTGGAAATGTATTGTGTGGATGTGACCACAGAGAGAGCTGGGGTTCTGAGAATGCACCTAGCAGTCAAGGTAGGATGGAATTGCAGATTATAAACACACACATGTCATTTTCACTGGCAAGTGTCCCTGTTCTCTCCATAAAATTCTGTTCAATTTACCCCATGTTCAGGTGCCATTATGATTTGCATTTGCTCACTCCTTTCAGTGGCAGCAGAAACATTCACCAGAATGCTGCTTTTCACAAAGGGGAACGATTGGCAGAGTAGCTCCTTATTTCATCTAGCAGGCTTCCTGCTAAGGCCTTACATGCACCAAACTCGTAAGTTTGGGTTTGTGTGCCATGCTGGGGTCAGGGATGGTGCTACACATCATTCCCTCTATACCAGCAACTCGAAACCTGCTCAGATATTATAAAGGCACAGGCAAAAGGGGAGCCCAACTGAGCTGGTACTCTGGGGTAATATCTAAAGTGACATAATTTCAGTCTTGGGGGATCTCACCATTTTGATGTTACAGGGAAATGGTGTGGAAAGCAGAAGCCGGAGCCGGGCATTCCAACTGGAACTTGAAACCACCAAGTAGAAACTGCCATTTGGCCCAATAACAGAAGTGTGAGACCTATTGCTCCCTGGGCATGTTATGTGTGGATGCAACTGATGTTTGAAAACATGTGTCCCAAGGAGGTGCATTGCTTCCAAGAGCTGGCTGCAGCTTCCTGCTATGCTTGCTGCTGTATATTGTGTGAATTGGCCCCATAAGCACCATCCTGAGGTTGGCAGGCACCTCAGAAGGCATTTTTTTCCACAGTGCATGTGGAAGGAAAGTCTGAAGCACAACTCTCACCTGTTCCCCTACGCTTCCTCTGGAAGAAATATATAAACAGGCTCACTTGTGGATTGGTGCCTGCTGCCATACGTTTCACAGCTCGAGCAAATTATAGTGGGGAAACCACCCATTTCATGTCCCCTGCCTTCTCCGAGCTAAGCCATTGTCTCCAAGGGAGACAGAGACAGATAGAGCTTTCCTTACGACATCACCTGGTGTTGCCACCACCATCATAACACAAAGAGACACTTTGCTGTGGAAAATAAAGGCACACTGTTCAGTGGGACTTGGGTTACAGGTCCAGATTAGCAGCATGGACTCAATACCAAAAGGGAGGACGCAGGGAGTCAAAGGAAGTAGGAACTGGAGTCTTTTGTATGCATGTTTTGGGATGTTGCGCCAGACAACTGAGCCAAGGAATCCCATCAGGACCAGACCACACCCACAACTCTGCCAGTGTTCTCCAGGCTCCAGTTTTTCCCCATGGAGTTGCACACAACAAAACCGTGTGGTGGGAAGCGCATGTGTATTGCTAAAGCAAACTGTGCCATATCGAAAAATGGAATTTCCAAGAGCATAAAAGCACAGGCTTGTCATGCAAACTTACCAAGGGCATCCTGCTTCCACACTGGGATAACGTACACCTGTTTCTTCATGCCAGCATGAACTCTGTCTGCTGACTACTCTGTCTGCTGTTGCTTTGTGGAGGCTAGGGATTGACCATAAATTTTATGCACTCAAAGCCAAATCTATCAAATCTGCAGGTTTCTGAAGCAATATGCAAACTGAAAATGGCTGTTCTTCGAACTTCACACTGATCTGAATTTAGCAACCGCTTTGGGTTTCTCTTTCTTTCTTTTTTACAGGGATGCAGTGTATAACTTTTATGAAAGAGATAATAGTTAAATACACAGTGTTTACCAAAATGAATATATCAGAGGAAAGTATGCACAAAAATGAAACTGCATGCAAAAACGTGTTCATTAGGCGGAAGTTACGCTAAAATGCTGAGGAATTTTCATGATGATTTTAAAACAAGCAAATAAACAAACGAATGCAAATTGCTGCAAAATGTAGAGAACTGAATTTATGACTACCTTTCCCCATTTTTCCCCACTCCATATTACCCCTCATAGCTTTCCTTCCTTTGGGGGGTTTCAAATGTGTGTGTTTTCTCCGACATTTGAAATTGCACAGAGGGAGAAAACCCAAGCGGGTGATTTGGAGCATGGGAAACAGGGCACCTGTTTCCTCACTTCCAATCTCCCTTGCTAGAAGCAGCTTTTTCCTCTTCGACAATGGCCATTTAGCTACCAGTAGATGCATTTGTGCAGTGTGGGATTCAGAAACCGAATAGAAACCAAAGTGATCCTAACTATGGTTGCCACACGCCGAAGGGAGAGGAACAGCCTGGTGCCTTTAATAGAAGCTTGACGTGCTGGAATTAGTAAGTGCAGCTTTTTTTTCCATGGCACAAACCTGCTGTTTGTTGCAGTTACTAAAGCAGGAAGCTGAGAAGTCCCCAGCTTTGACATATTTGCTTTTGGTGCTGCCCACTCCACCCAGCACTGGAAATCCAGAGAGAAAGTTCCCAGCCTCCATGCGGAGCGAAGCTGATATTGCCTACAGGTCTGATTTTAGGACCCCTCTCTGCATTAAAGCCCCCTGCCTCCCATCATCTTCAGATTGTGTTAGAAACAGTAGCTAATTAATGCAGGCATCCCCATTCATCCCTCACCTTCCTCACAGGGGTGTTTTGAGGCTTAATTAATGTTTGTTCAGTGCTTTGAAATCCTCAGATGAAAGGCCTTATAGAATTGCAAAGTGGTGTTGTTAGACTCTGCTAACCCGCAATGTTCCCTGCCCCGTAGGCAACACCTATTATGATGCCATCCTGCTGAGACATGGCAGCATGAAGTGGCTCCTGGGAAATTTTCTGAAGCTGAGCCCACAGCTGCTGGGAGATTTTATTTTCCAAACACACACAGAGAGAAGAGAGAGAGAACGCATGTGTGTATATACATGCCAATAGGCAGCATATATAAAATGTTTATGGACCTTTTCCTTGTTTATCAGTATAAGTTGTTGTTTTTTTAATCGTATCCATACTTTGGAAACCCTGAATGCAAAACTGAGCTGTGTGAAGCTGCCTGCACGCCATACAATGGGAGTGTTTGAGAGAGAATGTGTGTGCGCAAAAGCAAGGAGGCAATGTGTGTGGCATTTGGAAGATAAAGAAATTATTTCTTTATGAAGAAATTGGAACTTTTAGGATAGGATGCCAGCTCTACAAACATTTTAAGAGAGACAGGGTGCCTCAAGAATGTTGCACACTTATTCACATCCCCTGCCCCACTAAAGGGGCAACTTGGCTTGGTTGTAAACTAAAGGGTGGAAATCAAAACTCAGCATGATGACATTCTTTTTTGTGCTTTTTGGCTGGGCATGGCCTCATCAAACTTTGACCATTGCCGGGCTGCGTCTTTCAGCTTCTATCTTTCTCATGCTGTTGCCTTAAGGGTGACTGTGAACTGTATCTATGCAACTCAAACTCCGAAGATGCAGGCAGATATTTATGTGCTTCTCAAAAGCAACTTGCCAGGAGGCCTTAAGTTGCTGTTGTTGAAACTGAAAGAAGAGAATTGGTCAAGGAACTGAGCTTTGGGAGTTGCAAGCAGACCACTACCTTGCATAGACTTGCAAAGCCCCAAGCGTCAGTTTTGCCCAAAGTTGCAAAATCTCAACAAACATTTTTTTTTACCTCTTTTTAAAGGAATTTCACCAAAATATACACTTCCGACATGGGTTGCCATACATCCAGATTTTCCTGGACATTTCAGCATTTCCACTCGGACACTGTTTCTGACCGCCAAATCCCAGCAATGTCCGGGAAATTCTGGACGTATGGCAACCCTACCTGCCATCATGTCTGATTCCTGCAACAACTGTGTACTTCACATTGTCGTCTGTAAGGAAACCTCAATGTATAAGCTTTGGGTGACAGAGCCGCTGCATACAATCAGGGCCCTTCACATAGCTGCCTTTTTACAGAATACTGCAGAGGAGCAGCTGTGACATTGGGGGGTGAGGCTGTCAGCCCTGCTCCTGCCCTACACATGAGTAACACGTGCCTCAGGCTCGAAAGACTTGAAGTCAGAAAGTGTTTGCAGTTATTGGTAGCATAAACGTGAGCTGAGTATGCTTTAACATCAATCTCTATCTAAGTTGCATCCTGGCAGAATAAAGGAGGCGCTTACAAAAGTTTATTGCATTTGCAACTCTCCTGTGCCTCATTAGATTTCGTATTATTATACATCCACGATAATGCTTTGTTTGTTTGTTTGTTTTTAATTACTTTGCCCCTCGTGATTTGCACCAACGCATACATTTAAGTGGACAAGAATAAACACTTTTGGTCAAATGCTGTAACGCACGCTTATTGGCCTACTTTTTCATGCACCTCTGGGCGAGAGTCAACTCGGTTTACTCAGAGTAGACCCACTGAAATTAGTGGACTCAACTTAAGTCATGTCGATTAATTTCACCGTGTCTCTTCTGAATAAAACTTAAGTTGAATACCACCTTCTGTTTCTGCTTCGTGGTTGGGTCACACATAGAATTTTTGCCTGCAAAAAGTATCCTTGCCTGGCTAGGCTCTGAACTATGCTCTCTGTAGCCTTCAGGGTTCTGTCAGCGTTAGGGTGTGGTTTGGCAAGAATCCTTTTGCTACATGGTCTGGCGCCACTGAAGTGTTGCTAGCAGCGGAGCTCATGGAGCTATTCTTAGTTCTCACAGCCAGGGAGTATAAATAATGAGGGGAAGGTTTATTGATATTCAGAAGAGCTTTGAGTGTCAAGAGGAACTTGAAGTGTAACTAAGAGTTTCAGTCCCTGATTGGAAAGAGAGTAGACAAGGAGGAGGAGGAGGAATGGGAGTGGCAAGCACTGAGATCCCATCTAGATATAGCAACTACGCAGGTGTCATGAGGCTTGAAATGCAGGAGAGGAAGCGTCATAGCAAAGTTAAACTCCACACATGTGCCTTTTCATGCAAAGTATAACTGCTTTGCTTTGGACTGAATTTCCTTAGATTCTGACCCAATTGACAGGAGATGTGTGAATACAACCCCTGAATGGCCCCAAATACTTTTGTTGCACTCTGTGGCAACAACAACAAAACCCTCCAGACTTTTCGCAGTTAGGAAAGTGACAGGGAAATGCATTTTTAAAAAATGGGATAAATGACTGATTAATAGGCAAAAGTGCAACCTCTACACAAGCAAATCGAGATGAGTGCTCATTTTTGTATAACCTCCCTGCAAACAAATCAGAACAAATGCTCCCTAAAAACCAGATATCGTACAGCCTCTGCATAAGCAAAACAGGACAAGTGCTCAATAAACATGGCATCTGGAGGAGGTGCCCAGTGGTGTGATGTCATCAGACATTGCCCAGCCCTGCTTCATTGGCTGCCACTTGCAGGTGGGTGGAAAATGCTAATGCAGTGACATCACGTAATGCACCTGTTTCAAGTATGCATCAGGAGGGTTCACATACAGTCATCTATGCACTGAAAAGAGCACAGGGCAGGGCTGCACTATCTAGTATTGCCCACCACGGTTTGCAGTCACTCTGCTCTCTGTTGCATGGCTGCTCCTGGGTTAAACCCTCCTAATAGGCAGAAAGTGGGGCTATAACATTAGCACAGCGTTAAGGTATTTAAAGGCAAAAATGCACTCTTTTGTTAAAGGTGCCACTGTCCCAGAGGAGGAGCTGCTAACAACTTTGGTGCTGTATAAGTAATGGCATACTTCTGGGTAAATTCAGAGAAGCCTCTTCTATTTTCAAAAGCAAATGCTTTTGAAAATAGGGAAAACCTGAAGTCAAAGAGCTGGCATTTTGCAACTAATAGGATTTTTTTTATTAAAAAAAATGCAAAGTATAATATGCATCTTTAGTAGAGCAGGTACAGTGTAGTGGTTAAGATGAGTGGGGACTGACATGTACCTGCTTCAGTCTTACTTCAGCCACAAACTGACCAATTGGTAAGTCTCTCAACCCTCTGGGGATAGTACTAGCATACTATAGG